CCTGCCGCGCCGGCTACAAGTCCGGCAACAACAACGACTTCCGCATCCACATGCCCAACTACGAGTTCTTGGTCTTCGTCCCCACGGGCCAGAGCTGCAACGCGCTGTGCAACAATCCGTTCGGGTACGGGCCGGAGCTCTGCCACGAGGTTCCGCTGTTGCCGGTCGGGCAGTGCCCGCCTTGAGTTGGGTGGGGGTTGGTTGAGGGGGTAGAGTCAGGTCTGCGGTTGGATGATGTGGGCTCGGTCGTAGTCCGGCAAGGTTAATAGTAGTGGTAGTAATGGGGTGGGGAGGAAGGGAAGGGACGTTTGTTTGGGTGCATTTGTTGCGGGTGTGGGAAGTTTGGACGCATGGATGCGTTTCTGTCGCTCTCTTATAAATACCAAGTCATCATTTTCTCTGTCGAGTAGGCTTTTACATAGATAACTGGACCGGAACACTCCTTTGAGAGAATCCATGGGCCACACGGTCAGGTCCTATATGCCGTTCCGCTTCATATCTTTTGTTGCTCTTCTCTTATGGATGGTGCGTCCCTACCTCGATCGTCCTCTGCTCGCTCCTCTTCCACCCAAGCGTGTCTCCCTGGCTTCAAGCTCCCGGCTCGCTTTGATTTCGTGTCCAAATACCCCCATCCCTAAAGTGATCTCCTTAAGAAGCGTTCCTTTAAATACTCTTGCTTCTCTCTGCTTATACTGTCTTAAGCCCCGCCCTCTCTTCCTCCCTCACTATCTCACTCACCCACTCACCCACTATTCCCCGCCAAGCGAAACAGAGCAGACATGCACTGCGGACAGACAGAAAAGCTTGCGCTCCGCCTAGCTCAGCTCAGCTCAGCTCAGCGCAACAGGATAGGACAGGGTAGGTTCGGCGGGCGGGGTATTATGAATATCTATTCATTTGTTTTAACATGATCTCTTGGTGGGAAATTCTGCGTCTGTGCAAAAACTGACGATCCTCATCTGCTCCACTAGAACAGGACTCTCCGAGTCTTCATCCTAGAGATAATTAATCGTACATGGTCCGACTCGAGTCGGTCAGTGGTGTAGCTTAGGGTTTTGAACCACTCTTTCTCACACCAAGACCAGAACGCTGGGATCAACAACTCCATAAGCTTGATCCCCATCGGCCACCTGATTCTTCCCTTGAGCACCGCCTCTCCTTCTCCTTCTTCTTCCTTTTTGCTCTTTCCCATCAAACCCATTCCGCCATGTTTCTGATAAATCCTCATCCTCACTTCTTACTCCGATCCGCCTGCGCCTTGAGATATTTCTGCACAAGCTCCTTCTGAACCTGACCGGGCGCACGTTCGTAATGGCTAAACTCCATGGTGAATTCGCCTTTGCCTTGAGTGGCTGCGCGTCTGTCCCCCAAAGGTAAGGTCAATCAGTAAAAGTTCGAAACACAAACAACCACTGGAACAGAGCTCAGGGACGAGAGTGTCTTGACTTACAGATTCCCACTAAAGCCAAACATGCCCCCCAACGAGCAATCGGCAAAAACAGTGAATTCATCCACGCCCACCTCCGTATCGTGAATGACCGCATTCCGCTTATTCAGTAACCCAACGACATTGCCCTGAAATTCAATCGGGGCCGTCACGACCGTCTTCATGAGCGGCTCCAGCACGGCGGGACCCCCCCGAACAAACGCCTGCCGGAAGGCCTGCTGCGTCGCGGTTCTGAAGGCTTGGTCGCTGGAATCCGTCATGTGCGTCGCGCCATCATTGATCACCATGTGCAGACCAAGTACTCGATGACCAATAAGCGGTCCCCGTTCGCAGGCCATATGGAACCCTTTGTCGCAAGCCGAGAGATATTTCTCGCCGATAGAGCCACCAACGACTTGTTCTTCAAACGAGTTCCCGTCCAGATTCCCCGTTGGTTCTAACCAGCCCATGACGCGCGCGAAATCGCCGGGCCCACCGGTCTGTTTCCTGAAAAGGTGGTCAAAATCCACTTTTTCGGTCATGGTTTCTCGGTACGCGACCTGTGGGGCACCGGTTTCGCATTCAACGCGGTATTCGCGCCGGAGACGCTCAACGTAGACTTCAAGATGGAGTTCGCCCATCCCCGAGATGATGGTTTGTTCGCTCTCGACGTCGAAGTGCACGCGGAAGGTAGGGTCTTCGCGTTGGAAGCGGGCGATGGCTTTGGAGAAGTTGGCCGAGTCCTTGCTGTGTTTCGGCTTGATGGAGAGGGAGATAACGGGTTCAGGCACAAACATGCTCGTCATGGAGTAGCCGAGCTGGCCGTCCGTGAAGGTGTCGCCGGAGGCGCAGTCAACGCCAAAGACGGCACAGATCTCGCCAGCGCTGACAGACGAGACCTCCTCCATTTCGTTAGAGTGCATGCGGACGATGCGATTGATTTTGACTTTCTTATCTGTGCGAGCATTGTATACATACAGGCCTTTGCGTAATTCGCCTTGATAGACCCGGATGTAGGTGAGTTGACCAAACGGGCTTTCTTCCAGTTTGAACGCCAGGCCAACAAATGGGAGAGAGTTGTAAGGAATCAGCTTGACCGGTGTTTCATTTTGCCTTCGGTCCAATGCCGTATTCTCAACTTCGGAAGGATTGGGCAGGTAGTCACACACACCATCCAGCATGGGTTGCACAAACTTGTCGGCTAATGCAGAGCCCATGAAAACGGGTGTAAATTTGAGAGAGATGGTGGCCCGTCTGATAGCCGCCCTGAGCTGTACATCGGTAGGCTCGACCTCGTCCAAAAACATGTTCGCCATTTCCTCATCGACGTCTGCAAGGGTCTCAATAAGCTTGGCCCGTCGTTCTTGAGCGAGCGCCCTGACATCTTCGGGGATCTCGGATTTGCGAACAATTTTCTCTCCCCGAGCTCCTTCTGCATATAATGTGGTCATGGTGAGAAGGTCAACAACTCCATGGAAGTCATCCTCCACACCAACTGGCACTTGTACAGCGGCAGCGTGGATCTTGAGCTTGTAGTTGATTTGATCAATGGCTTTGAAGGGATTGGCCCCCATCCGATCCATCTTGTTGACAAAGGTGATTCGAGGCACATTGTATCTCTTCATTTGCCTGTCGACAGTGGTGGTCTGAGACTGTACGCCAGAAACCGCACAAAGAATCATGACCGCTCCGTCCAGTACCCGTAACGCTCGTTCGACTTCGATGCTAAAGTCGATGTGACCAGGCGTATCGATCAGATTGATGTGGTATTTCTCTTCCTTCCCATTCTCCACCTTGAGCCAATCGCAAAAGGTCGCAGCGGATTGAATTGTGATGCCCTTTTCACGTTCTAGCTCCATAGAGTCCATCTTAGCTCCGACTGCGTCTCGGCCACGAACTTCGTGTATGGCATTGATTCGCCCAGTGTAGAAGAGTACTCTTTCCGTTGCTGTTGTTTTCCCAGAATCAATGTGCGCCTAACGAATTCAGCAACTATCTTGGAAGAGAGAACGTTGTTGTCCTACAGCGATGCCAATATTCCGGACTTTAGATAACCGTGCAGCTTCTTGCGGATCAAGGTTCTCGATAATGGTCTCTTGCGCTAGGCTCTCGGGTTCTGCTTGCGCCTCTTCTAATCTTAGAGCTTATGAGCATACGATAATCTTTTCTCGTCGTCATACTTACATTGCGGTGGCTGCCGCAGCACCCCTTCGTTGCTGCCACCGTCGGTCCAATGGCAATTTTTGTGCCGAGGAGGAAGGTCGGAGAACTGCGCTAGAGGAGCATCGTTGGCAGCCACGAAATCGCAAAGGGACCTCCCTTGAGGGCCGGACAATGCTCTCGAGCACTCGGAGTGAGCTTCGAGATAGTTTTGAAGTCCGCATAGCTGGGGTTACTGGACAAGCTGACTTGTTGATAATCGGCTCGAATCGACACCAGAATTTTTGGACCAGGATCCGCGTCCGGTCGTCAGACTTGCCGAGAATTAGCCGGGCAGGCATCAAACTAGTTAGTAATAGTGACCATCGGTTGAAAGACTGTAATCATGGGTCATACATTCGCACTATGGATCATCTACGTATCACCGTTCCCTAGCATCCTCTTTGCCACTGATTGCGTCCTCCGAGTCATTTAGATTCAGTCTAAATGAGGACTGTTTTCTTGGCACAGCATTAGCAGTCTTTGAGGAAGCAGCCAGCCATTCCCGTGCCTATATTATAAGAGATTTCGCTGCTATTTTCACTATCGTGTATACATCAGTCTTCGGAGCTTCTTATTAAGTTATTGCTCATGTCCCCTGACAGAGGGCAACAGGGAGAGAGCAAGCCAATATTCTTTATCTCAATGTTTCGTCCTCTTTGACATGCAGAGAGGCCAGGATGGTAGGGGCAATTAAGGATATCGTCAAGAATTTACAAGACTTTCTTAATGTTAGAGAGAGTCGAAATCTCTTCAATTCTTAAAACGAAGATTATTGTGACTAAAGATTATGTGAATTTAAAATAATTTGAAGACAGATTTCAACTAAAATCCTTTCAGTCTTGACAGGTATTTGAGCTCAGACTAGTAGCGATTATGTGAGCATTAGTCTTTAGAAAAATAAATGAAAATTCCAAAATGGCAATAACTTTGAGGTTAAGAGTCTCATGCTCTACCGATTAACGTAGAGGGGCTACTGGAGTTGATCGTTTCGAAAACTATGAATCTTATCACGGATATCCTAGAATCCGACCGGATTTTACGAACAATGTCTGGAGCACACTTCCATTGTGGAGTATGAAAAGTTTTGCTCATGTGTTCTTATTATCTTATGATACAGTCCAATCGCATCACACCCACCAACCAGGGAATCACTCTGGATCAATCCGTAGGACTACTACAATTTAACAAGGTCAGCCTCATTCTGATTTTGATTCATGAAGAAAACTTCCTAAATGCCTAGGACGAATATCAAATTCGCAAGCTTATCGTTTGCGAACCATAGAAGGCCAATTTGTCTGTTACCAAGAACGGGCACTCACTGTAGCAGCTGCCATGGCGAGGGTTCATCACGTCCAGAACCACAACAGAAAGAAGCTTGGAGACTGGTACGTCCCGCGTCCATGCAGCGGCATCCGGAGGTGGTCCTTCGGAAATATCCGGCTTAAGCTCAAGCTCTAGCTCTGGTGTTCTTCCAGCATCTCCACAATGAATTTCTGGAAGACCTATAAACGGTACCTGGGACGGAAAGTAGTACCTGGGAGCGACACTTTAAAGAAATTGCACATGGCAATAAAAAGCTCCACGAATTGCTTCCTGTTGCTATCGAAGCGGTGACACAAACTAACCAGGATTGTAATAATCCATTGGCATTTTCCCCTCCCGTTCTTCTGTGGTGGGGAAGGCCAAAAACCAATCCTGTTTTATGGCGTTGTGGTCTCAGGACCCAAAGACATGATCTCTGTCCTCAAGAATGGTCCAAAAGCAAAATCAGGCTTCAAATCGTTCGTTACCTCCTCACTGTCAAATGTTCTCAAAACGGCTCATGGAGATCCAGAAACACAGCTTTGAGCAAGAGCGTGGCAGCCAATGTCCTCAACATGGCAAGGCCGAGTATGTCCGTTCCCGCTTCGACGGCCAGAATATCCCAACTAAGTGCATTGTGTATGGAACAAGCGCAGGAGTAGTCAGGTCTCCTGCCTACTCTGTCAATCGCCCGAACCATTTTGTTGTCATCAACCGGCGGATATGCTTATAGACTTATAATAATACCCTCCATCCTATCACACCAAAAATCGAGATTGGAGCGAGATTCGACAGAATCCGGCAACCGCGACAAATTTTTGACACAACAGCAACTCCGACCCATTGAATCTTGTTGCTTACGTTGCGGTGAACAGGCCGAAGTGTCGGGTGACGCAAACGTTTATATCGACCTCGCGCCACGATGGACCCCAGTGATCTTCGTCATCTTTTACGCCGAATGTCGTCCGAAGCGTCTGTCCTGCCTGAAGTTCAACAGATCATCTGACCGATTCATACCGATAGATTCGTACACTCCAGTGGCATCAAGGCTACCAACTCAGCAGGCTCAGTATGGGGAGCCTCATTGCTATTTATGGTTGCTGCAAGTGTTCGCTTTACGTACGTATCCAGTACCAACCTGCAGCAGTTCGATGTGGTCCCTCGTATTGCTGAGGGTGGGATGAATCCTGCAGGATGCACGATGGCGCTACTGGCACGTAATAAAGTTGTGTCTTTGCATCTGTCGCACAAATGCCACCAATCAGGCTTCCAACCCCCAAACAGCTGCAAGCTTTCGTATGTGTGCACGACCTTGTACTTTTCAGCTGATGTAGCACCTCTCCCAGCGCCCTCCACCTCTAGCAAAGTTCAAACTCTGAACAAAGCTATCCAGCGTACAGCGACCGAGACCATCGGCGCCACAGGTATGGAGGGGCATGACTCGGTTGTTGAGAAGAACACGTATGTACTCCTTACCATCTGCACCACATCTCATCTTCTCTACGTACATACGCGCAGCGAAGGGTACCGTCCATGATGCGGAGAAGCCGTCTGAGTGCTCTGCATCTTGAATTGACGATACCGGCAAGGGATCTGTGGCATTATACAGGCCCAGCGCCGCAAAGATAGCTTCCATATCATTGTCATGACTAAAATCAGCGTACAGCTTGGCATCTACTGGGAAGGTGGCGTTCGATGAGTCCAATGTACGATTCGTGCATGTACGATCGTGTACCGGGCTGTGGATGAGTCTGGCGATCAGCTCGTTAACAAAACCAACTCCTAGTGTTGGTGCAAGCGGATTGCCCGTGCCATGACCATAGTATTTATTGAGCGCCTGATAGTAGTCGTAGCTTTTCCATTCCATCGCGGTGAACAGACCGCAAAATGGCGACAACGAGGATGGACCTTTGCTGGCAACGGTTTCGAATGGGCAGAGGTCCATCAACTCGATCGCCTCGCCAACGCTGAGATTTGCTCCCATCAAGTCATTGTTCAAACGAGTTTGTATGGCGGGTGCAAAGATGGCAGCCCATCTTGCCTGCGCATTGATCCCTACATCTATGTTGGGTTTCTGGCTGAATGCCGGACAGTTCTTAACGCTCAGAGTGTTGTTCGAGCCATCTGCCTCGCTTACGATGACGGCGACTGTTGGACTAGGTTGTGTCTCCGCTGCAGTCTCATTGGCAAGGTTTGCGTCATGAAAGCCTTCGGAGAACCTTTCTGCTGATTGAACCACACGATCTTGGCCGGATGCACGAATAAATGGCAGCTGGTTCCGAGTTAAGTTATGGTATCGAGCATAAAATACTTTCCCGGATCGTTTCATTTCTTGTTCTCCATACGCAGTAAGGTCATCAGCACCAAGTCCATAAGAGTAGTGCTCGAGGAAGCTGTAGGGACCAGTGAAAGATTGAGCATTCGCTTTGAGGCGATTGATCAGCAACCTGTACATCGCAGATTTGTACATTGTGGGATATCGTGATCCATGCCGTGATAACAGCTGAACAAATGTGTACCGGCATGTACTTGGAATTTCTCAGATCTGATCTCGGACTTTACGTCGAAATATGGGGAGTATTGTCCCCAAGACTGTGAGATATGGTAATCGACCACCGCGCTGGCCTGATCAGAAGGACCTTGGATATCTCCCAGTGGCCTCGAATGCCTGCGTAAACTCAACGGCCGTACACTAGGTGGCGCTGATGAGACATACCACTGAATAAGAGTATAACGCAGAACAGAGAGAGTTATAATACACAAGGCCACGATCGGACATAATCGGATCAGCCTGCTGTGGAGGCTACTACCCATCGCGCTGGTGAATGAAAAGTTGTGATGCGGAGTTCGACTAGTATCGATTGGGATGAAGCACGATTTAATTCAGCATGATAAGGGTCCCCAGGGTCTATATCCATAGTCGAAGATTGTGGAAGAACAGGCTGACAGTTGAATTGCCGGTTGCAAGGTTGTTAGCGGAGTAGCGCGACCGAAGTCAAGCTTTTTGATTCTACTAACTTACAGTACTACGCATCCCTGTTGCTATTTTGCACGAATTTTGTCAATCTGCAAATTCTGCAAATGCTGCGAATTCTACAAATCCTGCTCATTCTATTAATTCGATACGGATACTAATGAGTCTAATAGACCTTCTACTCCTCCTCATTCCTCTCATTCTACTCGAGATCAACGTTTACAAATCCAAACTCTACACAACGCAGGCCATACGTACAACGAAATTCTTCAGCAGTTGCCCCAATCTTACTCGATATCAAATCAAATATGCTATTCGCAATTGATTAACACCTAAAAAGCACACTGGGCGACATTCAGTTGTTACTGAAGAAGAACTTGAGCAAATTATTGCGTGGATTTGTTCTTCTGCAGCTAATCAACGTACTCCATGGATCCAAATCCCTCTTGCTATGAAGATCAATATTGGATGGTATGATTCGAAATGCTTTACGAAGAGCAGGCTTTGCGCGTCGAGTTGCTTGCTGTAAACCTCCTATTTCTGAAAAGACTCGAAAAGCACGTTTTTAATAGGCCTCTGAGCATGCGAATTAGACGTATAAATAATAGAAAAAGATACTATAGAGTGACGAAACATGGGTTAATGGAGATCAACATACTAAAACGTACGTTACTCGTCGACCTAGTGAAGAGTAGGATCCTATATGCATAATTGAACGTTATTAACGACGTAAAGGTTAGATGTTTTGGGGTTGTTTTAATAGTGATAGAAAAGGTCCTGGTATCTTTTGGGAGAAAGAATAGGGTACTATTAAAGAAACAACATATCAAGAGCACATTGTACCTCTTATTAATAATTGGATACGAACAAATAGCAGCGAAGGATTGATATTTATGCAAGATGCTATAGGGATCGACATACAAAGACGTATGTTACACGTCGATCTGGTGAAGAGTGGGATCCTACGTGTATTATTGAACGTCATCAACGACGTAAAGGATGGATGTTTTTTGGGGTTGTTTCAATGGTGATAGAAAAGGTCCTGGTATCTTTTGGGAGAAAGAATGGGGTACTATCAAAGAAACAACATATCGAGAGCATATCGTACCTTTTATTGAGAATTGGATACGAACAAATAGCAGCGAAGGATTGATATTTATGCAAGATGCTGTACCTGCTCATGCTGCTAAGGGCACTATTCGAGATCTTCATTAATGTGGCATATCTTGTATCTAATGGCCTGCATATTCGCCTGATTTGAATCCAATTGAGATGGTATGGAATTGGATGAAGGATTGGATACAAGAGCGCTATGGAGATACTCTGCATAAGTACGATGAGCTACGAACAGCTATTAATGCTGCATGGGATGCTGTACCCCCTGAATATCTCAAGGAGTTGCTTGAGTCAATGCAGGAGAGATGTCAAGCAGTTTTGGATGCCAATGGAAAACAAACTCGATTTTAGAGACTAGTCTTAATTGGGCGATTTTGTGTACATCTATACTTAATTCTGCATAGTAGGTTTTGTACGAATACTAGCGTTTTCAACCAGGGGGGGTGCAAAAATTCGGCCTGTAGCCGTACTACGTAGTAGATTGCGAATATAATTAGATTTCATTTCGCCAAGACCGAGCTAGTCCAGATTCAAAATGCGCTAGATCTAATCGGGTAGCTTTGTGTCATGTGATCTGTTCTAAGCATTCTCTTACCATTAATTATTGGTTAGGCCCTGTTCGGACAATCACTAGGAAATTACAGTGCACTGTTCCCCAAACGATCCTAATTGAAATCTATCTTAAAATCTATTAACTATAAATTTTCGTAAAATTTTCCTACAAATAGGTTTCATTTCAAGGATCCGAAAGATTTCGGCGACCCTGCCCCCTATGCTGTTAAGTTCCCAGATACAGAGTCGTATGTCAAAAGTAGTTGACCCCCCGGGCAGTGTGGCGCTGCCAGGGTTGAAGGGTTGACCCACCAACTAATAGTATAAGGAGTTGGCCCCAAATTATGTTTATATCAGCTACTAAATGATCCTCATCCTTATAGGTACTTAAAGTGCTTCTTACAAGGTGTAATCTTATCTTATAGGCCCTTATTATCCCTAACCTCAGACCCTAACAGCCTATCAAATATCAAGTCACCTAAGAGACTAAGTATTGGGAACTAAGAAGAAGCTGGCTAGCTGCTTAGCCACAGTCTACTTTTGACGCACGACTCCGTACATTAATTAGTTCTGAGAGAAAAAAAGGACGTATCAACCACTCCGCCAAAAGGACAAACGCCAAAATCACACTTTGTTGATGTACATTTCCTGCTACCAAGCGTGATACTTCCCCTTGTTGACCAGAGCCTTTGGCAGCGGTTTATTCCCTTGCTCAAAGATGTTCTGTTGCAGCATTTACACTGTTTAGGAAACAAAAACATTACCATGTTCAGCGACGCTTTTGAAAAATGCTTCGTGAAGCTATCTAGAAATCTGGCTTCTTAGTATTTATTGCTGAAATAGCGTTTTCTTGCCTACTAGAGGAATGCCTTCAGTCTGTAAGGACCTTGGGCTGTCATTAGGCTTCGCTCAGCCTCGTGACTGGAAGCGTGCTGCAGATGGTGAACAATTGATCATGATGAGAGTACTGATGATTCAGTTTTCACATTTCTTCGTTCCAAACCAATAACTGATACAATGTAAGACCAGCCCAGTGGAATTGGCACATCATGTTTTGTTCTCTGTCCGTCTCATAGGCAGGCATTCTCCTCATGGTGCAGGGTGGTTGAATCGCAATGAGAAGGTTGAGCTGGGTACTTCTCGTGGCTCCTCTGCCAGCCCTCTTCTCATTTTTTTCCTGGGATCACTTGTTCCCACTTTCACGATAGCAACAATGATGGCAAAGTGCTTCAAGCTGGCCGTGCTCTGAGCACGTCAGCTACAGGTGGTTTTCATAAGGCCAAAACTATACCCATGGGCATCTGTTGTAACATGTTCACGCTGCTCTCTCAGGATGTTCAAGAGTTCCCCACTTGCAATATGGGGTTGACGAGATCTTACGTTGCGATATTATCCAAAGACCAAGCTGCTGGAAAACCCGAGCTGGCTAAACACTGATAAATGGTAATAACGATTATGATACTAATGTATGCTTCAGTGCTCTATCATGACAGGATAGTGGTATATACGGCGTAGTTGATAGATACCGTTCCATTAGTAGAAGAATCAAATATGTGCTAGCCATCGCAAGATAGACTTTAAGCAAGGTGTTGCTGTACATGAATATGTATATGACAAGAAGTGAAGTTGGCCGTTAAACTTTTGTGTGGTGATTTTACCAGATCATCATACATTACCAGTAGATAATATGTCACCCGGGGTATCAAGCGAGAAAGGAACGACAACGGAATACTCGACTCCCGCTAAAAGCTTTACACAAACAACTGCTGGCCGATTTGACAGCCTTGCAAGATAGAAAAGGATAGAGGACGCTACTCTTGAGGTTTGCTCTCGTGCAATCTATATGGCTTCTCCAAACAGTGTTCCAATGAGGTGAAAGACAGAGCTCAATTAGAGTGGATCAAAACGGATGGATTCAAGGACCAGGATTCCAGCTCCTGCTGTAGATGTCCCGGCGGAACGGATCATGAGAGGACGGCGGCTGAGGGAGCGGTGGTGGTTGAGGTGGAAAGGAAGATTGCGGAGGAAAAGCTGCAGCTCCAGGAGGTCTTGTAGGAGGGATTGTGCTCTGAGAGTGAGGGGAAGGAGCCAGTTGGGGTGGGTAAGACGGAGCTCCAGAAGGTCTTATAGGAGGGAACGTGTTCTGAAGTATAGGTGCTGGGGCCTGAGGACCGTATCCATAGGAGTGTGGCTGCAGTGGTAGCATTGGTGATGTGGCAAGGGGGGCAGGAAAGGTTGTGGGGTAGCTGCCGGTCCTGCGACGAAGGTTACGTGGAAGCGGTTCGCTTGTTTCTCTTGATATATCTTGCCATTGTGGAGGAGTGTCCCCGAGTGATGTGCGTGATGCCGGTGGCGCACGCGGTGTCAGTGGACGCTGTGGCATTTGTCCCGGCCCTAGCTGTCTCGTGCATAGCTCGCGGAAAAAATCTCGCTCAGAACGGTAATGGTTCCGTTCATCTTCCAAAGCTCTCAGGTTTCTTTCCAAGCTTGATATGGTCTGTGATGCTTCTCGCTCTTTCTCTTTCCTCCTTTGCCTGAAACGCGCCGAAGCACCAGCGTTGCGCTTTCTCTTCTCATTTGCCGTTTTGGATGCTTGCTCAACGTCCAACTCGACGGGCAGCAGCATCTGGCCTCCTTCGGTGGGAATCGAAATTCCATAAGAACCCTTGGACATGTCATACTGTCCTTCTCCTAAATTAGTTGCCGATTGCCCAGCTGGCAATGTGACCGATGGCCTAGTAGATCCAGACTGCGCGGATGAAGGATGTTGAGCGGGAGGACCGTATCTAAGAATGGGCGATGACTGACTGAAGTGACTATAAGAAGAATGCGAAGTGCTAGGACTTTCTCCCTGCGCTTGAATTGCGGATGGCGCAAAGGGAATTTTTCCAGTGCTAGGCCTTCCGGGCTGACCAGGAGCAGATTCGGCCAGAGATGGATACACATTCGATGAACGTCCCACAGGAGTCGGAGGAGGCAGCTGTGGGAGTTCTGAAGTTCTGCCCTGTTCGGCCTCGGTTGTATACGTCCGGCTGTCGCCTCTCGTCATGGGTGATTGTGATGTGCCGAAAAGATCCATAGCTATGCTTCGTCGACCTCCCAAGCTTAAAGTCCTCAAACCTGGTGACCTCGGCGTCAAGATTCGCCTTTCTACCCGGCTACTAGATGCGCGTGTTTGTTCAGCCTTTGGTGAGATTTGCGTGGAGCGCTTCGCAATCTGTGGCAAGGAAGGCGCCGCAGTAGACTGCGTAGGGGAAGATGGCCGACCAGAGGTTGCAGGTGGCTCCATCTGTGAGCGAGTCTGTTCATCATTGTGCGAAGGATTGAGGATATTTTGCATGCCGAACGGCCTTGACGGGGATGGATCGGTCAACAAGGGCGGTAGTCGATTGGTAGAGGTGACCGCGCCCAATGGAGGAAGTGTCGTCTTTGAGGGACCAGCCTGAGGCTGACTCGTGTAGGGTGATTCTGGTAGCACATTGTGAGAGCTTTGGGGCCGCGACAATGAAGGCGACAGAGGAGGAAGAGATTGTGAATCTCGACCGGGAGCATTCGAGTAAGGACCTGACGCAGGGTTTCTCTGCGACATGTAATCCTGGACCTCTATGCGAGCCTCGTCCTCGGAATCCGTACATGAGCGAGCCTCCTTCCTCCCACACTCCACCTTCTTGCCCAAATGCCGCTGAGCGACGCCTCGTAAGCCACGGAACAAGCTTAGAGAGCGTTGATGCTCAAGGTACCCTATTGAAAAAGGAGCTCCAGGGTAATCGAATGGCGACGGTGGATCGAGCGTCAACGTAGCCACACTGAATATAGATAGAAGTCTGCGCGTCCAAATCAGCATCAATGGTATTTTCGAAACGCTAAGGGAAATATACTTGTATCGGCTCTAGCCGGTTTGTACATCAACAACTATCTGGAAATAATGGACGTTTCCAACGTAGTCAAGTGGCGACGGCAAGGTTATTTGGAAACACAACAAGCGGCAAATTACTGAACTTGACGAGACAATTGCAGAGTATCGCTGCAAGTGGTATGCTGACCAGGGGTTAAAAAGAGACAGAACGGTGAAGTATGAGAGGTCGGCACTGCGCCGTATGAACTGGCAGCTAGACGACAGGACGACATGAACGTCACAGGATCCAAGGACTAGCTTAGCTGGAGCTCGAATTCCATCGGAGGGCCTTCACGATCTTGGATAAAAGGTGACGGGTTCCCGGGGAGCAGCGGAAAGTAGCTTGAAGGTTGAAATGAACGAATAGCTTGGGTATTTCGCTGGAGGAACTAGTGCCGGAAGCTTGGGATATGATTCAAGAAACATGAGGCAAACGTGGGAAGTAACAAGTAGATTTTGGACAGACCAACCGAAAATGCAAGTGAAGGCGCAAGAACTGCAGCGTGCGTTTGGCATTGCCCAAGACATGATTAGCTGAGTGGTACCAGTCAATGGTTGGACGCATCATAGCCACCACTACTAATGTCGTCGACACGATTGACCAGCAAGCCAAAGGTGAAGCTGGAAATGGGGGCGTTCCAACCACGAAGGACAGGGAAGTCAGGGACCGCCATCAGCTTGGTCAGTCTTCCTTGGGAAGCAATCTGCTTAGAGCGTGCCGGACTCGCCCCTAGACGGGGCCTTTGACTTTGTGGCCCCTGCCTGAAATGGGTGGCTACTAACGCACTTCTACCATGTGGAACTGCCAAGCAGATTCCACCAACCAGGTAGTGATTTCTATTAGGCTCTTGTCATCATGCGCGAAACAGGCGGCTGCCGGGGATGATGAACAGCAAAAATGCTCCAGCGCGGACCAGGGCCTAAGCTTCTTGCTGTCAATCGTGCATCCGTGGGCCATGCGGCGTTTCGCCCTAAACATGGCCTGCTCCACGTTCGTGTTTGATAGCTTCGATCGATTGCATTCGTTCAAGGTGAGGCGCATTGGATAATCATCAGCCGCACTGCAACGGGCCACATAGAGCACCTGTTAGAAGCGGGTCTTGTGCCTGGCTATGCATGTAGATTAGTACCACCTCCTTAATAAGGCAGAGACCGTATCGTAAGCGGAGGCAGGCAAGTTTTTTAGGCAGCCACAGTGCAGATGCGCAAGACCAAAGTTCACACCTAAACGAGTGACGGTGAATCGGTCACGGAGCTAGCTGAGACCCGAGTCACTCCGTAAGAGGAGATGGCGATCCATTTTTGGCTCAGCAAGTCGCCATCGCCTGAATTCACCGAAATTATGGCCCAGGCAAATTAGATGGTGATCTTTTAATTTCAAACGCCCAAGACCGGGCTTGCGCGCCTCTTTCTTCATTCGAGAGGCACCTTTTCCTGTGAAGCCGCAAAGCACATGAGCTCTAACGAGGTGCACCGCTTAGACGCGAGGGTTTAGGAGCTTGTCGAGGACGTGCCCGCCCATGCGGAGATTTACAGGCCAATTAGTTGTGCAACGGGCCGTCTACCTGATGATGCAGGCCGAGAAAACGTGGCTAGTGTTGGGCAGGAAAGCGGGATGACAATGCTGGTTGACAGCCACTCGTTCCCTGGTGCAATGTACTCTAAGTTATTAGTTACTTGCTTGTCACATCACACGGTATGTCCCCCTCTTTTGGCTTTTCTATCCCAGTAGGTAGTAGCTGTGCGCCACCCCAAGGGGACATCGGTGATCGCTCCGACGCCCACGCTTTGGGGGTTGCACACGTACACACCGTAGCAGTGTCTGGCATGGCGAGGATGAGACATGGTCTGAGATTCAGGTACAGGTTTCGTTTTGGCGTCTTGTCTGATGTTCGCTGGGATACCACAAGTGCGGTGCTCCCCAGGAGTGGTACTGGATCTGCTAGGTGACCGTCCCTTGGCGATACTTGTCGAGGATTCGAGGAAGGAATTCAAGTTAATCGCTTTCCTTCGTCGCAACAATTGCCGGACCAGAGACCACTGCACGACGCCCCCAAAGCTGGGCTCGGCAAGGCTTGTGATGGTATTGGTCTTGATACATGATAATGGCTTGCATATCACGCGCAGGATTGCTGGCTACAGGTCACATGTTGCCTTGTGCCGCACACACCTCCGCCTGTTGTTGGAGCAACAGCTAACCACCAATGCCACCGTCTCGTTTTCTCTCACCGAACTTACAAATGGATTGGCCTATGATGAAGCTAACGACCCTCAACCACAGATATACTTATCCGAAATGGAGGAGCCTGCCATCCGCTTAGGGTTGCAATCGTGTTTGGCGAATCCGAATCTGTGAAATATCATACGTAAAGTAGGAAGCTATAAGCACATCAAGATTAACCAGGTTCGTGTACACCGTGGTGGTCGATAGTCACGAACTAATGAAAAGCCACCAGACATAGGCGTCCTTTCAGATAGGGTCAAACCACGTGGGAAGTTTCAGTCCGAGAACAAGGATAAGTAGCTTCGTCGTCAAACCATGACTGATGAGATTCTCCTTTCAGCCGGATAATTCCTTTGGTAGTTACTAGTTACAGGGGAAACTAGTTTTTGTCCCAGGCCATTTTCAGAAGCATAACATACGTAGTACTACATAGGGCACGGCCGAAAGGCTCCGGGATAATAAATGCACCCCCATGCCCAGAACTTACTTAGAACCTTTAACTAAAATTCACTTCCAGTTAAAGTTTTTACAATCCCTATTCTTGATATCAATGCAACAGCAATTTCTCTTTGGTTAATTAGAACGAATAGACGGTTGTACGGTCATGACACAACGAGACCAAGAGATTTGAATCATTTCCGTTGTACCCAAGATCTGATGTATCCTGTGGGTTGAAAGTGGTGCATTGCGTGTCCTGGACCGAAGCTTGGCGCCAAAATTCATTGCAGTTCTCAGATCCCCTTCCTCCCCCCCCTTCTTCATTCCTCTATTTCTCTACTAATACTCACTCAAATTTAGTGAACAATGGATTCTGAACAGGGAAATAGACGCCGCGTCTGCAGAAAGTCTTATTCGATTGATCCTCCTTCTCCTGCAGCCTCACGAAGGCCAAAAACGATGCTTGACACACCGCGCCGAGCGCGCCTCCTTGCTGATGCACGCCACACAGCTGGCAAATTACCCCGTACAGAGCTATTTAAGATACATAATATAGCTAATCGAACTGGCTATCAAATCCTTAAAGAAGGATCTGCGCGCCGCAGCGAGAAAGTCTACAATCGAGGCCGAAAACGAGTACTTACTTCATACGAATGTGAAGCAATTGAGGCAGTAGAAGATGCTAATTTTGGCTTTGCTTCTTCTAGTCATTTCAAGGTGGCAAAGACTATTGGTATAGCTAATGGCTCTGAACGTGCTATTCAAAGAAATATGAAGGATTTTGGTGTAGGGACCTATATGGCTGCACAGAAAAAATTGCTCTCACAAACGCATATTGATACTCGAATTATATAGGGATTTGAGCGTCGATATTAGCAATTAGATCAATTCAAGAAGTATCGATAGTGTGATAAGTCTCATTTTGCTACTTGCTTGCAGCAACAAGCTCGTATCCATCGTCGACCAGGATAGTAGTAGTAAATTCTATTAACCTAATCCAGACTAAAGAGCCTATGTAGGTCTGCTTGTACAACTTTTCTCACTCTCTTCTGCTCTTATTCCTCCTCCTCCGTTCTGGCCTCCTCCCCCTCTTCTCGATTCTCGTCCCGCGGTCGTTGTTCTATGTCTTGATCAACGACCCTCTTGAACTGGTCTAGGATCTTCGTGCGCTGAATCATCCTGATGGCTGCCTTCGCTCCCCTCTTGGAGGTCAGGATTTTCTTGATGTCGGTCGTACGAAGAGGGTGTATGAGCTCTTCTCTCTCTGTAGACCACTTTGGGCAATTCAGTAGAACATGTTCTACTGTCATGCTTTCTCCTCTTGAGCAGTCGCAATTCGGACTCAAGATGTCAGGGACCTTCATTTCGTATAAGAAGGCGTTAAAGCCTAGCGTGTAGCATAGCAGGAATCTGAGAACTGCAAAGAATTTTGGCGCCAAGCTTCGGACCATTCAGTACCTTACTACGTAGTATGTTGTGCTAAACTACGGCTCGGATCTGCAACGACTTTGATAATTTGTCGAGGTCATAGAGTAAGCTTGAAATAGACTGAGAGATAGGCGGTTTGGCTCCTCATGCTGTTGACCGAATATCAGCTTTGGAAAAACTGTATTCGTACCAGGGAAAGTAAGGGAAGTTGGCTCCCGCGGCCGTTCTGCGGGCCGCGGAGAAATCAATGGGTGCCTATCAGAGCTCTGGTCCCAGGCGAAGTCAGTAAATGAAAGGATAGGAAATTACTTGACAGTTCTTGATGAGCGGCATACATTGCAAGAGTTGTACCATGAGCAGCTGTCGATCCGAAAAGGAGGAAGAATGGTTAAGCTAGCGTTGAGGGTGAGTGATCATTCGAGTACTCGCCCCTTTTTTGGGCCTCGAAGCACAATATCTTATAGCAGTTGCACATTGTTTGGTATTTCTACAGTTGGTGTTGATATCAATCCATGTGCTTTACGCCACGTGGTACGTGGAGTCATTCACACGTTGACAGATGCGGAGAGCTCGTCTAAATCCTTCAGGCTCTCGCACCATTCATGGGATTCGAGCCTTATGCTTCGGCATTCCTTCGACACCAACGTCGACGCGGAAGACACATCCAGCACACTTGGCAGATTCAGGGTATCTTTCAGGTTCATCTTCTTGAGCACTCGTTATGAAAAGCTCTGTCCCAACAAAGACCGGGCATGTCGGATTTCGTGTCGGTAGCAAGATCTCGCCTACTAGCTTGCCTTCGGGGGAGATCTTGACGACTCTGCTCCCGCCATAACAAGCATGCCATAAGTTGCCTTCGACATCTCTAGCATGTCCGTCAGGGTTACCATAGGATTCGTCATCAGGATGATGATAAAAGACTCTCCTGTTTGAGATATTTCCACTTTTGGCATCAAAATCGAAAGCGAACACATTGTTGGTTGGCGTATCGGTCCAGTACATGGTATCGTCCTTTTCATTCCAACTAATGCCATTGGCGACTGACACCTCTTCCAACACGCGGTGCAAGATGCCGTCCGTGTCAAGTCGGAACAGTACTGCTTCGTTAGTGATCTCTGTCTCCTTCGGGTCATTCATCGTCCCCAGCCAGAACCGGCCAGCGCTGTCAACTGCGCCATCGTTTGATCTCATTCTGTTTTCATGAACTTAGTCTTAATAAGCCAGCTACTCCTGTTTACTGACCTTCTTACCTTCTCTGGGCCTTCGCTTTCGGCCCAGAGTTTAGTGATGTACTCATGCTCTCCCGTCTCGAGGTTGAACTTGGTGACACCGTCTTTGGCTCCGGTGAGGATAAAATCATGCTCGTCTTTAATATCTGCTGTCACGCCTACGGCCATGCCTGTGTCTATTGTTCGCAAAGATCCTGGTCCCTTGGCTAAGTCCACGATGTGAAGCTTCCTGTCGAAGATGTCCTATCTCATCATCAGTTGTGCGGTCAGAAAACAGATGGTGCCAGGGTTTGACAGAAATGTCCTGTACCGACCACAAAGCGCAAATGATTATGTTCTTTACTGTAGTAAGGACCTTCTCCCAATGCACACTTGATCTCGAGCCAAGGCTGTGTGATAGACGTTAGTCAGAATGGGAGATCTAAGTAGTATGGTTACGTAGGCAGGTACCTTGGTGACTTTCCATATCTGAAGAGACATGGTGCAGGAATTGATAAATGGCTGTTTACAGTGATGATGGAATGTAAAATCGACTGTTTTTGACGAAATCCGTACAAACAGCGGCGTTCAAGTGGTGGTTGGGAAAGCGTGACGTCTACCTATGGTGGAGAGAGTGTGTCTCGATTGATGACAGCACATTTCTAGGCAGTGACGTCTGGAAACTTGAACCACAGCGTGCTTTCAAGCGTAGATTTGTCCACCAAGTCTGCCCAACACCTTAAGTTACTCCTCAGATCATTGAAACGGCTATGCATGACCAATAAAACGTGTGCGTCTGATGATATCATGAGTCTCATGCATTGCTCTGGTCAATTCTTCCCGGTTATCGTCGTATACACTTACATGCTCACCCATGGCTTGCAAGCCACTGCCAGTCATCATGCAGGCCAGGCTCCGCCCGTCAACCCGTCACACGCTGCATCACTTGCAGAAGCTCCGAACAGCCGTTGATAGTCCAATGATAAATCAACTATTGATGCCGTGTAACAACGGCTGGTTGAGCGCTAAGTTAATTGAAAGACTCGCACGGGTAGAGAGGTCTAATTGATGCCGGTCAATATAGCTACTAGTATGCTTATGCATGAACCATAGCAAGATTCATGCACGTCCCGTCCATTGGCGTGCAGATGGCAGCTCAGTCACTTGGGATGGATATTGGATATTGGATTTTGGGTTCATTGAAATAGTTTTTCTCGAGCAAGGGAGTACATTACAGGTACGACTCATTCAATGACTTGACGTAGCCTTCAGCATGGATAAAGATTGAAATGGCCTTCTACTTCCTTCAAGTCGTAGAATGTATGCATCTCAACGTATGGACGTTTGTGGAAATTGGCCGAGAAGACTAGATCTGTATCCTGCAGGCAATGCGGTCTAACACCCATAGTGGAAAGAAATTTCTTGCTTCTGCACGTATTTTCAAGCTTTTAGCCTTTGGTCCAAGATGCCTCTTGATTCATGCAAGAGTCGTGCGAAGGTTGATCGGCAGTACATCAGCAGGAAGCAAGGCACTGTGCTAGAGCCTCGATCCAATCGTACCGTCGGAAGATGCTACCATAGAGAAGACCTGACAAATTAACGTCGGTTTGACCGACTTCCCATGGGTCACCAATTCACTGTACTCTTCTTAATTTGCCTGCTCTATTCTGCTGGCCGACCACTTAATTGAATTGATAGAAGTCTCGGGAGTCTGCAGACCGAGGCGCCTTTACAGTCTTCCAAGGACTCTCCTACCAGAGACTTGCGTACTGCGATATACGAGCCGACAGGTCCGCGCAAAAGGTTTGGGTGAACAGACGGCGCTGGTTGAAGGTCTTACAGTTGTGCGACTTGGCTGTGTCATGCTTCATTGCGAGTCTGAGCACTTCCAGACTATTTGCTAGAGACTCCCGGGCCCGTCCAGCTCTGGTATCTCAGGCTTTGCTTGGTGGCGCAATATATGCCTTCGCAGCCCGAATGGCATCTCCATCGTGAGCCTTGAGCAATTCCGTAGCTTTCACCTTGGTAAGATCGAGCTCATCAACCTACTCGAGGATTATTTCAGCACCCTTAACCTGGTTACGTTGCACTAACCAAGAAGTTGACGTCTTCAGCGGCCACTTTGACCTTCTTCTTCACCTCCACCTCTTTTTTCTCCTCCGCCTTTTTCTGGTCGCTCTTCTTCTTAGACGCACCTGCACCGCTAGCAATTTCCAACCGGCTCATCGCCTTCCCAAGTGCTTCTTGATCCGCCTTAGAAGGCTGCTTTGCTGCACTGCTGCCCGCTCCATCCTGCGTGATCTCGTTCGCATTCAGTGAATTGAGGGCGGCTGCGGCTTTGCGATCTTCGGCATTCTTAGGAAGGTGGCTCGAGGCCTCTTCTTCATTGTCCGCTGCCGCTTCGGCTGTAACATTGGAAGCTGATGGTACGGGCTCTGCCATTCTCAGGAGTTCAGTCGATATACTTGTTAAGTTTGAAATACAGTCAGAGGGTGAATCCCATGGTTGGGTTTGAGAACCTTGGCATGCCTGAGCTTCGGTACCGACGTTTGGTCCCTTGCATAACAAATAATAAAGATTTCTTTCTCCAATCCACTTATTTGTCTTGTTACTTGTTACTTATTTCTCTTACCTACGTATCAGCTGTGTCATTTGGTTGCGAATTGATGTCGTTCTCCCTTTTCGTTGATGTTCATCGTCGCCTGGTACCTCCCTACCTATTCGGCTGTGACCAATTTCAGCGCCTTGGACATTTTGACCTATCCTGAAAGGGATTAACTTAGCCCATCTCATGCAAGAGTTCCGATATGGGCGATCACTTTCTAGATGCTGACATTCGTGATTGGAGTCCATCCACATGGAGGAGCAAGCCGATCAAGCAAGATGTGAAATTTGAAGACCAGGCAGGGTTTGGCAAAGCCATCCAGCAGTTGGAAAGACTGCCACCACTCGTCACTCCACTAGAAATCGTCAAGCTGAAAAACAGTCTTCGAGAGGTGGCCTTGGGAAATGCCTTTTTGCTGCAAGGGGGTGACTGTGCTGAACTGTTTGACTATTGCGAACAGGGAATGATCGAATCAAAAGTGAAGCTACTTCTGCAGATGAGTTTGGTTCTTGTGTATGGAGCGAAGAAGAAGGTGGTCAGGATCGCTCGCACGGCCGGGCAATATGCAAAACCTAGGTCTAGCCCTGTGGAAACCATCAACGGCACAACCATGCCCTCCTTTCGTGGAGATATTCTGAACAGCTACGAGCCAACGCCGGAAGCAAGAAAGCCCGACCCATCCCGTCTGGTAGAGGCATATTTTCATTCCGCAGCAACTCTCAACTATCTCCGAGCCGCCATTTCTTCTGGTCTAGCGGACATGCATTCACCCCTCGACTGGGGCCTGGGTCATGTCCTCGATCCAACAGTCAAAGACAAATACCAGAAGATTGTCCACACGATCACTGAATGGCTCGAAATGATGCAGACGATAGGAGTTAGTACAGGAGGTGGTCTGGAAACGGTTGACCTCTTTACTTCCCATGAAGGCCTTCTACTTGAATATGAACAACCTTTGACTCGGATATGCAAACATCCACCAAACGTCCTACTCACCACATCCAACGCTCAATCGCCTCGGTTGAATGGTCATCTCCTTCCATCTTCCTCCTTCCCATCCTCTGGCTACTATGACACCTCTGCCCACTTTCTCTGGATTGGCGACCGCACCCGTCAACTCACTCACGCGCACGTAGAGTTCTTCCGCGGTCTCTCCAACCCGGTTGGTATCAAAGTTGGTCCCACCATGCCCGCGTCAGATCTCGCTCCTCTTCTCGACATCTTAAATCCATATCACGAAATCGGCAAAATTACCCTTATCACTCGCTATGGCTGTGACAAAATCGCCACTCACCTCCCCTCTCATATTGAAGCTGTCAAAAAATCCGGGCATGTCGTAGTCTGGCAGTGCGACCCCATGCACGGTAATGGCCGAAATGCCGATATCACGTCGGCCACTTCCGAAAACTCTTCTCCACCAACCACTACCACCATAAAGACACGCCACTTCACCGACATACTGTCCGAACTCCAACAAGCCCTCCAAATCCACAAAGCGCATTCTTCCTACCTCGGCGGCGTGCATCTGGAACTGACTGGTGACGCGGTGACCGAGTGTGTGGGCGGAGCTGGTGGCCTCAAGGAGGAGGACTTGAGTCTGAATTATACCACATTCTGTGTCCGAGGTTGAATGAAAAACAGGCGCTCGAGTTGGCTTTTCTTGTCGCGGGATTCTACAGGGGGGATGGTGGTAGCGCCGAATTGTGAGGGATTGGGCAGAATGGAATGGAAAGCGGTGTAGGACTATCGCATAAGGAAGTCTGAGTTCGAGAAAGCAGCAACACGATAAAAAAGCGATTTCTGGTTTTGGATCACAGGCAGGCGTCAGGAGCAAGAGCTGGTGGAGGACTCAGGCGTGCACAAAAGTCGAAGAAGATACAGAAAACAACGAGCTGCTCGGCATGGAGGATTGAATGCCTCCGTACTGCACCGGCGCGAGCATGGAGCAAAATGACCATTGCATATGTCGACACATTCAGTTCATGCCGTTTGGTCTTGCCATCCGGTTTTGTGAAAGTTGCGCGAATATCTATAAAGAGAGGCAGAGAATACTATATTAAATAAAGATTTTTGTTAAGAATGCATGCTAATTAGTGGACTATAGTCTGCACTATTTATTTATAATTAGACTATAGTTAGCCTAGAGATAAATAGACAAAGAATCACCTCTAAGGAAGCTTAAACTAAGACAAAACCCTTAATTAATTATGCACCGCTGCTTTTAGGATAGCGCCGAGAAGCTTCAGAAGCGCCCCAATGAAGGGGAAGAACAAGATGCCGGAACCCGAGGATTCCGCTGGGTCCCTCTCATCTCGACCCAGGTGCTCCAAGCTCTCCTGCTGTGAACGTGCAAGCACCAACCCCTGCTTAATGTATGCTTCTGTAGTGCGTTTGCCCTATTTTATCTTATTATCCCGCTCTCTCTAAGCCAAAGATGGGTCCAGAGGCCGATCGTTCCGGACATCTTCCGTCCGAATAAACATGGCTCCTGCACTCGTCCACGACCTGTATGTATGCCGCATGAGAAGCGGGACAACCGAAACAGGCGCAGAGGCAGAATACAACCAAGTATTGTTATAGTTAACTTATTATCGTACGCAAAAGTTCCGGACAAACTGAACAAGAAGAAGAATTCCCTCCAAGTCCACACTCTCTCTTTACCTTCAACTTCTCCTCTCCAGTCCGATCCTTCTTACCCCTTCCTTCCCTGCTGAGACATCAGCTACGCACATGCTGGAACAGCCGAGCTGGGTGGCGCTAATGCAGAAAGGGGGCGAGAAGGAGGGAGAGAGAGAGAGATAGAGAGCGCATAGAAAGAAGAGGGAAATATGTAAGCATGACTCTGTTTCTCATGATGGGTGGCCACAACCCCAAACAGGAAGAAGAGAAAGAAAAAGATGGGAATGCGCAACAGCGTGCCGCCTGACGATCCGATGAGGAAGAATAAATAAATAATCACCCTCTGACTCCTGTCCAAACCTGTTCAACACCCGCCAAAAGGTAGCGGGGACGACACGAACACCGCCAACTCAGCGCATTACCTTGCATCCATCCATCCCCGTCCGTACTCCAATCCCAACTGGTAGCTTCCTACTACCAAAAGACAGCGCTCCCTCGTTCATTTCATACTTCATCCTCTCTCATCGGTCTGTCTGTCTGTCTCCCTCCACCACATCACCACACCAAAGACATACCAACAAACTCCCCCTTCACCTGCCCAACGGACTGGCAACCGCAGGTCTCCAGCCCATAGTCCTCCTCCTGGCGTCCGCCAGCCTCTTTCTGACACCCGCATCCTTGACATCATCCAGCTGACCCGAGATGGGAAACCCTCCGCTTCCACCCTTCCCCATCGTCACGCCACCACCCATCTCTGACTGACCTTGCACATCGTCCTTCTCAAAGAGACCCTTGCGCGTCTGCTTGGGCGGACAAGTCATCTGGACCAGTTTCGCGCCCTGGGCCAGGTAGTAAGGCGTCGTGGGAGAGTAGGATGCAGCATCACCATCTGCTGCACGGTCGTTGGGACCGCCGGGGGTTTGGGAGGTTGAGGGGTCGTAGTTGACGAAGCCGGTTGGTGTTGCTGGTTGCAGATCGGCGGCGGAGGTGGTGCTGATGGCGAATACACCTGTGGGCGTGGAGAAGCCTGATTCGATTGAAGCCGAGCTATCGGATTCGGCTTCGGCTTCTTCCTCGCGAGGCTGACTTGAAACATCGGACGCCTTATCACAGCCATGGCCCCGGACAGGCGTGTTGACGAGCTCGTCCTTGAGCTTTTGCATCATCTCCGCTGAGACGCTTCTCCTGCCTGCAGCGGCACCAGTGGCCTTGGAGAGGGTGCCATTCATGTTCAGCAGCGCTCTCGGCTGCATGGATTTTCTTCTCCTCGAGCCACCTCGCGGGAGAATCGATATATCGACCGCGTATGCGGATTCATCAAGCCATTTGGTTTCACGCTCACAGCTGTTGCAAAACCGATCAGCATTCGCACCTAGACGACTCGAGATATGACTTTCAAGAGCGGACGGGCGCACTTACTCAAGAACCCAACCAACACCGACACATTTCACCAGCCCCTCCGTATCTCTCACCTTCTCCAAAGTTCTCTTCCCACCATCCTTGTACACAACGTGGGTGATACCGATCTTCGCATTCCCACCTGCTGGCACAGCTTCCTCCGCATTCGCATTCGCATTCGCATTCGCATTCGCATTCACATTCACTCCCACACTAGCCCTCGGACTCCACGACCACGTCTTCACGCACTTGGCGCCCATCTGGGTCAGCAGCTCGATGAAGATGCCGCTCGCGTCAGCTCCTTCGGTGGTATACACATCGACGAACACGACTGCACCTTGCAACACACCAGATGATGTAGCCGGAGTTTGCGCCTTGGGGGTCTTGCTCGGCGCTACTGCCAATGATGGAACACGAGCCGCGGTAGGCGTAATGGGTGGCAGATTTTCGTCGTCCTCGTCGATTTCGATTCCGTCCAATGTGGAGTCTCCGAAGTCATCGACCGCGAAGCTCTGCTGACCGGGCGTTGTCATGGTTGAAGATGGTATGCTGGCCTCGCTTCGCGCTGGTGAGAATGAGTTGACTGTTCTACTCTGTGGAATACTGAAGGCTTGCAGCACGGGCGTTTTCTTGACGGACGATGGACCAGACGAGAGGGAGCGGCTGCGTTTCTTGGACACTTTGATGGGAGATGTGTGACCTTCGGGTCGCAGGGGCACTTTGGAAACGACTGTATTGGCAAATTGGGACTTTTTGGGTTGTGGTTGTAAAGGGGTGTTGAAGTCGTTGAGCGGAGCACGATTCGCTGTGAACACGGTTGCAGCTGGTGTGATACTGGTTTCTTGAGTCCCTGCTAGAACTTGCTCCGACGTGGCTGCCATTGGGGTTACGGGAACATTGTTTCCATCGCCATAGGTCGAGGAGGCAGTGGATACTTGGCTGGTCTCGTGCACATGTTGCCTATCTTCTTCTTCTTCGGTCCTTGTCTGAGCCTCGATCTCCGCTGAATAGTTGCGAGAAGCTTCACCTGGTGCCTCTGCGACAATGTCTTCTACATCCTGCCTCTCTGCCTCAGCTGAGTCATCTAGTCGCTGTGACTCAACAAACTCCATCTCCTCAACCACTCCAGTGGGAGCAAGATCATCTACTGGAGCATCATCGGCACTCTCTGGACAGGTAAACTCTTGCTGCATATCGCAATCAGAGTCTTCCGCTTCCATGCCCTCAATCGCTTCTTCGAGATCTTTCACAGCCATTTCGTCCGCGAAATAGCTCGACTTGTCAGGAGTCCCATTCACGGAACTAGCAAGGGAGCTTCTCAGACCAAGCGATTTCCTGCCTCCGAACGATTTCCGCGCCGAAGTCGACAATCTTGGTTCTACCGACACCCGAGAAGTTGCTGGCGAATGCCGATCGATGACCACTTCGCCACGAACATGCTGCGCTGCGACGGGCGAGAAGATGCCTCGAGGCCGATATTTCTTCATGGTCTGCTTGTCTGGACTGCTAGCGAGCCATCCGCTAAGCTGAGCTGCCAGAGGGGTGAAGCCAGGATTATGGTCAACTACCGGTGGGTTGGCCATCGACATGCGGGACTTGCTCCCCAGGACAGTGGCAGGTGTTTGTGTCTGTAATGTCCTGACTGGTGACTGCAACTCGTCTTCGGATGACTCGTCGTCATCTCTAAGACGTGATACACGGAACAGGAAAGAAGCGGCGTTGAGAGGGGTCTGGTCGCACGGCATGATGTTCGCAGGAGCGGTACTTTCAAGTTCAAGATCCTTGGGATGTTGGGTCTTTGAAGTGTCTGTAGCTTTCATGACTACCTGATCTTGAAGACCAGAGTGTACTTCCAACTCAATCGTGGGGTCATGCTTGCTTAGATCGCTCTCCGAAGTTGATCTGTTTTCAGCGATGTCTTGAACGTGATCGGGGCCGTCCATAGTATTCATCGCCAGTTTCAAGGGACTTCGAATGTCGACGACAGATTCGTCAAAGTCGATAGCACATCTCCCTTTGTCCCCCATGTCTTCGGGAGTCATTCTTTGCACACGTGGGGTCCGTTGTGGCGATTGGGATGCTCGGAAATGGCTCGAGACTATTATGTTAGACGACATTGTGTCCGTCTCAACCTCCTTAAGCGACGGTGCTATGCTTTTTGTTGTGCTGACAATAGACGGCGTCTTCACGGGAGAAATAGGTCTCTTTGGCGGTGACTGAAGGAGAGAGGCCTTGAAAGGTGATTTGACAGCTTTTGACGTGGATTGTGGGAACATAGATGGTTCAAGTGCAACGCGTTTCGGCGACTGAAGGAGGATCGTACTCGACGATGCCATGTCTCGGCCTTGATTTGCCTCATTTTGCCTTGGCCCTTGTGGGATCTTAAAGGGGATGTCACTTCGTTTGGGAGATTCCTTGAATGCCTCTTTGAACGGGCTGGAAACTGGTCGCTTGGCTGGACTCAGCAGGGTTGAGGTAAGCTGGGACTTGACGGGGGACGATGCGAGCGAGCCACTGCCGAAATCTAGCTTCTTCACTGGTGATACCATGCTCGCAATATTGACATTTCGCCTTGGAGACTGAGCTAGATCTCTAATTGGGGTTTTTGCTCCATTAAGCTCATCTTCGTCTGACTCTAGTGAAGAGCATGACTTGGCGACTTGCGTGACTTTCTTTGGTGTCAGTACTCTTTGGGCCGTTTCTTCCGCCGTGTCTGGAACTGTACTCTTTTTGACGCTCGTCCTTGATGTCGCTACGGGCCTGCGTACAGGTTTGGCTCTGATCCCGCTTGCTGGGGCTCCTGACTTGCCCTTAGCAGTTCCCTTCGCCTGCGGAACCGGCTGGTTTTCCTTGTCACATCCCGGCACATCTTGGAAAGTGACTTTCTTCTTTGGCACGGTCCCTTTCGATGGCGGTATCGTCAGAGCTCTGGTATCTGTAGTGGCAGATCCGAGTCGAGCTCGACCTTGTTTCTTTGTATTCCCACTTTCGACATCAACCTCATCCTGAGCCACCTCTGCTTTCTTTGGTCGACCCCGCAGCCTAGAAGCTGCAGCTTTTGGCGCCTCTTTTGGTTGTAATGTACCGCTTGCTTGACGCTTTGGGCGTACAGGCTCCACAGCTGTTTCGCTTTCCCCCAGGTCGTCTTCCTCCATGGTTGCTTTCTTCGACCTCGTCGTTCGGGGCTTCGGGTGGGTTCGTGAAGTTTCGCTCTCTGCTACAGGTTGTTGCTGTGGTGCTATTGCATTTTCCATTGCAGTGACCTTGATTCGCCGGGCTGGCGCAGCCGCTGCCACTCTCCTTGCGGACTTACGAAGCGGTTCATCCGTGACCGGCATATCGGTTCGTGCCAAATCTTCTTTGGTTAATTCAGTGTTCCTGCGTGCTGATGAACGTGAAGCAGTTCTATCTCGATTTGTTTTTGGAACATCGCCTGCTTTCTTCGCTGCAGCGCGAGCTCGGGTAACTCTCTTTTGCGGCGACATTGGCAATGCAGGAGCCATGCTGGGTGGGTCGCTCTTGCCTGCTGGAGTAAGCGAGAATCTGAATCGCTGTCAATCAGCGTTGTACATTCAGTCAGCAAAATAAATGAAAGGTTTGATAGCCATGCAGTATAAGAAGAGGAATAGTGTCAGCAGGAGAAGCTGGTGTAAACACTTGAATGTTTACCTACTTCTGCTTCTAGCCTAGCTTCGTCATGTGCATGACATCATGCCAAGGATATCGTGCAAATTTTTAACTTACTACGGCTACAGGCCTAATTTTTGCACCCCCCCTGGTCGAAAACGCTAGTATCCGTACAAAACCTACTATGCAAAATTAAGTATAGATGTGCACAAAATCGCTTAATTAGGACTAGTCTCTAAAATCGAGTTTGTTTTCCATTGGCATCCAAAACTGCTTGACATCTCTCCTGCATTGACTCAAGCAACTCCTTGAGATATTCAGGGGGCACAGCATTCCATGCAGCATTAACAGCTGCTCGTAACTCATCGTACTTGTGTAGAGTATCTCCATAGCGCTCTTGTATCCAATCTTTCATCCAATTCCATACCATCTCAATTGGATTTAAATCAGGCGAATATGCAGGCCATTGGACACAAGATATGCCACGTTGACGAAGATCTCGAATAGTACCCTTAGCAGCATGAGCAGGTGCAGCATCTTGCATAAATATCAATCCTTCGCTGCTGTTTATTTGTATCCAGTTATCAATGAGAGGTACGATGTGCTCTTGATATGTTGTTTCTTTGATAGTACCCCATTCTTTCTCCCAAAAGATACCAGGACCTTTTTTATCGCCATTGAAACAACCCCAAAACATCCAACCTTTACGTCGTTGATGACGTTCAACAATACACGTAGGATCCCACTCTTCACCAGGTCGACGAGTAACGTACGTTTTAGTATGTTGATCTCCATTAACCCATGTTTCATCACTCCATAGTATCTTTTTCCATTGTTCGTACGTCCAATTGACATGTTCAGAAGCCCATCGAAAACGCGCTTTTCGATTCTTTTCGGAAATAGGAGGTTTGCGGCGAGCAACTCAACGCGAAAAGCCTGCTCTTCGTAGAGCATTTTGAATAGCATACCATCTGATATTGATCTTTATAGCAAGAGGGATCTGGATCTATAGTATACGTTAATTAGCTGCAGAAGAACAAACCCACGCAATAATTTGCTCAAGTTCTTCTTCAGTAATAATTGAATGCCGTCCAGTGTGCTTTTTAGGTGTTAATCGATTGCGAATAGCATATTTGATTTGGTATAGAGTGAGATTTGGTAACTGCTGACGAATTTCGTTGTACGTATGGCCTGCGTCGTATAGAGTTTGAATTTGTAAACGTTGATCTCGAGTAGAATGAGAGGAATGAGAGGAATAAGGAGGAGTAGAGGGTCTATCAGACTCATTAGTATCCATATCAAATTAATAGAATTTGTAGAATTCGTAGAATTTGCAGAATGACAAAATTCGTGCAAAATAGCGACAGGGATGCTGACAGGGATGCGCATGTAAAAAACGCGTTTGTAAGATATTTTGACCAGGGGGGGGGTGCAAAAATTAGGCCTGTAGCCGTAGTAATCAATTGAGGTCCGTGCTGGCTCGAGGCCTCTTTGGTGCCATATCGTTGTCATCATGACTGCTATCGCCGAAGAGATGGGAGCTCAAACAACTGGTATCGGGCAAGGTGAATTAACCTGGATTACTAGGTTGTTGCAGCCAATTATTATGCCCATCTAGCGCCCTGATGATGCAAAACCACAACTATACCACGCCTTCAACATTTCACATCCACTTCCTGGGTCCAAAAATATTGACCGAAGGGATTGGCTAATCTCATGGAAGGAGGTGCAAGCGAGCAAAGTACCACGAATTTCCAAATAGGAAAATTCCTCGTGAACTTGCTCTTTAGCCGCTTTGCGAGTCGCACAGAGAGGTTGATAAAGTTGATGTTACAAGCCTGAAAACCCGAGAGGACTTGAGACTCTGAAAGTGAAAGAGTCCGCCGTCATGTGTGTAATCATGCTGATACATCTTATTTTGTGACATCAGCGGCGAAGGCCAATATGTAGGGTGCTGTATATACGCAAGCTGGGAAAAATAGTCGATCTGTGAGTCTCTTTGGATCATAGGAAGTGGTCGCATTTTATAGTCTGCCCTTTAAGATGAAAAGATACACGTCCAAAACCAATTTTTTTCTCAATACACTGATCCTGCAAGACGAAAATAACGCATCTTCTTGTACGTTGCTATATTGGGAGAGCCTTCCTAGATAGTGGTACGAACGGAGAGGTAGAAGAAAGTATTAGAATGTTTAGAGAGTAGTTGGGAAAATCTAGAATCATAGAGGCACACGAACCTATCAGAGACTCATCATACTAATCAAGATTCAATTAATAGACTGGAACTTCAGCTGCTGAGTAGGCAGCAGCGGTAACGAGATATATCGCCCTTCAGCACAGCGGCATTGCCGCTACGAAACCGGAACGGTCCACGAACAACCCAGCCTGCAACTAGTATCAGCCAGAAGATGACAGTGTGCGTCACTGCAGGTACACAGCACTTTACCACCACCGCCCCGTCCAGCAGTACCAACATCCTGATCCGACGTCGTCTTCTACATCAAAGTCAGCGGCTCCGCCGACAATTGTCTCAAAATCTCCGCACTCCAGGGCACTTTCAAAAGCGCGAACTGCGCATTCGCGGTTCTCTAGAACGTGAAAGCAACGAAAGACTACACATTTTTGCGGTTATAGCCACCCGGCGATAAGATGGGCCAAGCTCTAAGATTACACGCCATAGAGGACCATCCGCATCCGCACGTCGGGCAGGTCAATCTGATGGCCATGATCTGTGTAGGGAGAGTATTGATGCAGAGGATAGCAGAGATGAGAAGCGCCAATGAGGCAATCCGCCGAGTGGCCGCAGCAGCGGAAGAGGAGTAAGGAGTGGGTAAGAGGGGTTTCCGGGAATCGGTTGACTCCGGTTTCTTGAAAGAGGTAGCATTTGTGCTTTGCATATGATAAAGGTGGCGGCATATCGGCTAGCCGCGATGTCGAGGATATCTCATGGCCCCGCTGTTGCCTCATGGTTAGTGATCTGGTTGTCTTCTGTGTCCTTGCCACTCGATAGCATTCCATCTGAGCGTGAGGTAATGGATGCACATTCTGTTGGTGCCCTCTCTATCTAAGATACTCAGAAGGGCGGACGCAAACAGGCTGTAGAACTGAGCCAACTAAAAACAACATACTCATCCAGCTGACCATTCGAGTTTGCACGAGAAGTATCACTCAAGAGCATGGAACCAAAAACAGGAGACGGAAAACACAGCTGGCAAAATAGGTTGACAAGCATTGTGTGCACACGTGTTCTCGCCCAGTGAGGGGGATGATGTGAGAGTGCCGAGGTTTCGCTTAGCGCGCTGGCTGTTCTGTACGAAGGAATCGAGTTTCTCGCACAGATGCGGCGGTGCCGAAATGGCAGGAATTGGTAGGAGAGCACGTGATTATTCCGACGAGACTGACGAGAAAATGGCAAACCTAGGACCTTTTCTACCTCAATCGAGAATCCTTAAAGAAGCATAAACCTCGCTTAAAAGTACCAGATTGTCCCAAACAGACAGCACATCAAGTTGCGAATTTTCGTATCAAATCTGAGTGCTGGCGAGCGCTGCGATTGTTCACATGGTGAGTACGGTATTTTGGTACATCCTCTTCGGTTGAGAGCCTGACACGGACTAGGCAACCGTAATAAGCTGAAGTTGTAGAGAGAAGGATTCGATCACTACCTTGGGAGCTTGGACTACACTTAGCATAACTACCAGTAGCGAGTAGCGAGTTGGAATCCCTAAGTTAGTTGGTGGATATCTCGTGGTAAAAGGGAAGCCATGAATACTAAGTACTAGTAATCGAAGTGCCACACCAAGCCTTGGCAAATCACGCCATCGAGGTCTCTGGTCTCTGGTGGAGCACTGGGTGAAGATGGTTGACAAAAGCCATTCCTACTGCGTAGTAAGTTTGGAGAAATATTGAGCGATTCCCAAGTGATCACTCATCATGGCAGCCTCGAATTGCGAATCACTTTTGCACCTTTTTACCTTTTTTTCTCCCTCCAGCAGACTCCGCTTCATCTTTACCTGTCTCTACCATTTATCCTCTTTGGCCCTCAGTTGACCTAGACAGTACTCTTGCTTTTTGCATATCATTCTTGCTGAGTTGCTTCGTTATGGCTTCTGCTGGTGAACGTCAAACGTATGTTTCAACCAAGCAATCTTACTCCTCGAAGTGATCACTGACGTTTTCCAGGTTGCGCCTTGGGAATACAGCTCCCAACTTCGACGCCGAGACCACCGCTGGTCCCATCAACTTCCATGAATTCATTGGCGACAACTGGGTAGTCCTATTCTCGCACCCGGAAGATTACACCCCTGTCTGCACTACTGAGCTCGGTGCATTCGCAAAACTCGAGCCTGAGTTCACCCGGCGTGGCGTGAAGCTCATTGGCCTTTCTGCCAACACGATTGAGAGCCACGGTGGTTGGATCAAGGACATCAACGAGATCAGTGGGAGCAACCTCAAATTTCCCATTATTGGTGACAAGCAGAGACAGGTGGCTTTACTGTATGACATGCTTGACGAGCAGGATGCCACCAACGTCGATGAGAAGGGTATCGCTTTCACCATCCGTTCTGTCTTCATTATCGACCCAAAGAAGACCATCCGACTCATCATGTCTTATCCTGCTTCAACTGGACGCAATACTGCAGAGGTCCTTCGTGTAGTCGATTCTCTCCAAACCGGCGACAAGCACAGAGTTACCACACCTATCAATTGGGTACCTGGCGACGACGTGATCGTACATCCTGCAGTCAAGAACGACGAAGCCAAGACCTTGTTCCCTGATTTCAAGATCATCAAACCATATCTGAGGACCACTCCTTTGCCAAAGGAGAAGACCAGTGCTGCATAGGCTGCACCGTGGTAGATGAACGGAAGTCGTCCCCGGTTTCTCCACGAGTCAAGCGGTACCGTGGTCTAACAACTGTTTCCGGCTACCACATAAGCTACTATTAAAATCCACAAATCAGAAGCTTTGCTTAGATGCTCCCGCCTCGTTACAAAAAGTCGTAGTTGTAGTTCACTGCTTTCGACAACTGTGTACGCTGTAAATATGCGATCTACCAGGTGGTATGAGATGGTCTACCCCAACTTTGACGGGCATCTTTGCTTCCATCATCGCGTTCTTTACGCTTGATCTGTGGTAAATCGGTCCCGAGATCCGCCTTTCGCGCTGAGCTGCAAATGATCGGCGGCTGCATGAACCCGCAGGTCAAAGAGACCATCACTGGAACCCTGCTGGCTGGCTCTCGGAAACGCCTCATCCTTCTCCCACTGCTCCAGCCCTGGAGGTTTAAAGTTTACGATCCTTGTCCTTCTACATCGCAACCCAAAAGTCCCCCCAATATCCGATGCCTCTGTTCACTCAATACAACATTTGGGCTGTGTGACCTGCGCAACCGCCGGATAGATATCACATTAATTTCCACTGCTCTGCCGAACCATTTTCATCTTGCGCGGTGCCGCCTCAATACATTGGTACCTGCAGGTTTCTTTATTGCCTTTGCACGTCATCTCCAGTCTCACGGAAGCGTTCGAGACATATCTGCAACTATCCGCAAAATTTCTACATGAACCACTCTCGTTGCTTCGTGGGCCTTACCAATCTCACTCGCGATCGGTATCCGGAACCCTGGGAGGCGCATACCTAAGGAAGACATCATAGCGCACAGATCAATGCACAGCTCTTAAAAATAAGTTACAAAGGTACAAAGATTCTTCGCCATTTCTATTTGCTCCTGTGTGGCATTCAATTTCGTGCCACGTGAATGAGAAAAGCTAATGATGAGTCTCGTGCAGGACAGTTCCGCTGGTCAAGCTGCGCCAGGATTTGCCGAGCCACCACGTGCGCCGTGTACAGCCTCAGCAGGCTCCCTCTCACAGCCTGGGGCTGGAATCGCTCAGCGGCCTGAATTCGAATTCAACTTCCCTGCTCTGTCGTCTACCTGGAAGACCAACTCAAACGTTTCTCCAGTAGGATCTCAATCATCAAAGCAAAAATCAAGACATACACCTATCGATATCTCACACTACGTTGCGCTAGGTGGTAACAACCCTATAACATATCCCAAGCGTACTGAGAAGAGTCCAAGCTTGCTTGAGATATACGCGCAACATGACAAAGACGACTCGGGCACCACCAAGCCAAGAGTGAAACGTCATGTCCCGATCGTAATACCGGCCTTCGCCCACCCTTTTGTCAACGACCTTACCGAGAAGCCGCCATTCAAGTCGACAGTACAAGCCTGGCCAGTCCCACCGAGGCTAAGAAGGGAAGTTCGGCAGCTACCTTCTTCCCAAGAAGTCGCTGGCGTGCTTGCCATTCCTACTCATGATCCAAACATTATGCGTGTGAGCTTGACCAACGGGATTGCCGACAAGATGAACACCCCGCAGGCCAATCACCCTACATCTGAAGTGATGCGCAATGGACGGGATGGCTTCGCGGAATCTGCAACACCCACGTCTGGCCACGGTGGCGTTGTTTCGTCGACGTCCCAGCAAGTGGAAGGCTCAGGTTCAACAAACCTATCAGGACTTGTCTGTAATGTGTATAGGACTACAGGGAGAGAGCCGCACGCTCTTGTGGGTGCCACAACGACCATCCTGGGTGATAAGTTGTATGTGTTTGGGGGGAGGATATTATCGCAGAGAAGGCCCCATTTGACGTCACATCTATATGAACTGGACCTTGTTCGAAGACATTGGTCGAAGTTAGAAACATATGGGGAGATCCCCCCACCAAGATACTTCCACAGTGTCTGTGCATTGGGCGATACCAAACTTGTCTGTTACGGGGGAATGTCTCCCGCCAGCTACTCCACGCTTTCCGCGTCGCAGGGCGAGGAAACCCCACCCGAAGTGGTCGTCATGTCAGATATCCATATATACGATGTACCAACCAGAACGTGGATGTTCATCCCTACCCCCGATACCCCTCAAGGTCGATATGCTCACTGTGCAGCCATTCTTCCCTCCTCTGCTACGTTTACTTCCCCCACTGCTCCTTTTTCGGCCATTCAACACAATCCTTCGTCGTCGAACCCACACTCGGGTTCGATCGGAGTGCAGCTTGACGGCGCCGGTGGTGCTGAGATGGTGGTAGTTGGCGGGCAGGACAGCTCCAACCGTTATATTGAGCAGATTAGCGTTTTCAATCTGAGGAGCCTCAAATGGACCGCAACAAATTCACTGGGACGACAATGCGGTGCGTACCGGAGTGTTGTGACGCCGTTGACTGGCATGCCTGTTTCTTCTGTCGGGCGAGTCGCAAAAAATGCAGAAGATCTTGGGGACACAGTACCAGAAAGCAGATGTTCCATGTTGATATATTCCAATTATAATTTCTTGGACGTCAAGCTTGAGCTTCAGATCCGCCACCCTGACGGAAGGCTCAACGAGAGATTCATGGGTGGTGCAATATCACCCCCAGGTTTGCGCTTCCCCAATGGCGGCGTCATTGACCATCATTTTGTTGTCAGTGGTACCTATCTCACTTCTTCGAAACAAGAATATGCTCTGTGGGCATTGGATCTCAGGAATTTGACGTGGAGCCGCATTGATGCCGGTGGGGCAGTTTTTGGACAGGGCAGTTGGAACAGAGGCGTGCTTTGGAACAGACGCAATACCTTCGTCATCCTCGGCCATCGAAAACGTGGCTTGGTAGAGGACTACAATCAGCGTCGAATCAACTTCAGCCATGTTTGCATGGTAGAGCTAGAAGCTTTCGGCCTATACGACAACCCTAGGAAAGCTGCTCCTTCTTCTGGGTATGTTTCTGTCTCGTCACCCTCCATACCGACGGCCCTATGGCCCAAGGTGGCCAGCAAGACCGGCATCCGACCAGTGTCAGGCGCAGCTGAGAGTTTGGGTCAGCTTGCTCTTGGCCTGAAAGAATTGGCGGATATGGACTTGCTGGCCATCGGAGGAGAGCGCATCCCGGTCAACTCGCACCTCCTTTCTAGACGCTGGGGACCATTCTTCAACCGCTTATTGCGCGAGTCGTCTGCTGGCCAGGATGGGTTGGCAGATGCACTGTCTCTGAGACCACACATGGACTCTCAAGCCTCCCGCAATTCCTCAATCACGATTACACCAAGCCTAAACCACGGAAGCACATACTCAGGATCGACAACCTTGCATGGGAACCCTAGTATCTCTGATACCACCACTGGTACAAAAGCACAAGGCTCCATACATGATCTTGATTCTCCTGATACAATTCACCTGCCTCCGTCGGCACGTCCACGCACCTTATACCTGCCTCATACGTCTCAGACTATCCGCTTGATGCTTCATTATCTATACACGTCCTCTCTACCGCCAGCCACATCACTTCTTTGTACACCGCAAATACTTTGCTCTGTGCTCCAGGTCGCCCGACCATATGAAATTGATGGCTTGCTCGAGGCAACTGTGGAGCGACTCCATGAAGTCTTGGATGGACGAAACGCCGCTGCTGTGTTCAATGCTTCAGCGATGGCTGCTGGCGGTGGCAAGGGCATTGAAAAAATGGCCTACCTCAGCCGTGGACGAAGACCAAGCGAGGCTGGAACGATCAACGGAAATATAGATAAGACAAGAGACAACCATCCTGGAAGGACACTCAGCGCCAAGACTGCCGGACTCAGAATCGACACGTCGTTTGGAGAGACAAGGAGTGGGCTACGGAGGGGCAGAGTACAGGGGCATCAAAGGACGCAGAGCGAGGAAAGCGCAGCGTCAAATTCCACAGCTGCTAGCGTTGCCACGTCGGTCAGTGATGCTGACACCCAGAGTGAAGCACATGCGGACAAGCGCAAGGAGAAGGAGATGTGGACAGGTGATTTGAGCTCTGTCATTGGTTTGCAAAAGCGGGGTCTGAGAGGATTGATGGAAGGCAGAAGATTGAGGGAAAAGGGTAAGACGGACTCGAATCCCAGCTTCAATGCCGCCTCTGTTGGAACTGCCGCACAAACAGCGGGTAGTGGCGTGGGCTGAGGACGTGGTAATGGTTGGACTCTTCTACATGTAATTGAGGGTATGTTTGACTTGTGTTTGACTTGCATAGCGGTCCGGAGGTACACTTCGAGCGACAATGCGCCAATATGTTTCATGCTTGGCGTTGCACATACTACGTACTAGTATTATCAAATTCTTCCCGGTCAGCTGCCAGTGGTACATTCCTAATGCAGTCTCCATGACCCTTGTTTGCACCTGATCTTGTGCTGACCTATTAAGCCCCCTCTCCGTAGACACCAATCCATTCTTGGCTTTGATCATGGCTACTACTGATGCCGCCGAAAAGTGCGTCCTAGCGCTAATTTGAAGCTGTATATCTTTCCTAATCGGGTATAGGATAGAGGGTCTAGAGTGGAGAGGGCAGGGATTCTGTTAGCCAATCAATTGCAGCTATCCTCTGAAGTTGTTATTGCCCTCGTGCCTCTGAACTTGGGCCAATTTGTCACGATAGCCCTCAATATGGTGTTTAGCACACCGTCGCATACCCTCAGAGTGCATTTCGTAACGAATTCTACCCTTGGCCAGCTCCTTAATGCTCTCAGAAGAGGAGGTTACTCTCATATCCCATAGTGAGTCCTTGAGATACCCCCAAATTGGCTCAATTTGATTCAAATCAGGAGAATTGCTCATCCAAGGAGCCCTCAACACACCCATATCTCCGAGAGAATCCCACGCCTTCTTATGAACACCAAGATTATCCTCAACAAGCCAAACATTGCCTTGGTTGCCATGACGACGTTGAATATCTTGATAATAGGGTATCAAGAGAGGGATCAAAATCTCGTTGCGATATATCTACTAATCAATGCCCCCCTTCTTGTTATCTCTCTTAAATTCAACGTATTTAAACACCTGTTCTGCTGTACGTTTTCTTTTGAATCCCTTGTTGCCTTGATAACCTTCTGCTCGTCGTTGTTGATTGTGAGAAATAACATTATTATTTATCTCTTGTAGAACGTGATTTTCAACAGTACCAGAGACGTGGGCATTAGCCTGTTGAGATAGGGCTTCTCGCTTGTGATTCGCATTGTATTGATTAATATCTTGCCTTGCTTATTATTTATCCTCCTCTGTTTCTGGCTCCCATATCCAAAAAGGGAATTTGATCTCATCTTCGTACAGACCAATTGCACCCCATACCATCAATTGAAACTGCTCTGCAGGATCAAAACGTGCGTAGAGATGTGGATCTGCACCTTTTGGCTTTGTAATCTTTGGTTTGTTCCTAAAATGCCCTCCAAAATGACAGTAAGTTTCGTCGACAAAGATGAATATAGCACTATTCTCTTGCTCCTTAGTAGCCCATTCCGCATATTCAACGCGTAAATCTCGAACGTCGTGAGTAAGAACAGGCTTATTTGGCTGTACGACTCGAACTAATTCGTGATTGTTCAGAGGATCGCGATGCTTGTGAGCGATATTTTCGGCTGTGCTGCGTGCCATTTTGAGTCCTGCAATATAGGTTGTTACTACCTCAATAGGAAGCTCAAAATGCTCATGAAATAGCTCTCTTAACAATTGAGATGCCTCTGACCCTGGTGGTACCCTTGGTGGCCTCCCTGCCCTTATCCCATCTCTTGAATTTTGTGCAATAGCGAGAAACGAGTCTTGAGAGTCCCTTTCTGTACGCTCTAGGGCACGATTGTAGAGCTTGTTAATCGAATTCGCTTCAAGATCGAGTTTTTCAGCAATTTCGGCGAATTTCAAGCCTGCTAAAAGTCGCAGGGCAACGACAGCAACGCGCTTTTCGTAAGGGATTTCGCCATGATGAGGAGGCATAGCTATAGCTGCTTGTTATAGCTAAAGGGCAACGTATTTCGAGTAGTTGTTGTTGAGATACAACTGTTTGAAATTGGCTGTTGATTCGCCAGAATTTGGCGGAGATGGATCTAGCGTGGTGCTAGACCCAATTAGGAAGGGACGCACTTTTCGGCGGCACCAAGTACTAGTAGTAATACTTACTACTACGTAGTAGGCTTAAAATTCAATCAAGAGTTAAATCTCAAGCTCGTGCTACTAGTACTCGGTGCCGCCGGAAAGTGCGTCCCTTCCGGTACAGGTTTAGACTCTTGACGTTATCCTTCCTGAGCCTTGATGCATTCACCATGAACAGTAAATCAGTTATACCATATCTAACAAGATAGATAGGGTCAACTGTGAAAATGGGAGCCAAATCTATCATGTCAATAGATTATGAGAGGATGCGCTCTGTTCCATAGCCATTTTCAATTGGAGCTTGGCATCCCTACACACTAGGCTATATAAGGAAGAATCTGTCACACCACTGACGCACTTGTCGGTGGCACCGAGTAGGACGAAGCAAAGACAAGGGCGCCCTTGGCAGTGGTGGGGCGGAAAGGCTTGGCTGAACGCGGTACTCCAGGCCTCAGGCCTGCGCGGAGATCTCAGGACTTGCGTTTGCAGAGTTGGACGAATTCACTCTTTTCGACCAAGCAAACTCCGCAATGGATTCTAGAAGCATCAACCGTATCACAAGGAGTGCCCAGATATCAATAAAGGACAGCATCCGACTCGCTCTATCCAGCTGGCATCACGATGTGAACGTCTTGGTGCCAAGCATTCCAAGGCGCTATTGGTCTTCCATTGCTGTGTTGCAGGCTGGGCGTATGTAAGAAGAAGATGTGCAGGCTGTTCGAGTGATTGATTAAGTACTGGTTGCTCCCCCCCGTGGATATTCGTTTGAAATTCCCAACCTCTGTGTTGTCTATTTCCTCCTTCCCCTTGTTCCACCCTACCTTTACTGTCCCAATCACAACCTTCTCTTACCACTTTCACCATGGCCAAGAAGAAGCAGCAACAGCAAGTTGAGAACCATGTCTCCGGTCAAGCCAACAAGCCTTTATCTCGCCCGGCACATGCTCTACATCACCCTACAGTCGTGGAAGAAATCAAAGCTGATGTACAAGACGGACTCACCACTTCAGAGGCCAAATCTCGCCTGGACGAGTATGGCCGGAACGCATTTGGCGACTCTGGCGGTGTGCAGCCGGCGAAGATCCTGCTACGCCAAGTCGCCAATGCTATGACTCTAGTGATGCTTACCACCTCATTTTGTATGGGAGGTAGGACGGGCTGATCCAACCATAGGTGCTCATCATGGCGATGGCCGTTAGCTTTGGCATCGAATCTTGGATTGAAGGCGGTGTTGTTACTGCGGTCATTGTGCTCAACATCGTTGTGGGGTTTTGGCAAGAATTCAACGCCGAGAAAACTATGGATTCATTGAGATCCCTCAGTTCCCCAACAGCCAGCGCTGTGAGAGATGGGAGAACCATCAGCATTCCCACGGCAGAAATTGTCCCAGGTGATATGGTTGAAATGAGGACTGGTGACACGGTTCCTGCAGACGTCCGGTCAGTGGCATAATCTAGACCCCAAGAATCTTCTGACCAAAGATGGATAGGCTTGTGGAGGCTGTCAATTTCGAGACTGACGAGGCTCTTCTTACTGGGGAATCACTTCCTGTCCGCAAAGATGCCGACGCTACATTTGATGATGACACCGGTCCCGGCGATCGGCTGAACGTAGCCTACAGCTCCTCCACAGTCACCAAAGGCCGAGCCAGGGGTATTGTCTTTGCCACGGGAATGCACACTGAAATTGGTTCCATTGCGTCTGCTCTAAATGCGAAGAGCTCCAGGCGACGACGCGTCAAGCGAGACCCGGAAGGCCATGCTAAACCCCATCGTTACCTCGAAGCATGGACCCTTTCAACCAGTGACGCAGTCGGACGATTCCTTGGGGTCAACGTTGGCACGCCCTTGCAGAAGAAGCTTTCCAGGCTCGCAATCTTACTTTTCGGCATTGCCGTGGTCTGCGCGATCATTGTGCTTGCAGCGAATAGCTTCTCCAGCAATAAAGAAGTTATCATCTATGCTGTCGCAACCGGTCTCAGTATGATTCCAGCATCTCTCATCGTTGTCCTGACCATCACTATGGCCGCTGGCACGAAACGGATGGTTGAGAGACACGTCATTGTCCGGAATCTCAAGTCATTGGAAGCGCTAGGAGCCGTAACCGGTACGGTAAATCCCTTGACTTGTGACTGTCCCAAGCTAAATCATCGTTCAGACATTTGCTCTGATAAAACCGGTACTCTCACACAAGGTAAAATGGTTGCAAAGAAAGCCTGGGTTCCGGCAAAGGGGACCTACTCTGTAGGCACTTCGAATGAGCCCTTCAATCCTACAATGGGAGAACTCAGTTTTGATCCACTCCCTCCTAGCAAGATTGATTTCAGGAAAGCGGAAGCAGAAGGCCATGCTGTCACGTATACTGAATTACTTGAAAACAATAGGTTTCTTGAGGATTATCTAAACGTTGCATCACTGGCAAACCTCGCCCACGTTTACGAAAATCAGAATGGAGATTGGAACGCCAGAGGCGATCCCACCGAGATATCCATGCAAGTCTTCGCCTCTCGGTTTGATTGGAATCGCACTCGGCTCACATCGGGCGACGATGCACCATGGAAGCAGATCGCTGAGTTTCCGTTTGATTCCGATGTCAAAAAGATGTCGGTCATCTTCAAAGAGAAGCGGACAGATGAACGACACGTATTTACCAAAGGTGCTGTTGAAAGGGTAATTACTTCATGCACCTCAATCTACTTGAATGAGGGAGATGAGCCAACAGAGGTGACGGAAGACATCCGTAACGAGGTTCTGCAGAGCATGGAGTCGCTGGCTGCTCTTGGCCTTCGAGTTCTTGCCTTGGCCAGTCGCACTTACTCTGGTCAGATCGACGATGTGAATGAGATCAACCGTCAAGAAGTGGAAAACGACCTCACTTTCAGAGGGTTGATTGGCCTCTATGATCCACCTCGCCCTGAATCTGCATCTTCTGTTCGGGCTTGTCACGAAGCTGGTATTTCCGTACACATGTTAACAGGAGATCACCCCGGAACCGCTCGCGCTATTGCTGCTGAAGTGGAAATACTTCCATCTCGGATGGATCGAATTAGCAAAGACGTTGCTGATTCGATGGTGATGACAGCAAGCCAGTTCGACAAGATGTCTGATGATGACATTGACGCGCTCCCTGTCCTTCCTCTGGTGATTGCTCGCTGTGCTCCAAATACCAAGGTCCGAATGATAGAAGCTCTACACCGCAGGAAGCTGTTCGCAGCGATGGTTAGTTCTTTCTGGCTTTATTTATGTTCTCAGGCTACTGCTTACCGCATGTCTTACAGACTGGCGACGGTGTCAACGATTCTCCCTCGCTGAAGCGCGCTGATGTCGGCATAGCGATGGGCCAAGCAGGCTCTGATGTTGCCAAAGATGCATCTGACATTGTTCTAACGGACGACAACTTTGCGTCAATTCTCAATGCCATTGAAGAGGGTCGGCGAATGTTTGACAACATCCAGAAATTCATCTTACATCTCCTTGCTGAGAATATTGCTCAGGCTTGTACGCTACTCATTGGTCTAGCTTTTAAGGATGTGCGCGGACTATCTGTCTTTCCATTGGCACCCGTGGAGATTATGTGGGTCATTATGATTACCTCGGGCATGCCAGATATGGGACTCGGCTTTGAAGTAGCTGTCCCAGGTATCTTGCAGCGACCTCCCCAAAATGTAAGTATACAGCCCGCGCTAGTCCAAAGCCGTGTACCTCTTGATGCTGCACAACGTCTAATGCTTGGTACAGCTCACACGTGGTGTTTTCACCCTCGAGGTCCTGGTCGATATGGTTGTATACGGTCTTTGGGTCGCAACGCTCTGCCTAGCCTCCTTCAGCCTTGTGCTTTACGGATTTGGTGACGGCAATCTGGGTGAGAACTGTAATGCTACCTATTCCGAAGCTTGTGATACGGTTTTCCGTGCTCGCGCTACCTGCTTCGCCTGTCTGACTTGGTTTGCGCTCTTCCTCGCCTGGGAGATGATCGATATGCGTCGCAGCTTTTTCCGTATGCAGCCAGGGAGCAAAAGATACTTTACCCAGTGGATGCACGACGTCTGGCGTAATCGCTTCTTATTCTGGGCTATCATTGCCGGCTTTGTTACCATCTTTCCTACCTTGTATATCCCTGTCATCAACCATGATGTCTTCAAACATACCGGGATCAGCTGGGAATGGGGGATTGTCTTCATCTCTACGTTTCTCTTCTTCTTGGGCGTTGAGTCATGGAAGTGGGCCAAGAGGATTTACTTTAGAAAGACGGCAAAGAAAGCTGGTAATAACACCCAGGATCTGGAGGCCAGGACTTTTGGTCACTACATGAGTGAAAGTCCTTCCACCAGTGGAAGTGACCAGGACAAGGCGGGCCAGATGAAGGAAAAGAGTGGCCAATGACGTTCATTGGAGCCGGGGGGCAGGGGAGGTTGTGGGAACAGAATGACAGCGGAAGACAACATGGCAAATTGTATTGAGAAGCGGAGGGGGAAGATTGCACGAGAGTGTAGCTCTGGTCTCTACATGCTAGATAGATCATGAAGTAATGCTTTCACATCCACATGTGGTTGGTGCAAGGATTTTGCTTACAGTTTGCTTTTGCTAACTAAATAATTAAACCGCCGTGGGCAAACTCCGAAGCATAAGATGCTCCGATCCTAACCACCCCGCACAGGGCTGGTTAACAGCTGCCTAAACGGATGCGGGGACAGCACCCGTGCTCAGATATAACTTCTGCAAAACCAATACTGCACAATAAATCTGGAGAAGCTAGCATTCGCCTCGTTATCGGTCAAGAAGACTCCTCAGATACAATGGCAGGGTCGCAGCCTGTAGGCGGAGGTGGGCCGCTTCCAGCTACTGTATCGAATGCATCAGAATCAACAGAAGAACAATCGACAGTCAAAGACTCAACCACATCCTCCAATCCAGCAGCTGAAACGACAACAAAGAAGAAGAAAAGAATGCTGCAGAAACAGGGTGATCCTCTACACACGGACAAATCAACAGCCTCTTCTGAAGAGTCCTCCAACAAAGCCGCCTCGAAACTAACACCACAAATGGCCGACTCACTACTTGAGATGAACCCTGCCCTTCGCGGAGAGCTAGGCACTCTGGACAAGAGCAAAGCAAGAGAAATGCTGAAGAAAATGAACATATCAGATCTTCTGACTGGCATGTCAATTGGCGGCAAGAACCAAAAGGACATGGCTAGCTATAAGTTCTGGCAAACACAACCGGTGCCTCGATTTGACGAAAAAGCTGACGACCCTAAGCCCGATGGGCCCATCACTATAATCGATCCGGAGCAGGTAGCGAAAGAACCAGAGCCGTTACTCGAAGGATTCGAATGGTGTGAGTTGGATCTGAACAAAGAGGAAGAACTAAAGGAGGTGTATGAGTTACTGACCTACCACTACGTCGAAGACGGTAACGCCATGTTCCGATTCAAGTACTCAAAGTCATTCTTCAACTGGGCATTGAAACCACCAGGCTGGCTTGGCAAATGGCACATTGGCGTGCGGGCTACCAAATCCCGCAAACTCGTCGCCAGCATCTTTGGCATACCTGTCCACATCAGGATCCGAGACGTCGATCTGAAAGCGACAGAAATCAACTTTCTCTGCATACACAAGAAACTCCGCTCGAAACGCCTCGCACCACTTCTCATCAAAGAAGTCACGCGAAGGTGCTATCTCGCAGGGATTTACCAAGCAATCTACACCGCCGGCGTTGTCCTCCCCAAACCAGTCGGCACATGTAGATATTTCCATCGACCACTCGACTGGCTGAAACTGTATGACGTCGGTTTCTCGCCCTTACCGCCGGGAAGTACAAAAGCACGTATGATCACGAGAAATCAAGTTGCAAGCAAAACCTCCACACCGGGCTGGAGACAGATGAGAAGCGAAGACATAGAAGCCGTCCGTGATCTGTTGCAGCGTTATCTGTCGAAATTTCAGATGACGCAAAATTTCTCTACCGAGGAGATCGAACACTGGCTCCTCGATAAGAGTGCAGATGAGCATGATGTGCGCACCATCTGGTCGTATGTGGTCGAGGCGCCTGAAACGGGTAAGATTACCGATCTGGTCAGTTTCTACTGCCTGGAGAGTTCGGTGATCAGGAACGAAGGAAAGACGGATGGGAGTGAAACGGTGAAAGCTGCGTATCTATTTTACTATGCTTCGGAAACCGCCTTTGCGGAGAAGGAGAAGGGGTACAAAGAACGCTTGAAAGGCCTGATTGGAGATGCGCTGGTGGAAGCGAAAAAGGTAAATAGATTCCCATCTGCCATCTTCTTGCCGAATAAGAAATTTACCTTGCATCTTTCAGGCACACTTCGACGTCTTCAACGCCCTCACCCTCCACGACAACCCGCTCTTCCTGGAGGATCTGAAATTCGGCGCCGGAGACGGACAGTTGCATTACTACCTCTACAACTATCGCACGCAACCCATCAGCGGAGGGGTCAATAAGGAGAATATGCCGGATGCGAGTGAGAAGGGGAGAAGGGGTATTGGGATGGTGCTGTTGTGAGGGGTTTGCCGTAGTTATGTGCGTTCGAGAAAAGGGGGGTGACAGGACCGGTGTTGGCGTCAAGAGCAGGCATGGAACGACAAGAGAGATTGATAACCCTCGGCTGGATGACTGAGTTGAGTTGACTTTGTCCCGGAAAGACCGATATGGGAATACAGCGTATTCCACGTGGATACGGTAGTGGTGGATATACAGCACCTCATGCACCACCTACCTGCCTTGCAAGATCAAACCGTCCACGACTTTTCGCGCCTGACAATGTAACATGAACATGAACATGAATGATCCCGCCGTCTCCTCCTACTCTCCATGGCATCCGAATCCGAGATCACATCTCTAACTTCCCATTCTAATTCCCCGCATCCCATCATTTGCCGCCAGCACATCCCATCATGCCTTCGCTGCTGGTTATCCGATCCTGATCCTGATCCTGATGCACAGGTTTGGCCGGATTCGTTGATGGGGGTGAAAGTATTCGCTTTCTGGACTGAGGATGGGTTCACGGGATGGCTTTATCTTTCTCTTTCTTTTCTTCTTTCTCCCTCTCTCTCCTTTCCTCTTTCTCCTTCTCTCTCTTCCTCTTTCTCCTTCTCTCTCTTTTCCTCTTTCTCAAGCGATGACATGGCTCTTTCATCAACGGCTCGTCCTCAAGTCATTGGCAATGTTTCCAAGCACAAGCTTACTCTCGCATGTGTCTCCTGTCTCCGCTCTCTCTCACATCTCCAGCGCCCTCCACACCGCCGCTGCAACCTCCTCACTACAAGCCAACCGGTTATGTCCACCATGCTTGGTCCTCGTGAACCTTAGCCGTTTCTCATACTTCACATCTCCTTCCCTCCTTTCTTCTCGCCAGGTCTGAACGTATGACCCCTCACTCCTCTTCGCTTCAAACTCCTTCCCACAATCCACATCCTCGATTTTCACTGTCTTCTCCCCTCCATTCTTCCCTGCAGCAGCCGCTTTCTGCACCACGAAATCCCACAACCGCTGCGCTTCCCACCAGGGGATCTCGCGGTCGTCTTGCGCGTGTAGTAATTCGATGTTGATGGGGATGTCCTTTTCTGAGAGGATTAGCTCTGCGAGGCGATGGTCGGTGCGCCATGTGTCGGCGATGAAGGAAGTGATTTTGTCCATGATGAAGGAGTAGGAGCGGAAGGGGGAGAGAAGGGGTGGGATCACGCCTTTGATGCTGTACGAGTCAATCAGGGAGGGGAGGGAGGAGAAGGGGGAGGTGAGGATTAGTGATCTCGGTGGCGGGAGGTTGTGGATTAGGGTCCAGGCGTGGAGGAGGGAGGTGGAGATGGCGGTGCCCAGGGATTGGGAGGTGAGGATTATGTTCTGCGGTGGGATTGGGAGGGTTGATATTTGGTGTTTTGGGTTCTGGTTTTGGTTTTGTGGCGGAATCAAGCCGGTCAGGAAGGTGAGGACGGTTTCGGCGTCTGTGAGGACGCCTTCCTCGGTGGGGGTTCCGGTGCTGAGGCCAAAGCCGCGATAGTCGAAGGCGATAAGATGGACGGGGCGGGTCTTGGAGGAGAGGCCGAGCAGACGTTGGTATGTGAATGGTCGGATTGAGGAGGCCAGATGGCCGGCGTTGCCGTGGAAATTCACGACTACATGGGTGTTTGGGTCAGAGGCAAGGAGCTGGAAAGCTACTGTGTCTAAGACTTCCTCGGAGCTCTTGATCTTGAAGTCGCCTTGTGCTAGAAGTCGTTTGGAGTTCTCTTCTGCGAGATGAAGCGGTAGGATATGCCATGCGTAGAGTGTTGCATTGTCAGGCGTCGACAGGGTGAAAGGTTGTACTTGGTAACGGAGGAAGCCGAATGCCTCGACATCAGACAGATCCTGCCAGAGGGTCGGATTGACGTTGTGCGCGTATAGGGCGTTTCGTTGGACGATAGGAAAGGTGAGTGCAAAGACGAATACGAGGTACAGACCACCGCAAAGGGCCAGGGAGTAGTAAGCCTTTTTGAAGATCGGTGCGAGGGCAATGGCCATAGTCTGGCCCTACAAGGCGTGGAAGAGCCCTCAAAGAGCTAGACGTATAGAACAAAGAAAAGGGTATGTCTAGTTATATAATAACTATACACTCGACTCAGGTTCAGGTCAATTGTCACGGCGTCTATGACATGGTAGGTAGCATGGTCTAATTCCACACAGGATAGAAGCGTGATTGGACATTGAGCTCGGTAGGCACACACAGTAATATGGACCTTACGATGAGTAGACAATCGAAGGTGATGAAAGCATAAATGGTTCCTACAGGCTGCACCAACAACCGTGTACAAGCAGCAGTGGAAGATTGGGGCTCCCAGAGAGGAAGTATGCCGTGTGAGGCGTACAGTCAACAGATTGGTGGGTGGTGTTGTCCTTTGACTTGCAGAGTGGAGCGCCACATGGAGCATGGAGGGAACCTCAAGGGAGGCAGTCTTAACTAATCTTAATCTTAATCTTAATCCTAATCCTCCTTGCCGAGACATGAGACATAACTACTCTGTAAGCCAACAAACAACGCCGCCTTGACCAGCTTATCTCCCCGCGCTTCGATGATTCTTCCTCCAGCCACAACTGGACCCCAATCTTAAACTTTCTCTCTGGTTAGTACCAGTGCTTAGACTTTGCTGTCAGCTCCACTCCACAGCCTGCGCTCCACAATCCCAGAATTCCAACCGTATATACCATTGCTGAGGAGAAGAGATGCTGCAGGAGAGATAGGTACTCATGGTCTGGGAATGATTTCGTCTGTAAGTGGCATGCTACTTTTGTCCAGTCCAGTCCAACCCACTCCATCCATCCATCGATCGATCGGTGCAACCCCAACTTCTTCCGAGCTTCCTCGGGATAAACCGTTATCAGCATTACGTTGCCTCAAGACCCATCTCATTGCACGTCTGGAGACCATAGACAGCTTTCTCAGGGCCTGGCAGATGCTACTAGCATCGAGCACTTCATCATCGCTGCGTCCTGCCTGCTGCAGCAAAGAAATCTGGCCATCAGCCCAAGTGTCGGTCAACGCGCAGGCGCAGCCTCGATAGCTTCTTGCTAGTACCAGGATCCCTCCTGCTCTGGTCTCTCTGCCTTGCACTACTCTGTCGTTCCCGAGTTTACTTTAATCGAAACCAATCACTGAACACTTCCGTCATTGTCTAACTGGTCGCTTTGCAGTGTTCAACCAGACTCGGTGGTTCGACAGGGCTGACATGGGATCGTTGGTAATCAGCCCTGTGGTGTCGCATATTGGTCAATATACCCACCATCCCATGATGGTCGGAGCAGACTCGCAGCAGAATGTAGCTTCTGATCAATCCTCACGAAGCTCGACCCACCACACCTCTCCCTCCACCAATACCTCCCGATCCGCTGCGACACCTTCTGCTCGACCTCCAATCAGCCGAGCAGCTTCAGACCAATCCTCAAGGAATGCTACGCCTGTTGCTCCCTCACAACCAACAGTACAAGCTCCCTCTCAGGTGATGAATCCTACCACGTCTCCAGCGCAGGCAGCCCGCGCTCATCCCTCCTCACACCTTAATCAACACAGCCGAGGATTCGACCAATCTGGATTTCCCCTTACTAATGCCCCTCGACTCGCCTCATATTCTCCATCATCTCCTCGTCTGCAGCCTACATATCGGTCAAGTAGGTCACTGGGCGGATCGGAGGCCACTTCACCTAGCCGCATTCGAGTTCGGGATCTATCACACATACAGAGTTTTGCGAGCGAGGAGCTCTTGACCCGGCCACGGTTTCCTCATCGAACAGTCAGTGGGTTTTCGGATGCTGGCCGACAGTATGAGATAAGTGCCATGCCGGTCTGTGATATCATAGAAATGGTGGCAGGGCTTCTGACCAAGATTACCACCACCAACGACAAACAGTACGAGCATCTACACAGACCTGTTCCTCAAAGCGAGGATGGAGCTGCTATGAGCACACAGACTACCAGTGTGCTCGCCTTTCACGGAAAGAATGTTCCAACCATCACAATTTTGAGCTATCTCAGTCGAATCCACAAATATTGTCCTACAACATATGAGGTGTTCTTGAGCCTGCTGGTTTATTTTGATCGGATGACAGAGGTGGTCAACCGTAGATTCCTGCAAAAAATGCGCCGAGATACTGCTCGAACTCCAGTGTCGCCCATCAGCCCACCTCCTCCTACATCACCTGCGGCGAGCAGCGGGGACACGCCCAGATCCAGGTCATCACCAGCAGGCGAGGCCACTCCACCACCTTCGGGATCAATGGCTCCGGAAGATCCTCCTAATCGTCCGGCCTCCCTCTCAGGCCCCGGTTCCCTGCCTAATACGCATGGCGACCTCTCTCAATTCTTTGTGGTGGATAGCTATAATATCCATCGTCTTGTGATTGCTGGCGTGACATGTGCTAGCAAGTTCTTCTCGGATGTTTTCTACACTAATTCAAGATATGCAAAGGTAAGCAAACGCTACACAGTTTTCCTTTCCAGGCTAACCTTCCACGTAGGTTGGCGGCCTTCCCCTTGCAGAACTTAACCACCTGGAGCTGCAGTTTCTGCTTCTGAACGATTTTCGATTGTCCATTGCGGTGGAAGAGCTTGAAGCATATGGCACTATGCTTGTCGAGTTCTACGCTCGAGAAGTCGTAGTCCAACAGCAGCAGGCAGCCCAACCTCATGCGCAACAAATAAGCAGCATGCATGCTGGTGCGGATGAAGTCTACATGCGAGATCGGTCAGCCACGTCTGATTCGACACAAACACCAACACCGCCGTGAGATTTGTCTCGTCTGGGAGATGGGTTCGGATTATTCTTGCCCGGGACACTGATGATGGCGTTCGACGAAATGGTAATTCCTTTAAATTTTGCAGAGAACAAGGCATTACTATAGAGCCGTCATGTGTCCTCACCGTTTGCTACTGTGGATTCAACTGATAGACCAAGCATCTCCCGCTTCGTTCTCTAATTCCATTTGGTGGCCCGCCCCCGACCTTCTGGCCGGTAAAGGTGGACCTGGTCTGATGTTATGAGCATTGATGATGGGATGAATGGAACGATACCCTTATAGCTTCTCGTTGCTCTCATGGCTGCTCGTTTGCTTGGTCGAAGCCCCGACGGTGGGGATAAGGATTTAGATTCCGGTAGAGGCTTGTCGAGGGCGACTGCATTTCAAGTTGGGCAAATATTAGATTGTACAGACGAAAGATTGGCCGTATGCAACAAGAACAGCTTCAACGAGTCTCGAGCTCTCCTATTAGATTTGAATAGAGCGTGACCATCTGCGGGAACTTAGGGGCAGTTATGGTTATGCATCTCTTCAGCTGTTGAACGTTACAGTACATATGTAACCGGGAGAGAGCCGGAGAGTGAGTCACAACTCCGCCACTGGGATCAGCCACCGCTGGCTACAAGCTGGCTACAAAGACCATCATTATTCTATGACTCCTCACTCTGGTTTCTGATTTAACTACTACTTTTCAGCTACTTTCTTTCTTTTGTGCCACGAATCTCTTATCTCGTTCACGGGGCTGTTTTTTTGAAGCCTCAGGGTTGGTCAGGACACTTTCCTCTCCTCACACCGTGCACCCGAATACCTTCTCCCGAGTCACCTGAAAGTTTGCGTCAAAGCATAGTCCAGATGTCGTCTGTCAATACGATCCCTACTCCGGTTGCTACCCATGCCGCTACGGACACTACATCCGTCAACAGACCACCTAGGAACAGGAAAAGAGGTCGAGGTCCGCCCAAAGATGCCGGCAAAGATGGCCGAAGTATGCGGCTACATTCTTCCAATGCAGAACCAGCAGGAACGGCTGGAATAGCGGATTCAAGACTCAACGGGGATGCCCGAGAGTTTGTTCCGGCTTCGACACTTCCTACCGCAAAGCGAGAACGGCCGAAACGACATCAGAATTTGAAGCAGCCTCCGCAAGGTGGCAAGAACCATATTGAAGCGACTGCTATTACACCACCGACCGATGTGGCTACAGGGCCGAGCAAAAGACGAGCGTCTCTATTGCGGTCGACTGCGCCTGACATTGCGACTAGGGTTCATGAAGATATTGCGAAAAGCATCTACGAATGTGCGATATGCACGAATGAAATTGGCAGAAACTCCAAAGTGTGGTCGTGTCGTACATGTTGGACGGTTTTCCATATCGGTTGTATCAAGAAGTGGTCCACAAATGAAGGTTCTGCAGCACCGCAAGGTCAGGTTCAAGATGGACAACTCCCTCCTGCGAAGCAATGGCGGTGTCCCGGGTGTAATCTACCGCAGGAGACGCTACCTTCGGCATATAGCTGCTGGTGTGAGAAGGAATTGGATCCGAGACCTATTCCTGGTTTACCTCCACATTCTTGTGGACAAACTTGCGGCCGACAGAAGACTTTCCCCAAACCGTGCCCTCACCCATGCAATCTGATGTGTCATGCGGGTCCTTGTCCTCCTTGTCCACACATGGGTCCACTGCAAAGTTGTTTCTGTGCAAAAGAGGCAACATCAAGACGATGTTTAGACACGAATTATGAGTCTGGATGGAGCTGTGGCAAGACTTGTGGTGATGTGATGCCTTGTGGCAAACATACGTGTCCTCGACCTTGCCATGAGGGGCTTTGTGGAGCTTGCGAAGCTGTTGTTGAAGCACGATGTTATTGCGGAAAAGTCGATAGGAAGATAAAATGTGGGGAGTTAGGTCAAGAGAAGGAAAGCTACGACTGGATTGGGCAATTTGACTGTCAGCAAACCTGCGACCGTCTCATGGACTGTGGAAAGCATCGATGTGAGAGGACTTGCCACCCGCAAGATCATGAGGTTCCGCGTTGTCCTCGGTGGCCCAGTGCAGTCACTCATTGTCCTTGCGGAAAGACAGAATTGGTTGAACTATCTCAAGAGCCTCGGTCCTCTTGCACAGATCCTATACCTAACTGCAACAAGTCCTGCGGGAAAAGACTGGCTTGCGGACACAACTGTGAGCAGATATGCCACGCTGGGGATTGTCTTCCGTGCCTGCGAAGGGTCTCAATCAAATGCCGCTGTGGAAGAAACGCATTCAGTACTATCTGCCATCAAGGGGTTGAGGAGCCGCCCCAGTGTTTGAGAGTTTGCAAGGTCAATCTAAACTGCGGCCGGCACGAATGCGGAGAGCGCTGTTGCACAGGAGAACGGAAAGCCATGGATCGTCAAAACGCAAGAAGGAAAATGAAAACGATACAGCTCAACTTTGGCGGTCTGCCGAGGGACGAGATCGAGCCCGAGCATATCTGCACGAGAATGTGTGGCCGCACGCTCAAATGTGGCCATCATGCATGCCAGAATCTATGCCATAAAGGACCTTGCGATAGTTGCAAGGAAGCCATCTTTGAAGATTTGTCATGTAACTGTGGTCGAACTGTCCTTCAGGCTCCTCTACCTTGTGGCACTGGACAACCACCTTGCACGTTCCCTTGCAACCGGCCAAAGTACTGTGGTCATCCACAAACTGCGCATAACTGTCATACAGACGAGGAGTCCTGTCCGAAGTGTCCGTTCTTGACTGATAAGCCATGCATGTGTGGCAAGAAGACGCTCAAAAATCAACCTTGTTGGCGGTCAGACGTTTCCTGTGGACTAGTGTGCGGCAGAAAGCTCAAATGCGGCTCCCACTCTTGCCAAAAGCTCTGCCATCGAGCTGGAGACTGCGAGGACGCACACGCATCGTGTCAACAGCAGTGTGGAAAGGCGAAGAAGAGCTGTAGTCATCCTTGCGAAAAGCCTTGCCATGCACCTTCGGCATGCAAGGAAGACAAAAATTGTCCCTTTAAGGTCATGATAACATGTGCATGTCAACGGAAAAGGGAGGAAGTGAGATGCAATGCTCGGGCGGGTTTGCCGGAACCAGCTGGGCGTTCGAGCTCTCTCAAGTGTGACGAGGAATGTGCAAGACTAGAGAGAAATCGCAATCTAGCGGCTGCTTTACACATCTCAGATGGCCATTCAGACGATCATGTGCCCTACTCAACCGCTACGATGCACGCATACCTTGAGGATGTCAGTTGGGCGCATGCCCAGGAGGAGCTGCTCCGAGCATTTGCGGCCGATCCCAACGAGAGGCGGCTGCGGTTCAAGCCAATGAAACCACACCAGCGCACCTTCATCCACAGCATTGCAGAAGATTTCGGTTTCGATAGCGAGAGCATGGATCCTGAGCCACACAGACACGTGATGGTGTTCAAGACACCAAAATTTGTTGCAGCTCCCATGAAGACACTGCAGCAGGCGGCCAGGATCAAACGTGCAGCGCTCAATGTTGGAGCACCAATTCACAATGTTCCAGGCACGACCTCCACAAGCAGTCGTGGGACCAGCCCTAGGCCAGACCAACCGAAACCTCACTGGAACGGAATCCTCTTGACTGGGCCCCGCTTTGCCTTGACCGAAAGTGAGCTGCTGCCGCATCTGGTGAAAGCCGCTCCAACGACTGTATTTGATGTGTTCTTTCTTGCTGAACGCGATCAAGTAGTCCTACGTCCATCAGGCTCTTCGACCTCGGAACGCACACGCCAGTCCGCTGGAGTTCTCGAGGCTCTTGAACCGAGAATATCAGACGAAGTCAGGAAGCACGGTCTGGCAAAAGATGTGTCACTCGCTGTTTTCGATATGTCGACTGCGGCAGAGCCGCAACTCATGCAACGGAAGGAGGGAAAGGAGTCAGCGCTGAGCAAGTCTGGTGCAGATGGCTGGTCACAAGTTGCTGCGAAGAGCTCCGCACCGGCAAGGGCACCACAGGTTCAGGCCATTGGCCAGAAGCCCGTGTATACCGTGCTCGGGAGCAGACTAGCAGAAGCGAGGAAGAAGAAGTTGGAGAACGAGGAGAAATTACGGAAACAGGCTGAGGTTGTTGATGATTGGGAAGAAGAGGTTGAGAAGGATGAGCTAGTCAACAAGGCTGGTAGGGAAAGGGAAAATGCCGGGACTGAGGCTTCTCAGGATTCCGATGGTCATAGTGCAGATGACGCAGGCGAAGGTGTTCTAGTGATGGAGAGTGGCGAGGGCTTAGAGCCTGTCGCGCGAACAGTATGAAGATGGTTGTTGGTATGGCAGAGGATGACATAGTCATAGCTGTACGAACTATTTTGCCATCACTGCACGCAATACTCCGTACTGACACCGTAATTCCATACCATGATTCCTTGGATGAATGATCCTCGGCTAGATATCCGCTTGATTCAGGGAGCAGGGAGGCCAAGCCGCACTCCCTTGGTTATCGATAAACACTTGAAGCTCAGGCAATCCCGCCCTTGACATCTGGCTCCATCCTCATTCCACCCTCCTGCCCACCTTGATCGATTGCCAATGGGTCAATCACAGTCGGGAGAAGCCCCTCACCAGCTATCCACTGGTATGTCTCGTCTTCTGCGTTCGCTCCTCAAACCTTGCTTAACCACAGGCTTCCATCAGAACAACTGTCCCACGAACTTGCCCTTCGCTTTGCCTCGAAATGTTTTACCCACCTTGAGATCGCCCACTTTAAAGACAATTTCAAAGCTCTAGCAGACCATCAAGATGGCGTCGAGTACTGGAAGGAAGAGACACTCGGTCGATTCTTACTCCTGCCGGATGCCCTTCGTGTTGGTTCAGTCGTCTACCAGATGGCCACCTACCTAGGCGCCTTTCCCTTTCCTAGCCTGGCCCCCTGCATCTTGACAAGAGAAGCGATGCTCAAGGTGGTCACGATCATGACGGAAAGATACGGAAAGGTGCTGAAAAGAGGCAAAAGAGATCGCGTGAGGTTGTTGTTCAGGAGCATGGCTGTCTTCGATCGAACCAGGGCGCTGTCACTTACGGCAGAGAAGCCGACCATGGAGCAGCTGGTGGCAGAGCAGAAGCCAGACGATATGATGGAGGGAGAAGCAGCCATCAAAGAGGTTCGGTCAGGCGTGGCAGGTTTTGCAATTGACGAGCCTGTCGACGATGACCTTGACGAAGAGGAAGACGACGATGAGCTGGCTTTAGCGGCTTTGGATTCACTGGATGCAATTGAAGTGTTCAAAGAGGATCAAAAAGCCACAAGGGAGAAGAAGATACATCATGCACAAATACCAGTCGACAACTTCAGGCGGTTGCTCATGTTGCTACTTGTCCTGGCTCCTCTTAGACCGCAAGAGAACATGGCAAAATACGGAGAAGACTTGTCTGAAGCAAAGCTTAGAGAACTGGAGAGCGAGGCAGAGTGTATACTAGCAGCGTTCGATCCAGATGAAGCGACTGGAGCAATCAGATATACAGCTTTCACAAGGGCGATCTCAGCATCATTTCCATTTCTGTTCGATCCCTTGAACGCTTTGTTCGAGCACTTCCTGTTCAGCAAGAACATCGATCTATCGAAACATAGGATTTCTTCAATCTCAACACCCCCACCATCCATGTCACCAAAGATCAATCCAATCACGTCTGACTCTTCAGATCAGTCCTGTATCCTGACTTCTGAGCTGGTGTCTCACCTGTCCACATTCCTGGTCACCAAACCGGTTTCGACATCTCCAGTAAACCTCTTCCACACTGGTACCCGCTTTCATCCCGTCTACTCAACCACCGCTCATGGAACCTCGCTCACTTCATTCTCTCGACAAGTCATGTCATGGCAATCCGCAACTCTCCTTCTTGTCACAGGAACACCAACTCCTCCTGCATCAAACACCTCTGACTTCTCGCGTCCCATCACAGTAGGCGCCTTCCTCCCAAGTCCGTGGTCTAAATCCTCCTCATCCTCTTCTAGCGATTCCTCCTCTCCCCAACCCCTTCTCTTCCTCCTTTCGCCCCGCCACGCCCTCTGTCCTCATAACCCCTACAACCACTCTTCTGCCTCAAATTCTCACTGCAGCCCAAAAACCGGCATTGCACTTGGCTGCATCATCCCACCTGCCAGCCGTACAAGTGCAGCGTCTCAACCCCCAGTCCTCGGACCTGTAAGTTTGAGAATTGATGCCGATATTTCGACCGCCATATTCCAGCATGATGCGGGAGCTGGGACTGGAGCCTTCTTACCCGACCCAGGGCTTGAAAAGGCCCAGGCTGAGCCCAATGCTGGCAGAGGAGCTGTAGGAAGAAAAGTGGAATTCGACATCGACACCTTGGAGGTCTGGGGTATCACGAATCCTGAGGCAGGCGAAGAGGGCGAAGATGAGGTGGTGAGGCAGAAGAGGAGACTGGACTGGGAGGAAGCCGAGGCAGCGAGAAGAGCGGGAGTCAATTTCGGTGGAGACAAAGATGGCGCAAGAGCGCTCTTGGAGATGGCGGGCCTGGTGGGCGACAAGGGGAGAAGTGGAGGGAGTGTCTGAATCACATGCAACAGAAGGACTTGTGTATTGCAGTGCTACAGGAACAAAGGCCAGTCCTAAAAAGTGACGTAAGTGATCCTCCTTCACTCTGGATCGGCTCTTCGCTGGAAATTGTCATCGTTCTAGCCAGCCATTCCTGCTAGCTCCCTCGACAACGACGACGACGACGACGGAGCACGTATCAAGCTGTCATACCAAGCCGGCCAGAGCGCCAAGCAGAACCAAACATGACTGCTCGGAACTGGCCGCCAAATCTCTTTTTTTCCTACCGACCCCGAAACCGAACTGGGCCCGGCCCTGCTCTTGATTTCTGGCACCGAAGTCATACACCACACCACACCATCCAACCTGCTGATCTGGCACCCCATCTTTCGCAATCATGTGCGAGTCTCGTACAGTATGCAGCGAAGCACTATCATGGGGGCTGATACCCAGCAGCTCCGGACCTGCAGCGCGCACCCTTACAGGGAGATACAGAAGTGGTCGTTTTCACGCCTCGAGAGCTGGTCGACTCCTCCCAGACCGCCTGCCTTTAGCCCCAAACTAACTACCACGCCAAGCCCCGCCAACGACGTCGGCGGTAAGTTCAGCCAGCAGAACGTGACCGTCTGCATTATGATGAATAGGTAACCTCTTTTTTCTTACCTTGGAGGATTTCTCCGGCATAGGGCTAGGGCTAGGGAACGTGGAACGGGGAGCGGGGCGGCTAGATCCCTCCATCCAGGAACAGGAATTGCATGCTGCTGCTGCCGCCTCATATTGCTTTGGGCTCGGCTCGGCTCATTGTGAATCCCCAAAGTTAGTAACTTAGTAGTCGATCATATAATCAAAAGGAAATCTTTGGCTTAGGCAAGGGCAAAAAGCAAAAAACATACCGTACTATATTCTTTGGACTCTTCTGGCGTTTTTCTGGACGGCCCCCTTCTACGTCTACGGAGTATTTCCTGTGCCCCTGAAGTCCAGAAGACAAAGCTCGTCCCTGATCTTTTTTTTGGTTGCTGACATGTTTCCCCCAACGTACCTGGCTGGCTACGGTAGGCCTCCATCGGGACAACTTAAGACGTACTATATACAAGCTTCCGCCCGGAATCCTGCGGCTTCAACTGATACGGAAAAGGGTCTTCGGCCTGACTATAATATAAAATTCGGGAAGTGTTGGATAAGTGGGCGCACTAATCATGGCTAGTTAGTTAGCTAGCCATTGCTAGCCAAAAACGAGGCATAACTAGCCATTGCTTCACTAAGCGTGCCTTAAGTGAGTTCTCAGTGCTGATGACGGGGGGCTGAACAATGCTTTACAATGGTTAGGCTGGGTCAGGTCAGGTTAGGTTGCTTTCTGCTGGGCTCGTCCAATTTGGTTGTGAGGGATTTCGCTATCGGTAGCTGGAGGTAAGTGGACTGGGAAGTTTGGTGCCATTTTATTTATTGGCCCTTGAAGACCTTGGAAGCTCTCATGTGTGCTTCGTGTCCGCAATCGGTCGATTCCTGGCACCTGCGGGATGGGGGGGGGGGTTGTTGACGGCCGGGTTCTTCTGTTTCCCCCTCCCAGGAGAGCTGACGATCTTGATGATTGATTGATAGATTGATAGATTGATTGATGGGAGATCTTTCTTCGCTTGCAGAGAAGACTGCATGGCTTGTCTGAAAGGATCAGGGAATGTCATCATACTGAGCTTCTCTTCTTGTGCCGATTATTCCCGGACAGGGAAGCCCACTTCTTTCAGATCTAGTTAGCACTCGACCAAGACACTCCGCCGTCGACTAGAAGTTGCTGCTCAAACCCATCCGTATTGGTCATGTCTTCAAGCTCTAAATCCTAGGTATCATCAGCAATCTCTTTCCCCTTGGGCAGTACCTTGATTCTCAGTAATCAGCGGCCGCAAACTTCCACTTCCACTTTGCATGTACAACGGCTTCAAATCCTCCTTTCAGTTCACATCACAGCTCATGTCCCGTTTCTCACAGACCTTTGGCGCTCTTCCAGCCATAGCGCTCATACATCTTCCTCCCCACCAAAAAACTCTTCTGCGGATGTGACATTTGATGTTAGCGTTCATTTAGGTTGCCATATCCCATTTGCCACTGTTGCTAAACGAGTGACACCAGTAGCTGCTCCTCCTGGGGAAACACCGATGGTATTCATCAGCTGACGAGTCATCCCGCAGCCAAGGATGAAAAATACGCTGTACAGAGGAACCAAGGCTTTAGGGGGACAGTCGTGAGCTCGGAGTGGATCCTGAAGAATCTTTCTTCTTGCGTTGATAACGTTACAAATCGTTTATACAAGACTAGGTCGGGAGGAAGAAGGAGATAGGACCAAATTGGTTACATTTATGTTCGGAAGCAGTTCCGAAGACGACGCCGTAGTACTAGCTACGTGCGCAATGCAAGGAAAAAAGGAGAATAAGGAAAGACGAGGTCTGGAAAATTCCTCATATGTTGCTAATTTTTGTGATTCAACCAAGTGGACAGAAGAGAAACCGGAGATTAGAAGGAACAGAATTCCAGGACTCCAGGAATTCCTACGTCCGTCAACTGGAAAATGAAGGTACAAAAGGGCCACAAGAGAAGCCAAGGGCCATCCAAATGAGGCTGATCATTTACACGACTTGAGCCGAGGGCGGAGCTGGAAGACTTGAGATTCTGTTACAGCTTCGTATTGCTCCTTGTATGATCGATATAGGCCAAGTCCCTCCTCTGAATCGTCCCATTGTAATGATAGCTGCCATGACCGGTAGTCCCCAGAACGCTGGAAGCTGGTACCTGAGTAAAGCAGAGTAAAAAGGATAGGTGCAAATCCAGGCGCGAGAATTGAGTCATGAAATCATGACTTTGAGTGATTGTGAGAGAAGTAGATACAGAGAGAAGAAGGGCCGAATGGGCAGAGAATGGAAAGGGAAGGACAACAGTGAAAGCGATACTACCAGTAGGTGTATGATGGTAGATGTCATCCACTCATGTCAGCATCAGCTTCTCCGGAGGCTCGTCCGCGGATATACATATGCAACTCGGGGTTCAAGTTGTTGCCGCTCAGAAATGAGATTTCGCCCTAGAGGGTATAGTGTGTAGACCAGGATATTTGACCAATCAGATGCCGTAGATCCTCTTCGTTGGAGCTGAGTTTTGCTCTCTCTCCTTGTTATAGCTATCTCGTACAAAATCCTTAGTGTTGTATCCTTCGCTTGGAGTTCTGTGTAAAACATAAGAGCGATAACAACTTTTATGGATGAAAATGTGCAGTTTGAGTGGTGTATTAGAAACGTAATTAATACCCAGAAACCAGAAGACTTGATGGAAACTTGGACAAAATGGCGTATCGCTCATTACAATGCGCTTGTATCAATCTAGGCGGCACCTCATAGCAGCAGGAGCTGTCAAATCAACGTGTGGAGTTAGGGGTTCGTGCGAGAGCCAAGGCTGTACTATGTACGCACTAGTACGGGGCGCATGAGTTATTGTTAGTTCAGCGCTAGAATTTCTACTCGAAAACGTCTGTTGTACATAACAGCTAAGCCCAGATTAGGTTAAACGTCAATTTTAACTCGTTAGAATGGATGTGCTCAAGTCAAGCTTTGCAATACCAAATCACAGCACAATGATAGAGTAACTGTGACCAGTCGCTACTAGCACCAGCCCAACAATACTTATGCATCCCCCCACACGGGTAGTACAGAGTAGTACGTAGTAAAGGCTGTAGCCTGGCTCGTCTGGGGCGTTGGGGTGGACATGCCCGAAACAGTTAGCACGTAACGAGATGTCAACTCGATCAGTGGTCACATCACACTACCGGATGCAAATAGTCTGGAAGCTCTTCGAACCAACCCCGGATTCACTACCAGAGCGCAGAGAAACCCAATGCTGCTGTACTTTCCGTGCAAGGCAGGCAATCACAATCACATCGGGTATATGAGCGTGACTGGCAGGAATTCGCTGCCTGGGAAATTTTAAATGTCGTCAGCATGAGCTCCTCTCGATCGATCATAAGCGAATCCAGGATATACAAGCGCACATGTCGGGTCAATTCCTACTCGCTGTGTTAAGAGTACTGGATTCCTCGCGCCTGCACTTACCTCGTGGTGTGGGGAAATGGTGTACTTGGTACTGCCTGTGAGTGGTCCTAGGGCATGCACCCCATCGAACATTGAGGCGATAGGCTGCAACGCCAAGCTGATGGAGTGTCTCAGTTCACAGGCGAGCTACTCATAGGCCCTGTACCGTTACCCTTTCAGGGATACTACACCATTCACAAACTGCACAAGTGCAGTGTGATAGGATCTGCTCCACAGCGGGGTTGAAAGGTGGCCCATCACATCAGCTGATCTTTCATCAAGTAGCCGGAGCAGCATGTGCTGTATATATTGTGACAGTCTTCCTGATCAGCACTTCTTCTCTTCATCTTCACCATCGTCCAACTCGCAAACAACTTCTCCTGAAAACCAGCATCATAATACCTCAAATCTCAAACCCCCCAAACCATCAACAATATCAATCATGGGTGGCTGTGCCTGCTGTTCTCACGAAGGTGACTGTAACGGCTGTGGTTGCTCTACTTGTGGTGTATGTGATGACGCCCTCCATTGTTCTGTCATATGTTCTTCCATCCTAGCTTGGTATCCTCAAGATTAAAGGACCTTGACTGATTGTTATTCTTCGCGTAGCATTGAGAAGTCGCTCTCATAAACACCCATACAGGCTTCGTCGTGCCATGACTCGTTGAACGGAGAATTCGGTGAGCTAGGAGGTTGGACTGGTTGAGAGTTGGCTGGACATATTACAAATGTCGTATGATGCTTTTGGTCGGATATGTAGTTACCTTCAACAGGCACACTCATTTGGAAGGTTGAATCCAATAAATTCAAGAGAGATCTTCAATTTGTAGTTGAAATTGACTTGCAAGAATGCTCTTACCATTTCTCCTTCCAAGAATAATTGAAGTGATTTGCATTGCCTGTCTCTGTCGGCCTGTCCCTCCAGCTCTTCTGCCGTAACCGAAGGTCCGGTAGGAAGGTTCGGTACAAAGGCCCTTTGGTGTGGAGAAATGCCAAGGCAGAATGTTGCAAGCTTCTTCCTCAAGCGATTTGATAGGCGTTTTGAGGGTTCTCCTGGGAAGTCGAGCCGTGGACGTCACTTGGGCCGGTAGCCATGGCAATCCGCTCACTTCGCGGCTTGAGATGGGATCGATGCGTGAATACTTGATGGGGTATAGTCAAAATGCTGATGGCTGTGAATGGCATTTATTAGACCTCAAATGAGCATGTAGAGCTTGTAGGTTTGAACCGCGAAATGAAGTGTCTCTGTTCGAGAGTAAGATTCAACAGAGATTCGGTAAGAAGACGCGTCGATCTTCCAAGTAGACCTGTACCATTAGTATGATTGCCACGCATTTCAATCAAAGTTGCGAGCATGGACGATACAGGGGACGAGACCTGAATCGCAAGAATGTAGATGTGAAGGATGCGGATTTTGGGGAATTGAAAGGGAATGATGAAGTACACGTCTGAGCAGCTGATAGACCGAGGCTGTTGAAGTGCTTTGCATCGACTCAGCTATCGTTACAATGGAAAGTTAAGGCTGAGGACTCCGAAGGTTAATCTTGCGTCAATACAAAAGGACACAATGTGTCAAGCCCAATTACCAAGTAAGGCCATCAATCCTGTTGGATCCAAGATTAGCTCAATATTGGCAAGAATTTCAGAGACATAACTGACCAGCTCCCAAGGACATGAACCCGAATGCAAGTAAAGTCAATTTTATCGGCGCATTCATCATTGCACGGCTAAACATGAATTCATGCGCAATGAGCTCCACCAGACCAGTGTAGATCAGGATACCCGCACTGATCGAGTCGAAGACGCCGTTGACGATCAAGGTGGCTTGGCCACCAGGTGGGTAGCTTTCCCTCACACCGAGACCTATGGCGATTGCGACAGGAGTGGTGAGACCATAAGCCAAGGCGAGTATATATGGGGTCCAGCTCTTCTTCTCTGGCCATGGTGTCACCGCAAGCCGACTACCCAGACCTAGGCCCTCAAAGGTCTGATGGAACACCAATACAACATACAGCGTCCTGAATTCTTCGCCAGCCACCGCAAGAGTTAGACCAATAAAAATCGAATGGAAGATAACACCAAATTCTAGGACGAAAATAGCAGTCATCTGGGCAGCGTAATTATCGAGTGTCGGATCGTAACGGGTAAAGGCATCTTCGATGTCAACATGTTGCTCGCTATGGCCATAGTGATCGGCTCCTGGCACGAAGCTGGCTCGACGTGAATTGGATCCGTTGCTTGCACCTTTGGCAGCAAGCATATACAGGGTCTTATCCTCCTTCTTGATTGATTGTTTGTTATTCGTACGCTCTGCTTTCATCAATACTCGGGTGACCATCAATTCAATGAAGAAGAGGACAAATATCATCATCAAGGAGATACCCTCTGGCCATGGGTATTCGGCAATGACGGTATCGGCTAGACAAGCTTCGCCAAGGGCCTCGTTTGCAGGAGCTAACAGCTGAGTAATGTTAGCTTGCAATAAGCTGAGCGTCCACCATGATCTAGGAGCCATAGGAGCCAGAGGAGTGAACATTCTTTAGGCGGCTTGAATCAACAAACTTGAACCCAATACCGTAGAGCCGAAGCTTGGCAATCCTCCACCTGAAAGCATTGCAATGGAGACAGTCACTCACATGAATGAAGGCTGTGGCAACGATCACCCCCGAACCAAAAAATTTGACAAAAAAGAAGACCCAATCTGGTACTCCTAGATTTCGATGTCGATTGGCAAAGATGGGAAATAGAGCACCTGAGAAGGTCAGCTTCCCCAAGATCACAACCAAGGAGCCGCTTGGGTTGTCAATATCATGTACGGACCTAACCCCGAGCCAACGAGAATGACAAAAATGGCAGAGATTCGCAAACCCAACTGGCCATCATATTCATTGCCAGTTTCGCATGCGGGAACAGGCTCGTCCATATCGAAGAGAAGATCTGGCTCAGCCGGTTGGCAGTTTACTGTGGACTGTCTGGGCTTTAAAGAGACCGAAGAAGAAGATCAATGGCTATCAGGCTTGCCTGGGGCCAGGCTTGGATTTATCGAAATCCATGCCGCCCAGCTGCTTGCGATTTGCATTCCTAGGACAGCTGGGCATGCAGAACGAGTCCGCGGGCCGCGAGGATTAGGACCCATTCCTACGCTAGACATGTTGGTAAACGAGATCCACCCCAGAGGCACCCACTCAGATGTCAAGTGGAAACGATTAGGTCGCACGGATCTTATAAGATAGTGTGGCAAGCGGACAAAACGAGTCAAACGTGGGAGTGGTATCCTTGGCAAAGGAGATATTCGGTGCTCTAGTGGTACCTCCTTTTCCACACTGTACCGCAGACTACATCCTCCATTTACACAGCGGTCATTCTCTAAATAGCACCAAAACCCTTCCATTTCAGTAGAGAAGATAGGTGTGCATCTACGATGAGGAGTCGACCATGTTATGCAATCACAATTATTTAAGCAAGAGAATCTGGGATACCACGTGCCACTGGCGTCACGCCACGCTTCTGCCACAGCTTTTGCAATGCTTCTCAAGGTCCTCAAAGTCAAAATCGGCAATCCCACTGCAAGGGGGCCTGCAGTAATATTGGTAGTTGTCATTACAGGACTATAGCGCTCTGATTTGTCATTGCAAAGCTCAGCTGTAAGTAGTCATTTTGACTAGTCAATTTATTACATCTAACTTTTTTGAGACATGGTTTTTCTGTGCAAAGAGCATTTCCTGGTAACATCATTTCAAGGCCCCGGTGGTGGCGTACCCGACCTTGGTTCGCCTCTGCTACAGAACATGGATTTCATGGTCCTCAATCAGTAGACTGGGAGCTGTGCCAAATCATCGAGGCCAGTTGAGATTGATTGATGTTGGTGCTGTGATTCGGTCTAGTCTAGAGTGTTGACACATTCTATAGCTTCATTGTTTCCTGGATCTTGCCCAGATACCCATTTTGGATCAACCAGGCCCGGACGTCCTCTCCGTCTCTTTCGAGCCAACTGTTCCTCGCCTTGATACTATCCAGCGTCTGATCAAGTGCGCGATCGAATCCCTAGATCACAAAGTATCAGTCGTCAGTATAATTCCTGGACTACCAACACGACATGTAGAATCGACTGACCTTCGTGTCTCTTGTCTTGAAAAACTCCTCTACCCTCTTCATCTGCTCCATCCTTGTAAACCCACCCGCACACATTCCCACTACGGAACTCAACATGTTCCCACTTGGCGGCAGCCTCTTGACAAGCTCATCCCAAACGCTACACATCCACTCCCACCTCTTTTCGATCCCCTCCCTATGCGCCCTCAATCCCGCAATAGGCATATAGATATCCTGCATCTTAACTTCACCGCTCAACGTAAGCCCCAAAGTCCTATCAATCAGCTCCGGGGACTTCGCGCGTCCAAGCACGCGCAAACAGGTATTTCTCTCCTCGGCCGTCGATGCGGAATGGTATCTCGCTAGGATTGTGTTGTATTCCTTCTCGCCCCCATGGACCAGTGCCAAGGCGAAGACAGCAGGTTTGAGGTTGGGATGCACAGCTTCCAGATCTCCATCTTGGAACCTCTTGAACATTTGGTCGGCTGCGTTGATGATCTTCTCATCTCCAGCCATCCCTGCCGAGCCGAACATGAGGCTTTTGAACTGGGAAAGAATGTGGTCTTCGTTCTCCGTGAATTCCCAACCCAGCTCATGAGCTTTAGCGGAGCAAAGCTGTAATTGGAATAGCTTCAATGCAGCTTTGGTGTCTTCGTCCTCAAAAATCCACGTGCTTCTTACAGCGCTGATTCGAGTGAGAATCTCGTTCCAGACGATATACGCGGATTCCATATCAAAGGACTTCAAAAGGTGCAAAATACCGGACGTCTTTTGGTAACCCGCCGCAGCAAGTGAGCCAGCGTCAGCGATCATGCCAGCACGGTCCTCGACTGTAAGGAGACCTTGTTTGGCTGCTTGTCCCAGTTTTTCCAGGCGGGAGGTAGGATATGAGGTACGGAACAAGGAACAATGGTCCGCGTTAAGCTTGTAAAAGGACAAGTCTGGGAGCGTGAAAGTGGCCGACCGAGAGCCGAGCATCAGATTTTCATCAATCCCTTCCTTCGTCTTCAGACCGAGGATGACGGGATAGATGGTGGTGTCCTCTTCAGGTTTCACATCTCCGGTTCGCAAGAAGCGGTTTTGCTTCAGGGTGATGGCCTTCTTGGCTTCGTCTTCTTCCACGGTGATGACAGGAAAACCAATATGCTTGGTCCAAACATCCATCAAGGTGGAGACATCTTTACCACTGGCTTCAGAGAGAGCTGCCCACAGATCACCGGTTTGTGTGTTGCCCCATGCATGCTTTTTGATGTAGCGTCTTACTCCGTCAATGAAAACATCTTCCCCAAGATATTTTGAGATCATGCGTAAAACAGCAGAACCTTTGGCATAGGAAATGCTGTCAAATATCTGATTGATGTCCTCTGCTCGATGGACTGGTACTTCGATTGGGTGTGAGCTTCGCAAAGAGTCTAAACCCAAGGCGCCTTGTAAAGTGTCGATAGTGAAGGTTTCCCATACCTTCCATTCTGGGTAGAATTCATTGCAAGAATACCATGACATCCATGTTGCGAAACCTTCGTTGAGCCACAAACCATCCCAAAAGTCCATCGTAACAAGATTTCCAAACCATTGATGAGCAAGCTCATGCTGCACGACCTCAGCAACGCGTTCTTTGGTCGCAGCACCAGCAGTCTTCTGATCGAACAAGAGATCGACAACCCGATAAGTGATCAATCCCCAGTTCTCCATGGCCCCAGCGCTGAAGTCAGGAACAGCCACCATATCCATCTTTGGCAGTGGATATTCACTATCGAAAGCCTTTTCGTAGAATGCTAAGGTCTTTGCAGCAACCTCGAGGGAAAATCGACCATCTTCTAGATCCTGCTCAGGTGTCATCCAGACCTTGATGGGGAGCCTGAACTTGTCCGTAGATATAGACTTGAGCTCGGCAACGATAAATGCAAGCAGATATGACGACATGACCGGTGACTTGTGGAACTTCACAGCTTTCCTCTTGCCTCCAGTGATCTTGGAATCTACCCATTTTTCCGACTCGACGTCCATATTACTTAGACACGTCATGTGTTTGTCGGCAATCAGGGTCACGGTATATTCAGCCTTCAAAGCAGGTTCGTCGAAGCAAGGAAATGCTCGTCGGGCGTCTGTCGGCTCGAATTGTGATACAGCCAAATACCTCTGCTTACCATCTTTATCTTTCGAGGATGCTCTATAGAATCCGGCCATCTGATCATTCAGTTGTCCTGTGAAAGTCTGCTTGAGCTGTACCTTCTGTCCCTTGGACAACTTCTCGTCAAATTTGATCGTTGTAGTCTGCGTGTCTTCATTGTAGGAGAGACGTGGACTTTCGATGACAAGGGCACCAGGTTTTTGGATGGTAGTACTGTGGATGTCGAGCTCGAGAGTGTTCAGGCATACTTGGGATGAGTCTTCTGCCACGTCAAGGTCTATAATGACCGTGCCTTCGAAGGTGAACTTCTCAAAGTCACATTCGAGGGTAAGGTCATAGTGCCTAGGGACGACGTTTGTAGGAAGAATCTCTCGGCTTCTTGAAATGTCAATGCTGCCCGCAGTATCGGTGTAGGCTGCTCGACACATGTTGCGGGAGAAGGACTGCTGCTCCTGATGATGTGCAGGGCCTGGAAGAAAAGCCTTGAGGAGGACCGACAGGAAGGGACTTGAGGGAGTGGACAACGAGGGTCGTGCGACCGGAGAAAAGCTTCTGGAGAATTTCGGGCGGTGAGTTAAGATTAAATTCCTTCGCAGCTTTGGAGATGTGTGCGACCTCGCAACGGACTTCCCAAGTTGGACCGGACAAACAAGAGGGAGTCTCATCGACCCCAGTGGCCATAGACTTGGAGGAATGATGTGTAGCAGCGCATGAAAGACCCAGTGGCAAGCTCCAGCATCATGCAGGGGAGCGCATAGCTTGCTCCGCAGTCGGAAGGTGTACCGACCGCACTGTGGATCGCTCAAGCTATCTATTAGTTATTGATCTCCCATCCAAATCCTTCCACAGCCCAACTACACGCAAGACAATTACTGCACATTCTGTCATACTTCGATTGGCACACAATGTTCCTTGGCTTCATGGCCATTCCTTGCTAGAGTACACCAGCATGTTTGAGGGAACTACTATCTCTTGTGGGTTGATTTCCATAAGTGTCTGGGACATGAATTAAACAATATGAAGTTCCGTGAACGGCGTCCTACCGGGTTGGTTTTCTCCAGCGTTATAGTTTGGGAGTATTACAGCAGGAATACAAGTACACAAAAACATGATATCCTCCTGGATTTCATAAAGTCTGAATTTTAGAAGAGTCAATGCTAATTACAGATGTTTGATGTCTTCCAAGAGTTATCTTAACCTCAAGAAAGAAATTTTACAAGTCCATCGCAATATAAGACCTGCTAAGTTGAAACATATGAACGCCTCCTCCATGTTATTTTCCAGTATTATACAGAAATTTGAGAAGCCCAAAGCTCAGAATGATCAATCTTACCCCATCCTCATTAGCCTACTCCAGTTCTCATCATGCACTGTGTGTACCGCTACACAAATCATGATCAGGGTAAACCAGGCTGGGCGCGCCCCAGGAGTCCATGTGAGGTATACTACAGTTTTCCTTACATCGGAAATAATGACACCCCCAGAAGGGCACCATGAGTCCCAAAATCCCACATTGAAACTCTATATGAAAATCACAGAAAAATCACAGAAATTTATCAAAGCTCATCGACCATCGTTTTTCATTTGCTATCTGCAGTACTCCACTACTCTAAGAAATGACGGCTGTGCAATATGCACCGAGGGCAGGTTCTTGACTGGCCCCATATCTCCCAGTGTTCGTAGTGATATTCCATACCTTTCATCGCATTGTTTGATGCCGTCCATGCGAAGAAGTTCCTTGCTGTGTTACCAGCACGTCCTGCACATTCCTTGAGTAGAATCTCCTCCCAGTATCCTCTCTCCTTTGGAACGTACTTCCCACAGATCTGGCAGAACTTCAAATGGTCGGGAAACCAAGACTTCAACGTGTTTCGGAAGAAACGTCTCATCCCATATAAATCTTGGTCTTGGTGGGGAGCAGGAAGTTGGAGCATTGTATGGAAAGAGGTGACTTTCTGGGCGAACGCTTTACAGACCAGTGCAAACGAAGCACGGTCGCAGATGGTGAGATAGTCCCTCATAACCATGACAAACAGCTCCGCGGGAAGGCCAAGTATGTCGAAACCCTTCTTACGATGTCTTTGGCGGGGTCTATGAGGGATCGGGCGAGGTGGAAGAACATTTGTAAGCATCTGCCAAAATGTCAGCCTTCTTTCCCTCTTCAGGCCGCCTTCCAGCATGGTCCGTTCATTGCCGGGCTTGTCTTACCTGGCGAGGGAAGCGGACCAACTGCATTTGGACAAGGCCAGGGTTTGATGCTGTTGCTGGCTGCTAGCATAATCTTTGTCAGTATTCTTGCTGGTGAGGTCTCGGTGACGGCTAACTCACGTTTGGTGGAACCGCTCCAGATACATTTGAGGGAGTTGTTGTGGTAGCCATGATAGCTAGCAGTAGTTGTATCACACAAGATCTTGTTGACTTGCAGGCGAGACAAGTAGCAGATGGGATGAAGTTGATGATACTAAGTTGTGGTACAACGAGAAGATCGAGTGACGGGATGTTTGCAGCAGATGCACTAGTCGCATTAAATATTCACTGTATCAGTCTCTTCGTGTGTTCCTCTCTGCTTCCTGCTGAACCACGTGATATCACTGGTAATAGGGGTGCCAAGAGATGGCATTTCAGCATAACAAAACTGCAAAGATATGCATCCGTCACGAAGAACGCTTCGCTAGTAGGTTCGATGAACCTAATACAAACCTTGCGATTGGAAGCCAGAAGGCCAGGAAATCAGCAGCTCAACCCTGTACCTCAGCAGAAGCGCTGACGAATGACGATGGCAGCCGATCGCACTAGAACGCAGAGCAATCCCCCAGATTTGGCAGAATGAATCGCATCAGTAGCTGAGGGCTTGTGACCCAAAGACCCGCCCCAGAGAACGAAGGGCCTGTTACAGCCTGCAGAACGTACACTTTGGACCCAAAACCGCTGTGCGCGGGCAAAGCAATGTCTGGTATATGGGTGTGCTCCCACAACCTGTCCGGAAACTGTTCCCCTTGCTGGATGCAGAACAGATCTCGAAGAAACGAAGTGGAGCATATCACAGGTATATATGGAATGGCATCTGCAAGTACCAGCTGGGGATTGACATAGACAGCAAGCATGCAATACGGTCAGCGGGCTAGGAATCTCCTACCACCAGAAACCGTAGGCGATCAGGTTGCGATACTAGCGAACGGAAAGGATTTGGGACTCTCGCCTGCAATGTTGATAGGGTCAGCTATATTGAGCCAGTGAGGCTCAATAACGAGAACCCTAACGCAGCGACATATAGCACATTGTGGTCTGGTATCCAACAGTTATACCCCTGTCATGATGTGGAAGAACTAAGTCGTTGATGATGTAAATAGGGGCGGATGGAAGTGAAGCATTAGCACCGATCTCTGGTTCTCTTCGGCACAACTGCCTATCTAGGATGGAGCACCTACCACGTACTACTAGTACCTAATGGGCATGCGACTGCTTGTCTTCTTTTCACGGATAAGTACTTAGTCCAGCATAAGGGGCTGTCAATGTTTTACAAAGGACAGGTGGGATTAAGTGTATTGTAGCTTGTTTATCATGTTTCACATTTTCCTATCACACAGCATATGACAAAATTGGTGATGGTATCTCAGCCAGTGATGATGCACACAATGTAGCATTTACGACAGAAACCTTCCATCCAAAGCATCATGGGTATGAAAATTGGGTCTGGGGATGCCAGAATGGGTGCTGTTATGAGATGGGAGTTGAAGATAGATCAGGGAAATGTCATTATAGAGGGTAGCAGTAGGGATGCAGAGGAGCGAAAGGAGGTTAGGCTTGGCAATATGCCTTGGCACAACTTTGGTCTTGGCCAATTTGAAGGAGGGCTTCAACTACTAGTTAGTACTAAGTTAGTTAGTAGCATGTTAGAATCATCCTAATGATGACTATGGAATATCACCACCATGCTTTTGCTGGATGGAGCATACATCTGGGCTTTCAAGGATGGAGTTTCGCGAAGAATGATAATTCAAAGACCACCACAAAGTCTCTCCCGGGAACTTGAAGTCGTTGTGGAGAGTGTGGTGAGAGTCCAAAGCTCTGTTCTGCATGTCCCTGGTCAAGAAAATCATGCCTGTGAGGTAAGAGGATTTGTGGCCACCGTACAGTTAATCATAGTTCACTCTGAAATTTGATTCCTTGTCAGATGCCAATATCATCTTCCAAGTTCATGCCAACAGACAGCCGGCATCGAGGGCAGCTTTTACGGCTTTGAGTTGGTTGGAGGGTTTCAATAGAGGTGAACTGGAGTAGCTGTGGGGACAGATCCTGGTTGGCTGCCCGGGGTAGTGAAGTATTTTCTATCATCGACTGCAGGATATCAGGGAGATCCTGGTTGGAATGGTACCAGAGTGGCACTGACTACACGATTGTCGATAAAGTCAAGCTCACACATAAATTAGGAAGACAGTAGAGCTTCAGCTATGGGATAAGTCCCTTTCAGGGAGGACATCCATGGGCATTTCAGCACTTTGTGCAATTTAAGCTAGCTGAGTGCAAGCAAAGAGTTAACGACTGCTGCCCAGCTGATAGTCTCTCATCGCCATCACCCTTCCATAACCATAACTCGCTATCACTAGCGTTGCCCCTATGGAGACCATAGACACCAATAGGCACAGAGTGCCTGACATCGCGGACAAGCACCATCCAGGAATAGCTGCCAAGGGCCCTGGATGTTTTTGAGATAGTAAAGCCCGTATGGATCAATCTTACCATCAGTTAAGAACTCCCCCTCGATGAACCGACTCATAATGCCATGTTTCCCTTCGAACTCCTTCTTGACCCTGTTGAGCCAATACTCATTATCGTCGCGAGGACCGTATTTGCCGCAGTGTTTGCAATACTTCAGCGTTGAAGGAATCCAGCCGCTGGTTAATCTCTTTTCAAAGAACTCGAAGAGTAAATCAGAGAAAGAATTCTCAGGAAACGGGCAAGGATATGTCGATGGTCCGTCTCAGTCAAGATGATTGTGAGCATTCAGCTTCGCCGCCAGGCCCTTGCAAGATAGAGCTAGCGCAGCACGATCCAGCACATCAAGGTTTTCGGAAATCTGCAGGATGACTTCAGTCGGCATGTTCAACAACATAGGTTCCTTATTATGGTCATTGATCTTCTTGGTGTTTCGTGTGATACGTCGCGTTGGATCATAGGCAAGCATCTGAATTCCAGAGATTAGTAAGCATCGATTTCAAAGACCTCATCCATCCGTAGTCGGAACATGAGATAGATTTCACTTACTGCAGGCGGAAAGCGGAGAAACTTAGGACGTTCATTGACAGGAGATGGTGCACGCTTCCTCTTGCAGCCAGCCTTTGGAGTTACCTGTGACATGCTGTCAGATATTGAACAGAGTTGAAGATCGGCTGAGCCGATCGGACAACGATAACTTACCTTCATTGCGGACGGAGCAGGTATGAGTGCAGTAACCAGAGCCGATCAAGGATAGTGTTAATACGCGAGACCGGTGGGAGGTCCTGGGTGGATTAAGTTTGGTGGTGAGGTTGTGGGAGATGAGGGCAGGATATAGGAGCAGAAGAAGAAATGATGAGGGTGGAGGAGATCAACCACATGTCACGTGGCAGCTTCCGCTGATGAGTAGTGAAGGAAAGCAGAAAGACAGATCCTTTCCTGCTAGAATGAGGACTATGAACCTAAGCAGATTTGATGAATCGGAATTCCAGCTCAGCATGCTTCACCCCCCAACCACTCCATGACAATCGCCATTACTAGCTCCGCATTTGCTCTGCACCATGATTTCTGTCTGCAAAAGAGATGAACCACCGTCCTAGGAAAAGACCTCAGCTCAAGCATTAGCAAGCACATCTTGAGCTATATGGGAACCGCACGCTCAAGCATTTTGACCCCCTTTCAAGCAAGCTGCCATACCAGAATTGGTTTGCTGAAAACCTCCTCCCATTCAAGAGACGAGTGAGAATCCATCCCGGCAGTATTTGCACCTTGGGCATTTCAATGCCTTTCCTTTGTCCCACTGGGCCAGCATCTGTTGTGTCTGAGAAGTAGCCCACCACTCCGCAAATGTCACACGATTACGATCACGACCTCGTGGACGACTTTCCCAGCATTTCTTCCCAAGCTTGCGTTTCCAGTGGCTTTTCATGCGAGGAACGTAGATCTTGCAACCCCAGCAGTATCGGAGACGCTTGGAGAAGAACCTGTCCCCAACTCTCTTCTTGAGGAAGTCTGCTGCTTCGTGTGGCTTGTGGGCGCGGTACTTGCATGCCTTGTCTTCAGGAAGGTCAAGTTTGGAATAGGTTGAAGCAATACCGGCCAAGTGCTTGCATGTCAGTGCCAGGGTGGCGGAGTCGAAGACATCCAGATAGTCAAAGATAATGAGGAGGATCTCGTTGGGCAAACCAGCGAGGTCGAATTTCTTCTTTGCTCTATACCTACGTCCCGTTGCGGCAGGCGGCTGTGATAAGACAGATGTCGTATTGAGCATCTGGATCATGTAAGTAGGAATACGGCGCCATAGAAAGGCGCTACATTTCGTCACAGTAGAGGTGAACTCACATTATCAGGGAAACGGATCATCTTCATGGGTCCATCAGCAATAAGGTGAGGAAGAACAAAACCTCGGTAAAGAGCATCCTGGTAGGTGTTATGGACAGCACATGGGACAATTACTGACTTACTCGTCCTGCTTTCAACCCTGGTACAGCCCAGATGGAAGCTGCCGAACGAGGCATTCTCGCTGAATAGATTGCTTTGTCGATCGGTGTTAGGAAAGCCACTTGTATGTAGATGATGAAAGGTGAATCCAGAAAACGCGGATGAGATGATTGTCTAATCGCAAAGGGCAAGTTCAAACGGGTGAAGAAGTAGGAATGTGATGCTTCGTATGCAACCGATCTCTCTATGAGTGAGTTTTCCGAAAGACGTGCCAGTGAGCGATAGAAATCAGGTAGATGATGGTTAGCGATCAAATGCCCCGCATGCAACCGATCTCCACCATCAATGTTCAGAGAGATGTGCTGCTAAGTAATGAATATCAAATGGATGATATGGAAGAGAAGAGCTGCTTCTGAGGTAGCCGGCCTTCACGGTGAAGGTTTAGAGACGTGAAGGTAAGTGCTGAACATCAAGTAAATGAAGTGAAGGGAGAATCTTCTCTCAAAATGTGCTCTCAAAGCAGCCGATCTCCGCCAGAGATGATGAGAAGGACGCGTAATCAACTGAGGGATATGATATGGGAAGGAAACCAAGGTAGGGTAGTAGGTGGAAAGAGTTGTCAATGGTTGTGGTGATAAAGTGCAGTAGATTAACAGAGGGAGCAGATGCCGACCACGCCAAGCCAGGGAAAAAGCATCAGTGACAGTGTAGCCACAGTAGCAGTAATAGCAGTGAAGATTTTCACTTGTGAAGTGAGCTTGTCATTTCTTTTGCCAGTGGCAGACGTATGCCCAGCCTCGAAAATGATCATGTGCAACAGAGATATCAAATATCAAATATCAAATATCACCTTCGGACTTGCCTGAACTCCTGCAACAGTTCATTCGGTTCGATGGATGGGTATCTGTGTCCAATCCCCAACCGCTGGCTAACACTATTCCCCAGTCATGTCAATCTCGTACATTGGAGTGCGCCATGTAATCCACTGTAGTGTCCAGACTCACTCAACTCCAACCTCCTGCTCTGCCGCAACAGACGTGTGACTGCAGCCGAAGCGATGGAACACAAAACACCGGAATGGACCAATGCACTCGCTATATAAACCAGGTATATATACAGGAAGCTCTGCCATACGCCAGCGCTTCGGCCAAGAACAATGCCGCCCACGTGGACGCGTGGATTGTATGCAATTTGGTGAACTCCGGTTAAAATGGGAATAGTGGGCACACAGATGGTCAAAAGTGAATGGAAAACCCGTATTGTCCTTTGGCGTTATCTGCCAAATGTGGTTAGAATCTGTCACAAATTCGGCGAGGTCGATGCCATAGGGGGACTTGGACGATGTGGAATAGCTGTACTCTTGGGCACAGCACCGTTTGTTGGTGTAGAAGCACGTTTCTGCATAGTCTGCAACTTCGTTCGTAAAGAAATGAGACGAGCCCGTATGCTTGAAACCACTGGTGGTATGTCAGTGACCACTCAAAGAGGGTGGCATAGCTTTATTGTAAAACTCACAATTCCGGACAGCCTTTCGGTCCTCTGCCTCCAACCCATTGATGGGCACATCATCTTCATCAGCACTGGCCTTACGTCCCTTATCAGAAGTGCTGCTGGACTTCGTAGAGGAGGCATCGTCATCGTCTTCTAGAACTGCTTCCAAAAGTCGGATTGCGGTCAAGTAGTTGATTTCGCAAGCTGAAAGGTCTTCTCCTGTGAGCTCATTGATGGCAGAAGTCTTACTCATTTCTACCGCCCTGTCATACATGATCTTCTCTGCGGTCACCCCAGAACTGACTACAACGTGATCAACGGAGGTGCCCATACTGTCGCTAGAGGCGGCTTCCATCGAGTGGTTGTTTGGGTGGCTTGGATGGGTTGGAGGCAACTTCTTCTGACTCTCAATAAGAGTCAGTCGTACTACTTCCGCTTTCTCCAGCACCTCATTGAATCGGGTCCGAATCCATTGAACCACATTGTTGACACGAATGCCCATCCCTTGATTGGTTGGAGACACAATATGAGACCGTTGCGAGGGGGTGTCTCCGAGTATCTCTCCACGATTCTTCCGCGCCCACCAACGCCCAGCAATATCCATTGACTTGGCCAGTAGTGACAGAGCTTTGACGTACAAGACCAGTGCTTCCTCCGACACATTCACCCTGGCCTCAATCTCGAGCACAACTGGTCCACCAGAATCACCGTTTTCAGCATTTTCTAGCGAGGTCATCGCTTGTCGGAGGCCGAGCCCAGTCTTGGCAGAAGGGGCGGACGGAATCAATTGCTGATACTTCACTTCAGCAAAACCATACACGACATCACTCCGGGTTGCACATTCTTCGATCGTTTGCACGAACTTTGTATCCTCGTCAAGGGTGACTTTTTGGCGGTCGCCCACAAGTACCAGACTGCCTTGTGGTACAGGGTAGGCTGGAAAGGCATTATAGCCACCGGGAGGAGACCTGCCACCCCGTCCCAACGACAGCGGTGGAGAAAAACCAACACCAAATAACCGACCACTCGCCAGGTTCAACGCTTTGGAGATTGCAGATGATGCGGAGTTCGGACTTGGAGCATAGCGTCTTTCGAAAGAGCTCTGACGGTGGTGTAAAGCATCAGGCCTCGCCTTGCTAGCGGCGATCTGTACTGCTTTAGAAGAGACTGGCTGGGCTCCAGTTGTCAAGGTTGGCGCTCCTGGCGTGGTTGCCCGACGGACCATGGCGCCGGATTGAGGCGAGAGATTCTGTCGAGCACCGCGTTGGATCTTAGGGCTGGCAGCCAGCTCATCCGCAAATGCATTCACCTCTACTGCTCGTTTTTCAACCATGACATAATCTCTCTCAAAGGCAATATCTTGCGCGGCTCGTTCCTTTTCTTTTTCCTCGTTGGAACGTGCTGTTGGTGCGTTCTCGTCCCCTTCTACTTGTGCTCGCAGGAGCGAAGGATTTGCAAGAGGACTACCCCGACTCAACCCAGGCTCCACAGGTGCAGCCGAGTCCGCACTCTGTTGCTGAAGCTCGGGGCGTACCGGAGCGGTTGCATGCGATGTCAGGGTAGGTCGCTGGAGCTGCGTAGGGCTTGATGTCAGTCGTCCAACAGGCCTTGAATCGATTTGCTCTTGCTCGGTTGATGCTCGCACAGCGACTGGACGTCCCAAAACTGCAGCTGGTTGGCGTTGAGGAGTCCTCGGAAGCGGCGACTGAGATTGAAGGGTTTCTTGCGAAGTATTTTGTGACCTGGAATATGGCCGTCTTTCCTGACCTTTGCTGTCTTTCCGAACAAGCCCGACAGGATCAGTCAAGCTTACTCTCCGCCGCTCGTTATCACGAGCCTGGGACACAGAGGTCTTTTCCGGCGGCCGGTCTTCGCCAATTAAGCCGGGGATTGGGTCGAGGATCACCTCGTTGCTGAAGAAACCTGGAAAGGAAGACCTCTCCTTTGGGTCTCGCTTTAGCAAACTCCGAATCAGCTTCTTCATAGCATCAGACACGATGACTTCATCTGGAAATTTGATCCGGTCTTCCCCTTTTTCGATCCTCCTCAACAGTTCGACGTGATTCGAGGCTCGAAACGGGGGCTTCCCCGTAACCATTTCATAGAGAACGGTTCCTACAGACCAAAGATCTGCCTTTGCATCATACTTTTCGTACCGAAGTATTTCGGGGGCCATGTACAACGGGGAGCCGCAGAGAGTCTCTGCCAGGGAAGTTGAGGGTAGAGAACGGGCGAAGCCAAAGTCGGCGATCTTCAGCATAGGTAATGATTTTATGCCGCAAACGGGAAGAAGTGAACTGTCGTCCACCGAAAATGGCATCATCTCTGGCTTTTCTTTCGCATAGTACAGTGGAGAAGGATTGAGCAATAAATTCTGGGGTTTTACATCTCGATGAATCAGGTTCTGAGACCGGAGAAATGATAAGGCACTGGAAAGCTGTTGTAGAAAGTGCCGGACGACCACCTCATTCAGACCACCAACCCGTGGATTTGGATATTTCTGCATCATGTCTCTCGTCATCGGATTGTTTCCCACAGTGTCTCTCTTTTTGATGAAGTAAGACAAGTCCCCTAAAGCACAGTATTCCATAACCAAGTGTATGTGAGCGCTTGATTCTTTGCAATCAATAAGGGCAACGATGTGTGGATGGTGTAAGCCTTTGAGAATTGCAATCTCCGACGTGAGGTTGTCCTTCAGTTTCTTATTGAGCTTCGACAGATTTACGGATTTGATGGCAACTAGAGATTTTTCTTGCTGGGGATTCTGTTGCAGCAGTCAGCAATCCCTTCCGTCAAGAGGTAAAAGATCGGATGGAATAGGCATTGGACTAGAGTCCTGCAGGGAAAGAACATACGATGTGCATCGCTTTGTAGACAGTAGCAAAACTGCCTCTGCCAATCTCCTCCATCTTGTTAAAGACTCCAACGCTGGATCCTGATTTTGTGCCATCATGAGACCTTGCTGAGGTATTGGGTTGGACGAGAGCGGCCGCCATAATGCTTGCAGGAGGTGCTACCTCCGGCGTTGAGGGTACAAGGTAGGGGTAAAGTCGTTGTACATGGGTACGCTAAGGATGTTGCGATGTAAGAGCACAATGACTACCTTACATGGAGAATCTCGAAGACAGGAAGTGGTGGAGGGGTTTGGTGCAGGTACGAGGTTGCAGTTGATGCAGCCTCGCGTCGATAGCTGTGACCTAGCGAGTGATGTGACGCACAAAGTGCAAGTAATGATTGGCTGAACAAGGCCGAGCCCGGAGCACGATTGGCGAGGCCACAGAGGTCGGAGCAAGTGTTTATAACGAGCAGGTTTCAGTCTTGTCCTGAAGCCTGACCACAAGCGATCTTTTCATCAAGTGGCGGGGTATAGCAGTCTCAGCGACTCGTTATAATACGGAGGATTGAGCGAACTGCGGCGTGGAAGTGTACTGACGTGAGGTGACAGGGGTGCCAGATAGAAGAAGATGCATGAATAAGTTGATGGGATATAGGAGAGAGTGTCGTCGTGGATGATGATGATAAAGAAGATGATGATGATCAGGGGGTAAGGCTGGAAAAGAACGGAAAGAGGATGGGGGAGTGATCGATGGGCAGCTGATTACCGAGTCGAGTTGAAGTCGATGGCGCCAGTGGCTCGCTGATCGTCTGGGGATGGCGAGAGAGTTGAGAGCTGTGACTCCACTGCCAAGCTCAGGCTAATTTAGCCTTCCCGCGTCACTTTGCCTTATCTGCTTATCGCACGATTTGGAGACGGTGCGAACCAAGTACCAGCCCCAGGGATTCATCTTCATAGGTCCACAAGTCCTGATGTATCCTCCTTCGATGAGCAGTATGTTCGGTCCGTTCGAAGAGTGAAAGCTGATATTGAAGATGTGATGCATGCATCGCCTAGATGATACCAATCTTCATCTCACTTCTCGGCATACTCGGTACATCATCCAAGACACACTTCCCCTGTCCATATGCCTGCTAGTACGGAGTACCAGGCACCCTTTCCCGTTGCTTCTGCCTGAAGACAGCAGGAGCACTGGCAGCAGCAGAATGCCTGAGCTCGATATTGGTTGGAGGAAAGTCATGTCATTTTTCACTACTCTTGTCTAGACCAGCACTCCGAGCTACCATAAGAAGACCTAGAGTCTAAGCCCTCTGACCAGTAGCCACAGCACAACCGGAACGACCACGTTGTCGTTTGCACCGGTGAGAACGGCTTCTGTCAAGCTAGCCCCCGTGGCTGCCAAACAAGCCTTCCCCAGCACAAGGACAGAAGGCCGCCAGTCATAAACTACCCATCCTCCAACTCTCAGCCATGTATAAGCGGTAACCAGGCCCACAGTCACCGCGGCCGCAAACGCCAGGCTGCCCTCAAGACTTTTTCCACCACCCCAGTACCATTTGTGGCGACCATAGCGCCTGCCAATGAGGGATGCAGCAGCATCTCCCATACCAACACAAACAATGCCGCTAATCATGCTAACATCTCTCGCACTGACATCCCATCCACGCCAAGGATATTCTCCACTTCTAGGAACGGCCGCCAGAGACAGCCAGAGAGGAATGGCGCAGCCGATGAGAAGAAAGATGTGCGACACAATAACGGGTCCGCGATAATCTCTGCCATCCACATACGGTGCCAAGAATGCGGTGAGAGGCTTGGATATTGGCGGTAACTGAGACGCTCGGAACAGATCCAGCAGCAAGAAGATGGCGAGAATCAGTATAAGAGCCAGAGCGATGAAACAAGGGTCTATAAAAATAGTGGGTAGAAGCATGACAACCATGACACCGTGAAACACCTTGCGTCGTGTGTCCACTTCTGCTATAGAGCTGAGCTCGAGCACGGTAGCCATGCCAGCAACAAGGACAAGGATACAGTAAACACAAAGGATAATGCGCATATTGGCCGGCCCCAGAGTGATCTGCCTCAGCCGTTCCATCCAGCCCATTGGAGCAGGAGAGTGATGACTCGACAAATGGGGTAACCGAATCCACGTGTCTAGACATCTTGACGAAACCCAGAATCGAAATCGAGAGTTGTTGCCAAGCAGGTAACCAAGAGCCCAGCCGAATGGCTCATACCCTTCCAGAGCAAAGAAACTGACGTAAGTACGGATTGGGCCGAGTACGATGAAAAGCACTGCTGTGTAGACAAACGCAGCATATGCCCACTTGCGAGTAGCCGCTTGTGCTGGCGTCAAGGTGAGGAACGACTGTGAGCCAATGGTTACGGAGCGTTTGGGCCGACCACTTGATGTAGTTCTGTATTTCTGTACGGAATTCGTTCCACCTGCCGGCATAGTGTGTCGTCTTCGAGGAGTGAAGTCGTGATCAATTAAACTGTCACCAACCGACTCTGATCGGCGAGATTGCTCATCTTCCTGCACGGCTGAGGCGCTGATGTGGTCAATGAAACCGGACATTGGGTGCTTGAGGAGTCCACTTGTGGTAATCGACAACTTTGGAGCAGCTTTGCCCTTCTTCACAGTTGGTTTAATGTCACCATCGTCATCACTATCAATCGACTGCCTAGACTTGTCCCTTGCCACCAGCCTTACGAACTGAGCGCAAATTGTTCTGTCCATTGTATGTAATAGTGACTTGCTCGAATGAGGTCGCCGATTGCTCTTCCGGAGACGCCAAGATGGAATTCTTGCCAAAGCTAATTCCCACTGAAGTGGTTTGAGACAGGCGACGAAAAGCAGCATAGGCCCAAGCCAAAGCAGGGCCTTCAGTATCTCGGATTGAGCGGACTCGGCAAAGAGATACAGATCAACCAGAGCCGCAACCAGGAGATGCCGCTCAGTAGGGTCGAGGCTTGTGGTAGTCAGAAATTCTACGGTCCGATTGGTGCAAACGTGCAGCGGGTAAAGCAGAGTCATATTTTCAAGAGAAGGGTGCACTGGCACATTTACAAAGATGAGGGGCACCATTGTCAGGAGCCAATGAAAGGTATCAAGACCTGCAGGATATATGGCAGTAGGTATAGCCCGTGGGGACAAGGAGGAAATCCCAAGAATAACATTCGGCAACACAAAACTCCGCGATGCTGATATAAGCGATATGGACACCACGAGTGGTAGGAAGACCGGGTAGAGTAGCGGCGCAGGATCGAACCTTGACGGAATGTGAAAAGCCCGGCTGATAGACGAGTTGACACTGTGACCTGCTTGCCTTGCCTGAAATGCCGCGCGGACAGGATATAGCAGGTAGAGAGAAGTAACAAGAGCGAATTGACAAGCGATTGCTATGACAGGTCAGATGTAGGACGAATAGAAGACAGACCCAGACCCAGACTCACCCGAACCACAAGCCAGCAATGCATCCTCTGACAAGTGACCATAGCTTGCGACGAGGCCGACCAAAAAGAATAGTACTATCTCTGTAGTTCTTCGCACTACTTCGGAGCGCCTCCTCTTTGTATACTTCTCCCGGATTATCTGTTCTGTTGTCCCCTCATCAACTATCCATGTGTACTGCTTGCTCCTCACCTGCGGAACGAGCTTCCGTGCAATGTTTTCTACAGCAGGTGGAGTAGCTGAGGGAGTGGGCTGTGCTGTTGAGTCTTCAAAAGGTGTATCACGTAGACCTTTGTGAGACCTCAACACTGGCGCAGGAAGACCTTTGAGAAATCGGCCGCGCTCATCGTCCGCTTCAGTACCGCTCTCACTCGAAGAAATGCCACTTAGAAGCTCATTGCCTTTGTCGCTTGGTTGTGGATGCTCATCATCTCCGTTCTGTACACTGAGAAGGCTTGTACCCCGTCTGTGGTATGGATGGGGAGAGCGAGAGAACTTTCGTTCCTGACCTGCAACATGATGTGTAATGGACTTGGTAGAGCTCCCATCCTCGCACGTAGTCGAGTGCTGGAGGTCTGCCATGAGAAAGGGTGGTAGGTATCGAAAAATCGAATTCTGCTAGGTCCATGGCGTATGTTCTTGGTTCGAAGTCTGGCTTCTTGATGCAAGTTGCATCATTGTCTGTGGTGTCAACCTGATGGCAGAAGCGCCCCTTCAGTCCCCTGTCCTCTCGCAAGCGAAAGTATCATTTTTTTGTTGGGCGAATCTTCATTTCACATGCAGAGCAAATAGCTGACGCAAGCTGGCAGCTTTCAAGACGATCCCGTCTTCTCCGGCTTGGCATTCTTCCCCTACTAAGTACTACTACTACTAGTAGTACTACTCCCCGGGAGTAGTACCACTGACCGGAAACATGTGCTCTCCAGCTTTCACTGTCACAATTATCTTCATGATATGAATTTTTACCTCCTTAGATGTCCATGATAATTCGTCGTACGTCGTATGTTAGGAGTTTTCTGCACATTTCCTATTGCAGGTGATACTTGTGCTACATTCGTCTCTGATTCCAGACACGGGCAGCCAAGGACATCTGGTAAGGGCACCGTCTGCTAGACAAGCAATCAGTCGTCCAGGAGAAATTCTAAGTACCTGAATGGTATTGAGAAACCAAGAGAACGCAGAGGCTAAATTGGTGCTGTCTGCAAGCCATCTTTTGTGAGGTTCTCTTGTTTCTTCAGGATTCAGGAGAATGTGTGGCAGGAGGAGCCAAACGCTTTTACCAAGTATTCAATCACTATATCGATATTTGCTGAGTGGCTTTCACTTCGGCTGTTTGAATCCAGCTAAGTGGTCCAAATGATCCATAGCATTGCCCGGCTCAAGCCTCCCATGTCTCTTAATGTGATAGCTCTCATATCTGGCGGAAAAGACTCGCTGTTCTCTTTATTACACTGCATACAAAATGGCCACAAGATTGTTGCACTTGCAAACCTGTACCCTGTTTCCGCAGAACCCTCCACTGATGGTCCTGTGACGCTGGAAGGAGAGGATCTTAACAGCTTCATGTACCAAACAGTTGGACATACGATTGTTCCCCTGTACGCGGAGGCACTAGACTTGCCTCTCTATCGACGCGGTATTGGCGGCAAAACAGTTAACACAGAGCGAGACTATGCTTTCGAAGAGGGTGTGGACCCTGACGAGGCAGAAGACCTCATTCCTTTGTTGGAGGAAATCAGACAAGCTCATCCAGAGGCTGATGCTCTCTCTACTGGAGCAATTCTCTCTACCTATCAGCGGACGAGAATCGAATCGGTGGCCGTGCGACTTGGATTGACTCCACTTGCCTTTCTATGGCAGTATCCTTATCTATCTCCGCCGAAAGAGCGAGAAGACTCCGTTACTGGTCTGCTAGACGATATGGAGGCTGCAGGCTGCGATGCAAGACTAATTAAGATTGCGAGCGCTGGTATGAAGGATTCTCTTCTCTGGTGTCGAGTGTCCGATCCATCAGTGAAAGCTCGAATTATTGCTGGAATGTCTCGATTTGTTGATGGCAATGGGTCATCGCTCAGAGGCGCTGTGCTTGGTGAAGGAGGTGAGTATGAGACACTGGCTATTAATGGGCCATTACGAGTGTGGAAGAAGAGGATCGAGATTGATAGCAAAAGCAATATCGTTGTTCAAGATGAAGGTGGAGCTACACGCTTGACGTTTGGTAAAGCAAGGTTGGCTGAGCAGTCTTCGGTGCAGGGAGATTCCGAGTCACCATTGGTCCGTGTGCCAATGTTGCTGGATGCTAGTTTCAACATATTGCGGCAAACAATCTTACAAGCAGATAATCTTCATTCAAATCTTTTGGATCCTCGTGACTTTCATGCATGGACGTGCTCAGAACTCCGGGCGAGTACATCACAAGTCTTGACGAGCTCTACTATCAACAACCTAACTAGTCCAAAACTCTCCAGGAACGTTACAGAGCAGACCATTGCTATCATTGACCAGCTTGATGCCATACTTAAAGCTACCAATAACTCCCAGGACGTGACCGCTTGTGTTGCTTTTGCAACTATCCTTCTACGACGCATGTCCGATTTTGCAGCTATAAATACTCTCTACGGAAAGCGATTCAATCACACTAATCCCCCAGCCCGAGTGACAATCTGCTGTGGTGACGTTCTCCCTCCAGACGTTTTGGTCAGCATTTCGTTCACCTTGGCTAGGGCAGGCCCAGCAAGGGTGCATGGTTTGCACGTTCAATCAATATCTTACTGGGCGCCAGCAAATATCGGGCATTATTCGCAAGCAATCAACGTGCCAATGCTGCTGCCCGGAGGAAGCGATGAGGAGGTCGTTCATCTCGCCGGCCAGATTCCCCTCATACCTTCAAGTATGCAACTCCTCGAGCAAGACTTCTTAGACCAAGCAATCCTTTCATTACAGCATCTCTGGCGGGTGGGTCAGTGTGTTGGAGTCGACTGGTGGACTCACGGTGTAGCATATCTAGCTAATGCTGAGATACCGGAGATCCATAGGAGAGCGAAAGTGGCCTGGGAAATCTGGAAGGGAGCGAACACAGCAGCACCGAATGCAATATGTGAGAAGCAGGACGACTCAGAAGGTGATACTGGTAATTTTGATGTGTGGGACCTTAAACACAACCACCAGATGCAGCCAGCTCTGGTATCGTCAAAACAGCCCACAAGTGCACACGTCCACAAACTGCCAAATCATGACGTCCTCTCAAGATCTTCATCCTCCCTACAAGCCACCAATACAGACATTCCACCTCTCCTCGTTGCGCATGTGTCTTCTCTGCCACGCTCTGCAGTCATCGAGTGGCACAGTCTGGGTCTAGCCCGCCTGCCCAGATGTTCTACCTCCAGGCCGCCTCTAACCGTCTCGACGACAGCAAGAGACTCCCTATCGATCTCTACATGCCTTTTGGGCCCAATCAGCCCTGAAGCCGCTGCTGATTCGGACGACGACTCTTTCACCCAGACCGAGGGCCAAGAACAGAAGTCCCAGCTTAGAGCGATCGCATTCTTCACCATCCAGATCTTCGAGATCGCCGAATCTGCTTCATCCAATAAGGGCCTCAGTCTAAAAGATCAGCTCCACCTTGCCCTATCCCGCTTGGAACAGCAGGATGACGTTCCGCTTATGGAAGGCACACATTGGACGTTCGGCGATCTCACAATCTACGTCTGCTCCGAAGGTGGCTACAACGCCCTTAACACCTCCGGCTTAGCCACGATGGGAACGCTGATACCATGTCGGAGTCTGTGGGGCGAAGAGGGAAGAAGAGTCGCGATTGCTGTTATGGGTCGCAGGGAGAGAGCCAGTAGCGGCAACAGCACAATAAATGCATTAGTCTAATCTCTCGGTGATGCGCGTGAACCTCGCCATGTCCGCTGAACAGAATGTCCCCCAATAGAGGCTGGGTTGCCCGAAGGAGGCCGGCAGGCCCAGATCAAAACCAAAGCCGAGCGAGGCCGAGGCTGTGATGGTGGCTTTGAAGACTTACACTATGCAGTGAAAAGAGCGTGTCGCTGTCATGCATCAAACAAGCCATCGACCACCACAACGGAGTTACAAAAATATAGACGAGACAGGAGCATTCGGAACTGTTAGCAACGAAATTGATCACCGTCCATCAAGGACATGCAAGTCAACTCACCTCATTCCAAATCATTCCACCCCCGGCCTCCAGGTCCCAGGTCCAGAAAACAAACAACACCAACACCGAGGAACTCACCGACCCCCATCTCACGCTGTACTGCTCAAAAAAAACCCCCGGCATCAGTGTAAGATGAGGAGAAGAACAACAATAACAGGCAGAGGCCTACCCGAGAACCCAACAATCTACCCCTCTGCCACTCAATGCTTGCTGGCCCCCAACCATGTCAAATCAAAGCACCCACACTCCCACCAATAACCCGTGTCCGTTACCACATCCATATCCCACCCGATACTCTTTATTACAGACAAGAGAGACTTTTCTCGACGAGAGAGACACCAAGAGAATCTCCATTTGGGGTAACTATATGTGAGGAAGAGAGAGAAAAAGGCTGGGTTCAGTTCTCTGTTCTGGAGATCATGGTAAGCAGCAGAGCAGGAAGAAGCTCGGTGAGTTTGTTTTAGGGGGCCAGAAAAGAGATGATAAGGATGAAAGGGAGAGGGGCTGGGTGTCTGTGTCGGTGTGGTGTCAGTGGGTTGGTGGTTGATTGATTGATTGATTTGGTGTCGAAGCAGAAATCTCAGATGGAGGGAGATAGGTCTCATTCACTATCCGGATGGTTATTCCTAAAAGTACTTGAGAGAGAGGAGATTGTGTAGTAATATATATTGAGGTAAGGCTCGGCTAGGCTACTAGTAGGGGCCAACGTATGGAACAATTACACAGCATGCATACAAGTCTCTTGATGGGTGAAGTTCTTCTGAAAATTTCTCTTCTAGCGAAGCTGTCGTACCTCCTGATTGACCGACTGTAGGTAGAGAAAGCTGTATCATCTCTCTCTTCTCCGCTATCCGTCGAGTACGAGGCATTTCTGTGCTGTGCAACGTTGTGATGCGTGTTAACGTACATGTGGGTGCTGGGAAAAGTGCGAAAGCAAGAAAAAAGTAGGGTTGTAAAAGTACACAGATCGCCTTGGAGCTCGACCAGCAACCTCATCAAGCATAGCGAAGTTTAGAATCGAAAGATTGTGATAGCAAAAAAAAGTGGGGTACAAGAAGTTTGAAAGAAAATTCGAAGGCGCCTCTGCTCATCCACCACATCTCATGCCCGCCCCTGTTCTGTTGCCAGTCATGATACAAGGTCTAGTTTATCGTGCTTGTCCAGCTGAGATTGGAATGGACTTTGATGACTTTTGTGTATGTTCAAATGCTGCCTCCTGTTTGCCTGCCCTAAAGGAAGTGATGAGCAAATACCGGTGAGATTGTGTCAGACAGTAAGCTCAATCACCGAAGAATGTTCTTTGGTCGCATGTCCTCGTTGTAACCGTTTCCCTGACGCCGCTCTTTGTCAAGAGCAAAAGACCGCTATTCAGAGTCTTCTCGCTTTCTCTTCTTGAGTGCTTTCCTACCATCACTTGCTGGTGATAAGCTGTGAAGAGAGCGGCCGGATTCGGAACCACTGCTACTTGTTGACTGTGCACCGGCGGCCTGGGCTGCTTCGAAAAGAACGGTGCCCAGAGCAGGACGACCTTCTTCATCATATGCCATGTGTGGTGGAATCTCTCCGTGCTCAAGGACCTCCATAACAATGGCGCCACTGCCATGAGTGCGGGCGTGCTGAGCAAGGTTATCACTTCGGGAGAACTTCTTGCCACATTCGTTGCACTCAAACGGCTTGTCATGTGTGTGGAGAGATCGATAGTGACGTTTGAGATGTTCTTGACGGCGGAAGCGACGCGAACAAAGAGTGCAAACGAACGTCTTTGATGGATCTTCGGTCAAGGACTGCTTGCGGCCACGGCGATTGACAGGAGCAGGTGTTTGGCCTTGGGCGTCCGAGCTAGAAGCGACAGCATGACCGTCATTTGAACTTGTCTGACTCGGAGCGGATGAAGAGCCTGCTGGTTGGGAGGAGCCTGCGTGGTCTTGACCGCTGGTTCGGCTGGCGACACCACCAGACGCCATATTGGCGGAATCGACGTAGTCTGAACCACTTTCAGAGGGAGTAGATGCCTTCTTGAGCTTGCGTGGGGATTTCTTCTTGGACTTTGTAATGTTCATCACAGTCTCCGCAGGGGGTGAGGGAAAGCTGGCAACTGCAAAGCTTTCGTCTTCCTCCAAGTCGTCGAAACTCTCGCTTAAAAATTCGTCCTCCTCAGAAAATGAAACGACTCTTTGTCTCTTGTCTCCGTTATACACAACGTTGTCGCCGGTGGTTGTGAACGCAATGAACGGATTGAATTCGTCCTCCGAGTCAGATTCGAGCAGTGGCTCGAAAGTAGGGAGCGCAGTTTGTGTCTCTTCAAGCGTGCAGGTGAAGGAAGGTTCAATCGTGACTGGAGTCTGCAAGGCTCCTGTAAGCGCAAACTTATGTTCTTCGTCTTCAAAGGCAAGAGTGGGCAATGGAGGGAACTCAGGTGGATGCGAGACTGTGATGGCCGGTTCTCCAGATCCAACAGTAAGATGTCGAGGATCACAACAATCAAAGTTCGAGGAAGTTGAAGATTGTGGAGTCGAGCATGGAATTGGCGAGGGAGAAGGTGAGAGAGATGGACAGGAGACATTGGCGGAGAAGAGCTCGGGCAGTTCTAGCTGGTTAGACACCGAGGCCGGGTGGATGAAAACTAGCCCCACAACCAAAAATTAGCATATGCCCAACCCACACAATTCCCATGCAAATGACGAACGCATTTTCATTTTCGTGTTTATTGTAATGGTGAGTCATCCGATCGTGGCTTTTATTGAACAATGCAATGACTTACCAGGTGTCATTGGTGGCGAGTTTGAGCGGCTCCAGTCAGTATTGGCAAAGCTCTCTGCATATAGATCTACTTCGCGATTCTCCTTGATCACTTCGTACGGCTGGAACCCGAAATGTGGTCCGTTCACGGGTGTCGACAGAGGGATCGAAGTCGAGGGTGGGCTGCTGATCGTGCTTCCGGCAGTCGATAGCGGTGGAGTGGATGGCGAGTGTGAGGAACCAATGCAATATACATTTGTATCCAAGTGGTACAGCGATGAGTCCTGCTTGAAAGGCATTGAAGGCTTTAGTTGACGTGGTTGCGGAGATGCCATTGGGGTCATTGCCATGTTTCCGTGGAACGCAGATTTTGGGTGCAATGGCGGCTGCTGCTGCTGCTGCTGATGTTGAACCTGGTGGGCTGTATATGGTTGTTGATAAAGCATACCGTGCTGGTGTTGCATGTGACCGTTGTAGATGTGTTGCTCGTTCGGTGATGGCATGAAATGGCCATGCTGTCGATGCTGTGGATTGTTCGCTGGCTGATAGACGAACCACGAGGGCTGAGCCTGCTGCATAGGGTATGTGTGCTCCATTTCCCAGACGAGAGATGGGTATAGATGAATTATTTGGTCAAGAACTGTTGGATAATATCGTTTTCGTGGTTGGGCACTGTCTGTACGTTGAGGTGATATGGACTGGGTGGGTGTTTGCAGAGGTATTGGTATCAGAATGAAATGTCTCGAATGAGTGAGTGGACAACAGTCTCGGGATTTCCAAAGGCTGTCTACGTTGCTGTGAGAACAGATAATGTCTCGGCAGGTGAGTCGAGTCTTTGGGTTGGATGGGCCAGAATGGATTAATTGATTGTGGTATTGGATATTGGTGTAGCAAAGGAAGGACTGGTTCTATTCGGAGAGCAAGACAGTGAAGCCGCACAATCACGAAATTGACCCTGGATATGGAAAGAAAACAAGGAATGTGTAGATGAAAAAGTAAAAAAAAGGATGGACGTCAGAAAGAGTGATGGTCCGATGGAGGATGGAGAGCAGAGCGGAAGGGTGGACACATAGAATAAAGAGATCTTCGACTGAGACCCAGCGACCACCAACAAGGCCTGTCCAGGAACCATCAGGCCAACACGAAAGAGGCAAGGGTGCTAAAGACGGACGACTAGGACAGGGTCTGGGGCGGCATCCGGGATGTGGATAGACATCGAAGGGTCCAGTCATGGATGCCCCTGGTCACCATGCTAAGAAACATCACAGGCAGCCAGGCGTGCCAGACAGACTCTTTCGAATTGACCAAGCTAGACAGCTAAGTTAGACACACTCAGCTTGCAGCCTTCGCCTCTCTCTAGGGCGGTAAAGCGCGCATTGCTGCTTTTAGCTACCCATCACACTACCTACATGGATGGCGTTGGCTGAGGACACAGCTGCCGGGCTAAGATCCGCCTGGGAAATTGCGATTGACATTTTTGCTCCCACACCCAACATGTGGCCTGCGGAAGGGTGTGGACGACTCTGGGATGCCTCTCAAACGTCATGAGTATTTCTGTTCGTAGGTTATGTCTTAGAAGCTGATTGCTGAACCACACCAACACCCCGTTACTCAAGATGAGATTTGCATTGTTGGGTCACAGGACTTTCTAAACCCAATGCAAAAGTAGAACCAAGTCCAAGGCCTGGGCTTTGTGATTCAGTAGGTGCATTCGCCTTTGACCACATTATTGGCACATCTAATAGGAAGCTTCTCGCATTTTCGCTCAATAGTGATAGGCATTATGCACACCCGCCATTGGGCCGACCATAGGGCGTGTCGAGGCTAGGCGACACGCGATGCATTGGCTGCTGGTTCTCAAATCACAGCGTCGGCGAGTCTGTGACACGATATTTTGGGTTCCGAACTCATTGATGGCCGGGTGCTTGTGATCGGCCAAGCATGCTGACGCCGTGACTTGCCGACCAAGAAAGCGAATCAGCAAAGAACAAAGAGGAAATCAACCTCGAATTGCTCAATCCTTTCCTAGCCGATCAAATCCTGTGGTAGACCAAAGGTCTCAAAGCAAACCGAGCGGTATTCGGGATATGCTATTGGTAAATACTGCGCTGAACCAAACCACGAGAGTGTCCATAATTTCTCATTGCACATGCCTTCCTTTAAGATAGAGAAAGCCAAAAGATGTGACCAACTCCATTCAAGGCAGCTTAGTGGTTACGTGGCAGCAGCCCGCAGTCTTTCCAGCTGTCCTCAAAACATCGACTGCAGTTTTACCACAGAGTTACTGAGATAACAATATACAATTCGTCAGTCGAGAAATGGTCCCCAGTGGCCAAAAGAGCAAAAGGATGGAGTGGAAAATTAATGCACTTTAGCACGCGAGGCAAATGCACTTGTGTTTCAGCGACATGCAGGTACGACAGGACCAGCACCCCAACATTGGTTAAGAAGTCTGTGGCGGGTCGCCCAGGACTAAGTTAGGCGACTGCGGAGAGATTGATAGCGACAATTAATGGACTGCATCTGCAGTCTGCTCATTGAACGTTATGTGCCAAAAGAGCCATCCTCTATGATAGAGTAGGACGATCGTTGAAGATGAAGTAGGTCCCAGATCAAGTGCTCTACTACTACGTAAGTAAGATGTCAAAGAGGTGTTGTCAGTCACTTGGTAGAGTCGACTTGAGTCCTGTGCAAATGCCTCCGTGCTTCTGGCCGCAGTCGCTGAGATAATCATGTCTTGTTCACAACCACCACCACTGTCGTCGTCGTCATCATTAGCAGAAATCCCCTCAGATCAAAGTTATCGATACAAGGCCGCCACTCGATAAGCACCAACGGGTTGGGAAAACAACATTTTTGTGAGCTGCTTTTCGCCTGAGTTGCCCAATGGCAGGCATAGCCTATCCAGCCAATTTCACCCTGCAGTGAGCGTAAGAATCAATGCGATCCTAAAGATAGGATTTATGCGCGGACCCTCATTGGGTAGTCTGTGCCAGTGGGTACTACGTACAGCAGTTAGCTGAAGCTTGCCACGCCGAATTCACAATGTTGCTGCTTTAACTGAGCCAACCACATCCTGCAGCAATGTGTCAAATAGTGTCATGGGGTGGCAGATAGACTTTGGCGCCAACAAAGTCTGAGCTTCGAGAAGACTGCTTTCTCATTCGACCACATCGACCGACGGTCCCGACCCTGGTCGAGGTTAAGCTCGTCAGGCCGAATCCATCGAATCTCCTCCATCGTCAGCCAATCCGGATGCAGGTGGGAAGCCCGTTGACGCTGCTTCTGCAGGAACAAGGACTACTGCAAGGTACGCTTCGGACCAAGTTAGAACGATAATATATGCACTGCCTCAGGAAACGCTGGTTGCCTCTTAACAGACAATAAACCTTCTCGCTGCACATGGGTACAGAGAAATATTCGAACAATAAATCCATGACGTCGACATGCTTCCCCTCGGATTCTGGCAACTTCCAGTCAAGATGTGTGATGGGTGATGTTTCTTGATGAGATGAATGATTTTGGAGGCTCTGGTCTGATTGGAGTGCTCGGGTCATCTTCCTTGCTACAGGTGACACATCTCTGGGTCCCGGGAGCTTCCAACGACCCACCATACTATCAATTTTGTTAAGTGTCATGTCATCGGAGCGTGCTGCGTAGTGAAGCAGCCATGACAACCCGGCTTTTCGAGCTCTACTATGTAAACAGCATACTACGGTAAGGGTCTTGTTTAGCCGGCATGAGCCACGACCTGCAAGCTTCCCCGGCGCCGGTGTTGACAGGCGGCCACACCAGCAGAGTGTTGGGAGCCGGACAAGGCTTTTGAGGATGACATGTCCCGGTTTAGCCAGGTCATGTCAATCCTGAAGCCGCATGGACGATCTGATATATAGTTGCGCTGAATTCAAATATCAAAGTGAGATAGAGAAACCTGACGAGAATAATAAACTATAACTAACTGGCATTCAAGCTGGGTATTTGCAAAATTTGTGCGACGACCAGATCTAACATAGGGTTAACCCCAATAGCTCTGAATTAGTACTACGTACTACGTAGTATGGAACGGAGTAGGAGATAGAAGTATCCTTAGCACGGTGCTAAGAACGGTTAGTAACGATTACATTGTGTCAGACAAAAGCTATCATTCAGTCCTCCGAGGGCCGCGGTCCTTTTGGTCCAACACATTGCCACCACGATTTCTTGAAGCTTCTCTTGTCAGTATCGACAGGATTGACTTATTCCAGCACAGCCAACTCATGATATCACGTGAAGTAGCTGTTTTGAGAGACAATCACTAGCGCCGTGCTGGGAATACTTCAGCCCGATACGATAGTATAGCAAAGTCGAGTTGATACCGCTAGGTCGAGTCCTCTGAACAGCCAAGTAAATTGGCCACTTTGCCGTTGGCTAGTGCTGGATCCAGACGACCCAAGTGAAGCAAGTTCAAAACGAATCGGAGATCGAAAGATCGTCAGGCACAGACTCATAGTTACAGGCATGCTCAGCCGAACCTCATCCGAACAAAAGTGCCGGAAGCCTTGTTGGCGGTCTCAATTACACACCGCCAGTAACTGCTTTGTACGCAGATTTGCTGCATGATAGACCGAGAGATCAGATTGTTACTCGTGATCTAGGTGCTACCAAGATCTGACAGGTAAATTAGATAATCGAAGAAATGATTGAGCTCCGAGCACCCGAGCCATGATTCACTAGCTTCACTGGGGCTGTTCCGAGGAGGATTCGGAACACGCCAACTAGTAGTGAATGCACCACTTTGGTTTATGGGGAAGAACAATTCAGCGAATGATCGAGGGATCAAGCGAAGGTCCAGAAAGTCGTTATCATATGCCTGCTTTGTGTTTTACATACGGAAAATCCCGACGACGAGTTTAGGATCGTCTTGGCTCAAACCATACTAGTACGTAGCGGCCAGTACTTCCACCTCTTCCTTCGGAGAGCGGTCAAGCAAGAATTGTCGATCCGTACGTAGTACTGAATACAGGAAATATGGCTTATGCAATGACGAACGCTCCTGCCGGGGCAGGCGACCGTTTTCCAAACTAGCCTGGTGGGTTTGCATGACAAGTCTTGCAGAGAGGTGGGCCCCGTTTCGTACATGGAAGACAAAGTACGTCGCTCTGTCACCGACGACTCGATAAATCCCTCATTACGTGGAACGTTGAACTTCCGTAGTAGCTTTTGATTGCCGCCACCGCCCTTCTGGCTGGGGAGAGGTGGCTCCTGAGTAGTTAGGGAAGCAGCACTCTCTGCTCTAATCATCATCTTCTCACTCAGGCTGACCTCAGACAGTGCGACAGAGCTCACTCTACTCTACCAGGAGGTCAAAGCCTGCATGTAGCGCCGCTCAATGAGTGCTTGGCGCATACCTGTTCTCTGGAGGGAAAGTTCCGCTGCTTTGCACCACTCTCGTTTCAGGTTTCAGGACACGTGCTGGAGACATGATTGAAACCTCATTGGTGCTCACTCATACTTAGCCTGTTTGAGGGATGGTCGTTCGTTGCTTGTTACATGAGGCCCAGAAGACGCATTGTCCACAGGTAAGTGCGTATGATGCACCCACGATGAGCCTTTCAGAGTGAACGATGCGCTGCTGCTCCGTCTGGAGAACCCTGCCGGATGATTCAACTAGAGAAACTTGTAAGCTCTTAAGGACAAATTTTATATTTGCCAGGGGAAGACAGTGTTACGACACAGAAAGCGTCAGCAAGAGGTACTCAAAATACATCATGGACAAGCGTCCTTTCAAGGGGACTGGCGGTAGTCCTGTAAGCTGTGACGGCTCTGTGCTTATTGTCCTCTGTATAAACATCTGGGGGGCTTGATAGAAAGCCAGCAATTCGTTGGCTCGGAGTGTTCTCCAGGATAGGAAATAAAGAATTAGAAGTCAAACATAGTATCTTCGTACTCACATGTATGCTTAACAATATCGATAATAAAGCATAAGAAAGCACCAAGAGCGAGCAATCTGGTTTCCTGCTTTTGTGCTGTTAGGACCCTTTCCATCTCAGCAGCAATGAAGAAGCAGACACGCAGATAAAAAATCACCAGCATAGCCAAATGAGTAGACCTCACTTTGCCCTGAGTGGTCAAGTCGAGGTGTAGCAATCAAAACATCTCAAAGGCTCAGAAGTTTGTCAAAGTTGATATCAAGCTCTGTTAGCAACAGAGTATTCATCCTCTTCCTATTTATGAATCACTGCAGTGTAGCAGCACTTCATCATCGCCATGTTTCGAATTTCGAAGTCAAAATCCTTGTCTCATTTTGAAAGACGCCACTGCAGTTCAAGTTGGTGGTTCTTCGTGGTCTTGGCACGACTGCGGTCTTGGCACACTAAGCTGAGCGACAAGACTTCAAAACACTGCCCACAATCTGTTTTGGTCTTTTTCTTCTTTCTTCGTGCGGCGCCATCATGGATAATCTCGTGTTGCTTGGACAGCCTTACTACATGGCGTATACCAGGTGTCATTGATGGCACAGAAGAAAGCTATTGCACATCGATCTCCTCTGGCTGTGGCTCACCGACGGATATTTACTTTGCGGTGGGTCACGCTGAAGGTCCTGCGCCCTTTACTTGAGCGTGGGGTCGAACAATCGAATCTGAATAAGAGAGAAGGCGTCTTTTGGACCTTAGCCATGTTCCCAATCAAAGGCTGAGTTATGGCTTTAAAGAGCTGAGAGAGCTCTACTACCAAGGACGAAGAGTGGATCCCCATCTATAGGGACGTTTGGTATCAAGATCTATCATCTAAGGGGCTGATGCCACCGATCTTGTCCTGCTGCGTTCACTCATATCCGTATAACACGCTCAATCATGATCGTCTCCAATTTTCTCCAGCTTCCCAGGATCTCGCTTTTCTCCAGACTCTCCAATGATTCTAATTCTATCAAGTCTAACCTTCTCCCCTTCCCCATCACCATTAACAACGAAGATCACTAAGCTAGACACATTCTGGAACTTGACGAATCGTAGTTCTATCTTTGCTGTGCCTGTCTTGGGATCCCAATCTCTAGCTTGCAGTGTGATTGATTGTGTTGGGGTTATGTCATCTGCTTCCTCGAATCCTAGGATATGCGATCGGTTCGTGTAAATTTGCACTGTTTTCGGTCGCATGGGTGCCTCCTCGTCCTCGCCGTTCGATTGCACAGAGGTAATTTGGAGCGTGTGTATCTTCAAGGTAGATTGGAAGGGAACAAAAAGCATGAGTTGATCATCCGTGTCGCTCTCGACCCAATCTTTGGTCGAAGGTTTACCACCATCCAGAGCTTTTGGCCTCGTAGAGTCAAATAGTGTTCGGACATTACCAAACTCGCCATCGAAGTTCAGAAGCTCTAACCCTTTGATATCGACCTGATCCGTGACATTGGTATATCCTTTGGCAGGCTCCGACGCCACCCAGAATGAGTCTCCCGAGGATTCTGCGAAGCCACCATTGCCTGCGTCTCCTGCTGCTTCCGCTTCGTTTGCAAGCTTTTTGACTGCGGCAGATAATTGCTTAGGGTCAGCGCCTCGAATAGTCTGTATGCTTCGGCCATTTTTGAATATCATGAAGGTTGGCATCCTGTAAGAAACCTGAAGTTAGGAAGGGCAGACCGAGGGCTACTGCCGGCTAAGACTTACGCTGTAACCCCGTAGGATCCTGCGAGTTCTTGTTGTTGATCAACATCAATCTTCGTGAAGGTAATTTTTTGGGGTCTCGAAAGCTGAGCAGACAGTTGCTCATACATTGGCGCGATCTGTTTGCAAGGGCCACACCATGTTGCGTGGACTGCTTTTATCAGTGCTCTGTGGTACATGCGGGGGGGTTATTTCCATACAATCTGCGACGACAATTTTGGAGGAGGCAATCAACGAGCTGAATTGCGCCGTAGATTCGATGTGTACTGTCTTAGACATTTTGGCAAAGGCGTCTATTGTAGTGTGTGGGTGGCAGCCGGAATCTCCGTATGTCGTTGGCCTTCGCTGAAGATGGGGTGGAGAAATAAATATGGCGCGCTCTCGCCGCCTCGGCCCAGCTTGGAGATTGGCAAACGAGTGGGGTGACAACAAATATTATCAGGCAACTACAGATGCAGGCGGAAACATATACCATGAAGTTGAAACAGAGCATTACCTTGGCTCAGTTGAAGATCGCACGAATGGAATGTGCTGATTATTCGGCATGGACAGCCATTAGGTGCTCATGAATTGAGATAACGAGCTGTACCAGAAGTCCCTTTCCCACAGGTCCACTATTGCCATAGCGAAACGCAATCAGCGACCCGATCCTCCAGAGCTAAAATCGCTGCGTTTCTCTAGCGACAATGTCGCTCAAAAATATTCAAGGGCGTAGTGCTGGGCAAATATCCCTAGTCTGAGGAAATCATGAGCATTGGTCCATTTGGGGCCTTCTTTTCGCTATCGGTACACAGACCGCCCAGACAAAGCAGTGCGGGAGAAACGGGAATCTCAAGGTTTTCATATTTCAGAGATGGGTCTGGTCCCTTGAGGAGGATCCTCCGTGTCATTGCTAGCTGAAGCAGTATCAAATAATACTTTGATGAATAAACTGCAGCCGTTGCAACCCACGTAGATTTCTCCATGCTCGCTTTCCTCTTCCAAGTCTGACTCAGTCACATTGTATCCCAGTTCATCCCCACATCTGCACTGCCGGGTCCAGGTGTTCGTCTGATGGTTAAGAGAGAGCTCCTCCAAATCCAATATTTCTAACCCAGGGTGGTGTACCTCCTTTGGCGCTTTGTTCAGCCTCCTGGCGTCCTTTGCCAACAACCTGTCATATTCCGCCTTATCAAGGGTGCTGGACAGAGTCTTGTATGCCTCAGTGATCTGATCTATAGAAAGGGCATACTGGGATATGTGGGTAGTATTCAAGGTTGCCGGCGAAGACGAATAGTTTTTGTCAGGATGATGAAGCAACAAAGCCTGGCGATACGCGAGTTTCAGCTCGGTGGGATCGATAGGCTTGCTGTCGTGTGGTATTTGCAGGATCTCGTAATATGTTGGTCGCAACACTCTCGTAGATCTGCCCATCGATGGCTTGGGATGGAACGGACGTGCGAGGGATTCCTATCCCATGAAACGCAGACTCGACATCGTGCCTAGAGTCTCATCTGATGAAATAGTGTTAGCAGTCAAAGACAATGGCTCTTGCGATTAATGGGTGAAGCCTACTCGAGTAAAAAAGGTTGTGTTGCTTACGTCAACCATGGGTTCCCCGGATTTTTACCTTGCACAAATGACGACAACCTTTCTTGCAGCAGGTTTCGCTTTACTACGTACGGGTCCCATGGCTGCTACAAAAGAACATTCTGTTCAGCTTCTTCCCCCCTTTTGGAAGGTTTTGTCACTGACTACTATAAACCTCTATGCTAGTGACTTCGACGAAATCGATCATGGCTAGAGAAAGCCAATGATTCTAGCACAAGCCTAACACAAGCCTAACACAAACCTATCGATGTCGTCCTCTGGCGAACCCAATCAGGAAGATGGTCACAAGCAGTATGGAGGCCCTTATACCTCTTCACATCCAGTTCCCACCGTGCAAAAGTACAAGGAGGAACGTGGTGAGCGCGAAAACAATGTCAAGAAGCGGGAGGATGCCCAAGCTGAGGATGGAGAGGAAATAGAGGAGGGGACTTTGCATCGAGCAGAGAACGCGGTGAAGAGGATATTTGGCCATGGCCATGTAGAGAAGGTTCCTGGCGAGCCCTATCCATCCGAAAACCGGCACACAACGGCAGATTCGGATGAGACACCGCCTGTTCCTGACAAGGAAGCTCAAGATCAATCTGAGCCACCTCAGGCTCCATCGAAGGATGACGCGGAAATATCCCATCAAGGAGAAAGGGATCAGAAAGATGATGGTCAATCTCAAACCGCTTCGCAGGCTGCCGCAAGCCAATCTGATCCCCGCCAGAAGAGGAAAGCCATGAAGCACATGAAAAGGGATGATGGAGGTCGAGAAGTAACAGATCCTGTAACTCACTTACCAATCGTTATTCATGATTCAACCGGCAAAGATCTGAAGAAAGCACCAGAAAACGAGCCCTCTGCTGGGTCGGACCATCGCACCCAGACTGGTCTCACCAATGCCTCGAAATCAGATAATCAACTGGACGAAGAGACACGTGAATTGCAGGAAGGTCACAAAGGGATGAAGAGACTCTTCCCTCCTCCAAACTTTGATGAGACACAAGCTGAGTTGATGAAAACGTACCAATTTGCCATTTCTGTTAGTATTGGTTCGGTGGTGGTTTGTGCGACTTTGGTACTACTTGCTGGACAATTGGTGTGGATTAAAGGATTTAAACGCCAAGAAGATGGTTTTAATCAGTGGATACGAATGTTCATACCAGTTTCCATTACATTTGTTCTGGCTGCGCTGTTTGGCGGCTTTCTCATCTGGGGCATCGGAAATTGGGTCAGCAGAAGAGTGGAAGAGATCTGGGAGGATGAAGTATGGGATGCTTCTCGCGCGAGCGAGACCCAAGAAATTGAGGACCATGACAAGATGCCAGAATCAACACAGTGGCTGAATGCCTTGTTGACATCAGTATGGCCGTTAATTAACCCAGATCTCTTTACTAGTCTTTCCGATACACTGGAGGATGTCATGCAAGCGTCATTGCCCAAACTTGTGAGGATGATCAGTGTCGAGGATTTGGGCCAAGGGAGTGAGGCACTGCGAGTTCTAGGTATACGGTGGCTTCCAACTGGTGCTGCGTCGCGCTCCGTTGACGCCGAGGGCAATCTGAAGAGCAAGAGTGATAGCAACGACAGAACCTCACCAGGAGAAGGAGAGATCCAGCAGGACGTTGAAGGGTCTCCTGCTCAGGATGGTGAGGGTAAGAGCAAAGATGCGGAACAAGAAGATGAGAATATTGCTTCTGGTATGGAAGCTGAGCAAGGAGACTTTGTGAACATGGAGATCGCTTTTGCATACAGAGCTCGATCTAGTGGGAAATCGCTCCGAACCAAGTCCAAGAATGCCCACCTGTATCTCAAATTCTATCTGCCAGGAAGCATAGCATTGCCTGTGTGGGTGGAGATGCGAGGCATCATCGGGACAATGCGTGTCCGGTTGCAGCTCACACCAGACCCTCCGTTCTTTTCTCTTGCTACCATCACATTTTTGGGGCAACCAAAAGCTGACTTGTCTTGTGTTCCTCTGAACAAGCATAGCTTGAACATCATGGATCTGCCATTGATCTCGTCTTTCGTACAGTCATCAATTGACGCTGCCCTTGCGGAATACGTGGCACCAAAAAGCTTGACACTTGACCTGAAAGATATGCTGGTAGGTGATGACTTCAAAAAAGACACTTCTGCTCACGGAGTGGTCGTTGTGCGTATCATATCAGCCACTGGTTTCAAAGAAGGAGACGGGAACCTGGGTCCATTCAAGAAGGGATCTTCTGACGCCTACGTGACAACTGGTTGGGGAAAGTTTGGCAAGCCTATTGCGTCAACTCGGATCATTATGGGCGAACAAACACCAACTTGGGACGAATATGCGTATGTTTTGGTTGGTACAGAGGAGCTCAATGCGCAAGAAATGCTTCGTGTGCAGTTATGGGATTCTGATCGCATGTCAGCAGATGATGACCTGGGCCGGGTAGAAGTTGATCTGAAAGACTTGATGCAGAGTTCGGATACCAAAGGAAAGATGTGTGATCGTGAAGATCGCTTTAAAGGGCCTGATGGTGACGAAGAGATGCCTGGTACACTTTCCTGGAGCATCGGCTATTTTTCAAAAGCACACATCACGGCAGAACAGCTTGCAGCGCAGAGCAAAGAACCTGACATCAATAGCATAGAAGACTTGAAAAAGAAGGTTAGCCAGATGGCGGAGCATAAGCTGAGAGAGGCCACCGCAAAAGACGAGTCAAGAGAGATTTCGCAGCAGAAGGCTCAAGATTTCAAAGAACGAGAAGACACCTTGATTATATCATCTCCCCCAGCTAGAGAGTATCCCAGCGGTATTCTATCCATACAGATCCACCAGATCACAGGACTTGAACTCGAGCAGCTGAACAAGAACCGTTCGGACACAAAGACCGTCTCGGATTCCGGCGCAGAGGAGGAAGATTCTGATGATCTGCCTACGTCCTACTGCAACATCATCCTCAACCATCAAAAGATCTTTAAGACTCGGACGAAGCCGAAGAATTCCAAACCCTTTTTCAATGCCGGTTGTGAACGCTTTATTCGAGACTGGCGTTCTACCGAAGTCATGATCAGCGTTCGTGACTCTCGTGTTCACGAGAATGACCCTCTGCTCGGCATGGTCTATCTTCCTCTGTGCCACCTCTTCGAGAAAAGATCGCAGATTGTCGACACTTATCCACTCGTCGGCGGCATTGGCTATGGCCGAGTTCGTATCAGCATGGTGTTCCGCTCCATCGAGCTACAAGCACCCTGTGAACTCCTCGGCTGGGATTACGGGACGCTCGAAATCAGCCGCGTGGAAGCCGGCAGAAGCCTCTCAGAAGACCTCAGAAATCTTAAGACCAAATTCCGGAGCTCCGTCGCGAGCAGCAAAATGGCACCAGACAGTGAAAGTAAGGGTAGCTGGATACCCAAGCACCACAAAGACTCGATTTTTATCGCCGTCAAGAAACGTTATAGCACGCCCCTGATTGTGGAGTTCTACAGGTCCGCCATCCTCGGTGACAGCATGCCCGCCTTTGCCGTCTTGTGGCTCAAGGACATCCCTGACGAGGAAGAAAAGACCATAACCATGCAAGTATGGAAAGGCAGCAAAGACGGAATCAAACGCGCGCGGTCCTGCGTAGGCTACAACGGCATAGACGAGAACGAGCGACCCCTAGGCGAGCTGAAAGTGACAATGAAATTCTGGCGCGGTCTGAGCGGCTACCACAAGGGTCTAGCCAGACGAGGCCAGGAGTCAGATCTGAAAGACGTGATGGAAGTCCTTGACACCGCGAACGATAACAAAGAAGGAAAAGGCGATGAGGACGATCTCCCCGACGGCGACGCAAATGCGTCAGACACATCGTCCTCATCTTCCGAATCCGAAGCCGACTCGGATCCCGAAAATGGTGTCAAGAAAGCTACCTCGACGGTCAAACACAAAGCCATGGACATTCTGGGCGGGCACAATGACCCCGAGGACGGCAGAAGGGGGCCCAGTGCTCAGTTGCAGGATTACAAACAGCATTCGAAAAGCCTGCATCGCAGGCATAGGGGCTTGATGCAGTGGAAGGGAGTCCGGACCGTGGATTGGATGATGGGGAAGGCGAGTCGGGGGAAAGAGGGCGTCAAGGGGGTGTTTCGACACGGGCATGGGAAGGGAGAGGCGGGCGTGGAGACGGAGGTGTGAATGAGGTTATATATTATTTGGAGGAAAGGGGCATGTGGAGGGGGGGAGTTTGCGGTGAAGTAGCATTCTTCCTGATTGTGATTGTTTTTCGCTGATCTTGATGAAATTGATACCCTGTATTTTTGTTCATCCAGTCTTTTTTAACACACTGGTAGGTCTTGAGGCCGTTGTTTGTTCGCTATGTAAGAAGCCAAGTGAAGGACTAATCGTCCGGAATGATGCACCAAGTTGAATGGACGTCTACGTCACGAGGAAATACTCAGTCATGTTGTTGTTCATGTCTCGTCTGAATCGCCCTTATTGGGTAAGGAATCCTGGTCAGCACCTCTCTCTTGTACCGAACACGATCTACACGGGCACTGATCGTCTCGCTCTATTATCTTTAGTCACGACTCCGTCCGCCAGACCCCACAAAAACAACAATAACAATCCGCTAATTCCGCAACAGTAACCAAGTCATTCAGTCAGTCAATGAGTGAGGGCAAGGCAGGGGAGGGGTCAGCGTTTCGCCTCCTCGGCGATGGTAGGAGAAGTCTCCGTGGTGGTGGCGGCGGCTTTTCCCCGATCCAAGAAGGCAGGATGGCCGATATGCAATGCATAGACTGCGAGGAGGACCATGCTGTTATATCGTTTGAGGTCAGCATTTTGCATGGAACAGCAAACCCTTCTCCAAACAGACGATGGGATGATAAATAGGGCGACTTACACTCCCTCTAGCACAATGAAGATGCGCTCATTCCTGATCAGATCTCCATCCCAGCCCTCGCTCAGCTCGATGACGCGATAGATACACCGGATGAAGATACAGATGACTGCGAGCGAGAATAAGCCGACGAACAACCACAGCTTGTTCTTCGACACGGGTAGTCGCGACACCTCTTTCCCCTCGATCCGCCTCACCCTCAAGATATACTCCAACGCCAGCAGAATAAACAGAGTCATACTGGCGACCTGAAAGCTCAACCCGGCCACCATGATATTCGTGCCCGTGGCCGGATCCTCGCCGTTCTGGCTGCTCACGCTCGCCATGCCGCCGCCCGTTCCCTGCAGGATCAGACTCATGACGTCGCAGGGGATGAAAATGGCCGCGTAGCCGCGCGGCTTCACCCGGCTGCTCCGCAGGCTGACCGCCGTCACGATGTCGCCCAGGGTGAAGTAGATGGCCGCGCTGAAGAAGGCGGGCGCGATGGTGAGACAGCAGATCTGGATCAGGAACCCGTTCTCCGAGAAGGGGTTGTAGTGCGATATGATGCGCCCCGCGTAGCCGATGACTTCGGCGATGCAGCCGAGGACGGCGGCGATCCAGAAGGCGCGTTTACGGCTGAGGATGCCTTGGATCGTGTGGAGGAGGCCGGTGAGGGCGAAGAGGGCGAGGAAGCTCGCGTTGGCGGCGAGGGAGGGTTGGTAGGAGAAGATGGACTCTTCGAGGGGGCAGGTGCTGAGGGTGCAGACGACGTATTCGTCGGCCATGGTGGGGGTGGATTAATGCGAGGGAAGGGCTCCCGGGAGATGTTGTGAGGCGGGTTCTGCTGGCCGTCTGATATTCTTCGATGATTGGGAGGGGGTGTAACCAAGCTCCGTTGAAGGTGAGTATGAGAGAATGAACAAGAATAAGAGCAAGCAGTATGAATTGAAGTGAGTATCGGATGCATCAAAAACAAGAGTCATGATTGCCTGAACCCTCCGGGCTGAAGCAAGCAACGGCTACATTTGACACGTTGCCCCAATGGCAGACCTTCAAGTCAACAACCCCCTCGAGTAACCCTGCCAGGCAGCTGCGCCAGAACACTGGGAATTCGAGTCGAGGATGCCCCCATGATGAGTCAAGATCAAGCGGGTGGAAATCTGCATGATAGACGAATACGGGGGCTGCGGCTTGCCGGACTGATGACGAGGACGATGCTCGCGACTAACTCGGGTGTGGTATCTTTCTACCGTGGTGTGGGGAGTCATGACATGTTCTAGCTTCGTATTTGTCATGTCAGGGGAAGCGTTGGCAGGGTTAAATAGTTATCAGCCTTGTTATCTCGCTTCTCGCTTCTGGTTTGGGTTGGCAGTGAGCGGATAAAAGCGAAGTGGGTTCAATTCCTATTGGCGCTCTGATGGTTTGCTCGTTTTGCTCCTCTTTTCTCGGTCCGCTATACCTACGTAAGCATCTGGTCAGCAGTGTTGAGATTGGTAGTACCAAGTCGCGCATTATGAGTTATTGATATACGCTACCATTAGCACACCACTAGTTAATGAACACGAACTCTACCGAAGGTTTAGCGCCAGCATTGATGGTGCACTCTAGAGGTGAACAGTCCCCTGTTCAGGATATTCCTAGGGTCATGTTTAATCACGATTTCAGACATACTACGTAGTAAAGAATGTTAGTACTAGTAGGTGATGACTCTGTATCTTCACATAGCGTTACTAGTACCATGTCCACAATAATTATGCCTTCCCTCATAGTATTCCAGAACAGCCGCTTAATCAAGCTTGTTAGGGTTCTAAGGTGGGGTAGATGATGCCATCGGGGGGTGTTCCATACTGCACGTGCGGGTGCGCTTACCTAAAAGCGTGGGGCTTTTTTTATATAAAGAGACCGCGTCTTGAAAAGATGTGATACACAAGCGAGCATCTATGGTTCGGCATGCTCAAGTGCCGCCGCGCCCGCCATGACAGCAACCACAGCGACCTGGAGGAGAATTGCATCGTCGGAGATCTTGCGAAGATCGTCCCATGTCATCTCGGCAACGAGCGACTCTGTCTTCGTCTTTGGCGGCGAGCTGCTCCCGCGACAACCTCGTGATAACCACGTCCATATCGTCAAGCTCAACGGTACGCTACCTGCATCTTCACGAAGACCAACCGCTGACAGAAATTTGACTGCCAGAACAAAATGCCCTCTCCTCCATTCCATCCAGCGAGTCCAATTCCCCTACGCCCCGAGTGGGCACCGCATCCGCCTGGCTTGATGGTAAGATTTATATCTTCTCCGGCCGCGGCGGAGAGGCCATGAGTCCGGTCGAAGAGAATGGCGCGCTATGGGCATTCGACTCCGCCGTCTCAGCCTGGTCTGTTCTCTCTCCCTCGAGCGACAGCGCCCCGCATCCACCAGCTCGTAGCTACCACAGCCTCGCAAGCAACGGTGTCGACCAGATATACCTCCACGCCGGCTGTCCCGAGACGGGCAGACTGTCCGATCTGTGGTCCTTCGACGTGAACGCTCGGGTCTGGACCCAGCTCGCCGATGCACCTGCCCCACCTCGGGGTGGCACGTCTGTTGCATTCAGTGATGGGTTGTTGTACCGGATGAACGGCTTCGACGGCAAGACGGAGCAGGGTGGATCATTGGACGTCTACGAACCTACGACGAATAATTGGAGCACCAAGACATTCGCTCCTGACGGCACTACCGGGCCTACTCCACGGAGCGTCTGCGCGCTGTTGCCGCTTAAGCTCGGTGGGAACGCCACGCTTGTGACGCTGTTCGGCGAGCACGACCCCAGTTCCCTGGGGCATCAGGGTGCGGGAAAGATGCTGGGAGATGTGTGGGCGTATGACGTTCAGACGGCGGCGTGGAGCGAGGTGGCTGTGACGAATAGCGAGTCAGATAGGCCGTTGCCTAGAGGATGGTTCGCTGCGGATGTGGTCGGTGGAGATAAGATTGTGGTGCAGGGAGGTCTTGGGGAGACAAATGAGAGATTGGACGATCTGTGGATATTGAGCTTCTAAGGTAGGTTGTGAGCTGTATGGGTGCTGGGTGTCAGGCGCCTACAAGGCAGGACTGACATGGCAAGCCAATGATGAGTTAGAATAGTGCCCATACAACCCTCGCACTTCACTCACACACAGTTTTTGGTCCACCAGGCCTAGAGCGCCCTGATACATGGCAGATTTCTCAGGAATATAACTGTCAATCATGTATCTGAACTAGCGACGTCCTTGAGTTTTGATTATCTTGATACCTTAGCTTCTATGCTAGTATTGGTTTTGTTTTCAATAAATACAATTGACTATTAGAGATAGCATTTATGATGATTTATGCTGATCTATAAATACTCGATTGGACTTTCAGGCTCGTAAAAGCATCTTTGAATGACTAGGAAAACATGTCCAATTACTTACTAATGCAAACTAATTTGACGGTGGGTCATAAAGCCTATCCCACGCATTATTTACGAGGTGGGGGGTGCAGAATCAACAATTTTTTTTACCGTGGTTGTAGTGGCTCGGAGTCATTGATACTGAAATCTCAGTCCAAGAGCGATATCAGCGAGGATAGCTACCACAGATTCCATTGGTTTCATCAGACACATCACGAGTGGGAAGACTGCATGAAGTCCCAATTTGGATGCAAGCTACGGATTTGTCATGGCCAGGTCACTCTTGAGATTCCGAGATGATGCGAGATGACCCCCAATCGAAGGCCATGCATTGGAAGCTATCTATCTCACAGCAAAGGTTCGGCAGAACTTATTAGCCGCCTTCCCTATTAGAGTCTCGCCTGAACTGACAACCAGATGAAATTGCTCTTCCGTTACCGTCGTCCGTTGACCGTCTCGTCAAGATTACAACTCTTACTCTCCAGAGGTCGGCAAGGTGCTGTGCTATATGTGATACGCTACCGCTGGTGCCCGACTACACGTCAAAGAAAACTTCACGCACTTTGTGCAGTAAGCCCTGGTTAGTCAAAGTAAAGGGGATGCCCGCCCGGTACTCCTTTGATCTGGGGACGAGGCCCATCTACACAATTGGTGTCGCTCTTGGCATAATATTTGATGACAGATTAGCTGGTATTGTTTGTATAGTGATCTGCTGACTATAATTCTCTTTTTTTCTTTTCTTCGCTATCTCGTGCTGTGCCAGGAGCGACACCAATTGTTTCGATGGGCCTCGGGACGTCACCCGTTGAATTGTGAACTACTTCAGTGGCTGGCTTGCTCCTAATGGATCACAGCTACTTGAAGAGTGGAGAAGCCCCCAGGGACTTAACTGAGGCACGAGCAGATCTTTCAGGACTGGACACATCTCTCCTCCGGGCGGGCTCCGGTGTCTTTAGAGGCGATACAGTTGCTACACCCCTGGACATCTGTCAGTCTTCTTCTTCAAGACCGCAAGTGCTTCTTCTTTGGAGCCCCTAGAACTTTCATGATCACTTACCGACCTTCCCTGATAGCCTTCTCTGTCTCTCTTGCTCTTTCTTTCACACCCCCTTCACGTAATCCTTCAGCTGGGGTTTTAAGTCGAGGGCTAGCATCCCCCTTTGCACTTCCTCCCTTGGAATTCCTAGACGTAGCCTCAGCAAGGCCGCCATGGCTGTGTGGAGGGTCATTGTTTTGTGTTGAGCTTCTTCTGCCTTCCCTTGTGCGTGGAGGTACATTCTGGTTTGGGCTTCTAGGGGGCGGGCTATCACCTCCGGATGAGCTTCCACCACCACCTGAGCTCTCACTCCCGTTCGATCTTCCACCAGTCCGACGCTGGCCCGTAGTCGGAGACTCGGGAATCTGCAGCTCTACTTCGTTTCTTCTCAAGTTCTGGTGGGCGGCAGCAACAAGGATACGCCTCTCTCGATCGCTATCGCCAAAATTTTGCTCTTTTGCTGAACGTTGAACACGAGTTGGAACTGCACCTCCAGTCGACTTGGAAGCGGTCCTTCGAGCTGTGAGCTGAGAGACAGAAACTGCAGCTGTAACTTGACTCCCTACCCTAGAAACTATTTGACCCAAATCAGAGACTGAATCGACGACTGTACCCAGACTTCTATCTCTGGGAGGGTTTGCTAAACCTCCAGTCACCAACCTAGAACCAACATTTGGGTCGTCGAAATAAGATTTAGGTAAATGCTCAGAGGCTAAACTGGGGACCACAGAAGCTGGTCTAGAGGCTGCACCTCCAGGCTCAGAGACACCCAGCATTGTCCTTACTCTTAACCCTGTGGCTTGCGCTGGTATTGGCTCCATTGCCACTAAGCCTGCTTGGGTTGCAGAACGAGTTCTATCTGGATTAACCTGTGCTCCAGGGTTCGGCGGTCGCCCCAGAGGTGTCGCTTCGCTACCCACATCTGCTCTGCCTTCTTGAGTAGCTAAGGACGACTGACCGGGATCGAATGGACTCTGTAGATGTGCATTTTCAAGCCATTTGCGAATCACGTCCCCTGGACTCAAATTGGATGCTGGAGATAGGGGTGGATTTCTTCGTTCTGGACCACCTGGACCGATATCTCCTCCTTGTGTGGATAGGACTCCAGAACGATGTGCTTGCGGATGCCCCCTTGAGCCACGTCCAGTCATACCCATGTCAGCTGGGCCGGCTCCGGATGGCCTTGTTCCAGATAGGTCTCTGTGCGCAGCTTCAGCTTCTTTTGCTGCATGATCTGCAAGGATAATGTTTTCGGCCAAGTCTATGGCCAAGTCACTGTGCCTGAATACCTTATCGTTTAGTATATGTAACTGTTCTTGCACGTCTCTCCTGTAAGTTGGAGTGTGAGCTGCCTTCGGCTCATTATCTCCCCTTATAAGCGGAGGCCCTATCGGAGGCAGCCTCTGCTTGTGGGTGACAACACGTCTTATTGCCACTCTCAATCTTCTCGCCGCCTTGTTCACGTCCTCCTGGCAACATGAGCAACACCATTTTTGTTCAAGCGTCTTCTGCCAGAGAAACACTAGCTGTTTAAAGGTCGGATCGTTATCAAGCCCGTCCTGAATCATTTCCAAGTCATCCTCCCTGACCTTGTTGAATGCCATCCTATATATAGCCCAGTTTTGCTCAACAGTCCTGTTGGCCACATTTACTGCTGGGAGAATAACCGTGGCGACTGAACATAACTCAGACTTGTACTCAGTGTGGTTTGCGAGGGAGACATACGAGTGCATCCGCTAATGCAAGCTCCGGCAACAGCAGCCATAGCCTTCAATAATCAAATGATCTTGGAGTATGCCAGAGTACTCTCTTTGGGATGCTGTAATAGACGGATAGAAGAGAACGGGAAATGAGTTGACATGCAAGGATTTTTGTTTGGAAAAATGAAAATAGCTTATACTTATAAATTCGTACCGAGGTTTCTACCACCACACTACAAGACTTTTGAAATCATTGACCTCCACATCATCTTGTTTTCAACATGTTTGAGTTGCATAAGATCTAGGTTTCACAACCCATATACCGAAGATCTGTTCCACGTTCTGAAACCGATCGATCTATCAAACAACGTTATAGGGAGCAGAGCGCACAGAGCTGCAAAAGTATAGATGTGAGGCATGAACTCAAATAGTTTCTTCTGCAAAGGTTAGCTGTTCATCAAGCAACTGATAGAGGATCAACTATCTTCGCCGCTGTGGGGATTCGATGCTTTGTCGGCGAAAACGTATTGCGCGAACTGGAGCTCCACCGGTTACAGAAAGCAGTGCTGAAAAACAGCTCTTCAGCTCTAGTATAATATGCCAAATAGGTTTGCACATGATACTGAAATTTGAAGTTTGGTGTGACAGACAAAGTGATGTGCATGATGCTGAAACAGTCCCAGTTTCTCGGGTCGTCACGATATTACTCTAACTATTAGTGGTGCCAATGTTCGCTAGTTAGCCTATTATAGAAATAGATATAGCGTTGCACTGACGTGGTACTAGGAGTTCGAGGGATAGCTCTATGGATGTGGTACTATTGATTTTGATTTGCAGATGATGCCTAAGTGAAGCGGACTCCTTGTACCTTTGTGCCAATAGATAGATCGCTCCTTACTTCTTCTACATTCTTCGGGACCTGCAGAGCCAAGCAGCCTGCAGGTAGACATTCAGCTTGCTTCCGTTCTGAAACCGTATCATAGCCATTGGCATCATCCACCTTCGAGCTGATCGTCAAGAACACTACATTGGCACTCCGTCCTGCAACAGCCCAACTGGCCATAACGTCGAATCTAAAGCGGTCCCCGAGCAAGGTTGTGGCAATGGGGCAAAGAACCTCTAAAAGTAATATATCATATCAAGATATTGTCCAAACATGCCTCCTCGCTTGAGCCCCAGAAGATCCTGGATTTCGTTGGCTGGTACAAAAAGCTGGATAGCGGTACTATTGTCTGGCAGACTATAGGAGAGCGTGTCCTTGCGTGATGTTAAAAGGAACCAGAACACCGCAATGAGGAAAGAGGAAATAGTGACAGGAAGACTTCAGAGTCCGCACACGGATGCTAGGCAGCGTCAGTGGCATGTTGCAAGATGATGCGAGCAAAGTATGCTCTCGGACTGAACGTTGCGTATAGCATCTCAGTTTCGAGGTTCAAAGCTCCTCTCCCGCTTCTGCCGTCTGAATTTTGGACCTGCAAAGGCGTAGGAAGCGAATGAAGCGTAGATGAAGAGCAGTTCAGAGCTTTCAAGAGGCCGATGCCCGCTGCGAAGCCTCAGGTCAGGACTTGAGTCCATAAGCAGTACGCTACTACTTGCTATGGTACTCGTGGTCTAAGCAGAACTGTCTGAATGAAGATCCGAGTAGGAAGGGTCCGTCCAAGTGACCGAAGGGCTCTTCTTGCAGAATGATATCCATGGTAGTGTCGTTGTGGGCTGAAAGGTTGATGGGTCGTAAGGGTCTAGTATGATATGCAGAATCAATCTCAGACGACCAAGTCGATGTCAGAGTCGGTATCCACGAGCTTTACCGCTGCTGCGACCAAAAATCATCCAAAACATTCTGCCTGACCTCGAATGCCCAATGATGACATGTCTGGTGCATCACAGGACTGACTTCAGGCGCATCCTCGTCTGTACCGTCATCAAACACTTCTCGCACCCCTAACGCCCTGTACTTCTTCAGCAGCATTCGCCTCCAGCGTCCACTTTCTCCAACACATTTCTTCCATCTTGATACTTGTCTATCATCATCTGCGCATCTGCGACCCTGGAAGAACCGTATATACCACTGGAACCAGCCTCGGACATCGTAGTCATGATTGATCCAACCGGCAGCCTCCCATTCTTCAATGCTCTGGCCGCACGCAACTTTAAATTTGTTGACATCAGGATTATAGTCTGGCGAAGTCAGGTATCTTGAGATGTCAAGGCCAGTAGTCCAGGGATCTGGTAGCTCTTTGTGGTCGTCTTCAATCTTGATACTAAGCTTTTGAGATCTCAGAGGACGAAAGTATGAACCGCCGAAGCAGCCCTCGCGGAGCACTTCTTCTGGAGACTTATTTGGGAGAAAATCCGGATGCGACGCGAAATGGAAGGTGCCAGACTCGTCTCTTGTGGGTGGCGGTGCAGAAGGCATCCAATCTGTCCAGCGAGTACGTATTGACTCTACGTCGAGACCAAGAGCGACAGAAGGAAGGTGCGTTTGAGGAGGAGTCTTCGCCTGCCTGGGCCTGCGCCTCTGGACTTCAACATCCGCATCCTTGCTGACATCAATTTCGTAGATAGGCCTCGTCGAAGATGCAATTCGGGCAGAGGCGCGTGAAGGCGGTGTCTCGACCTTTCTTCGCTTGCGCGTGGGTTTCTTTTCCGAATAGGCATCCCGAGATACTCTATCAAGATCGAGATCTTTAAGCACCTGCCGATTGTGCTTGATATTCTCAAGCCGTTGCAATTCGTAAGAATTCATGTCCATAGTGAGAATGCAACTACAGCTCCACAAAACTGTCTACGCGTCAAGTGTCTAGCGTGTCTAGATGTTCTATTGCAGTCTAGGTGCCGGTGCGCTGCCTCTTTCGGTTTAGCTCTACCCGGTAAGAGAAACTTCGTCACTACGAAGTTAGTGATATCTCTGAGAAGGTGTGATTATGATGTATTAAGAAGAACAACTCTGACGATTTAAAAATCAGAGACTTAAAAAGGAGAAAAGAGGCTTTAAGTTTTAGAGTAGACTAGGTAATAAAAAAGTAATAGCACATTACATGACCCGTGGTGCAACAGACGCTGAAAGCAGCGTCAAAGACTGTCTAAAACAGCGTCCTATGTCCATACACGATTCACCTCAAGACCCCGAGTTTTCCCAGAGAACCACTTGTAACAACGTCATGCATTTCAATGGTAGATTTAGTATTTAGTCTGTCCCTCGTACTGATTTCATTTATTGTCTTTATTTCTCTAAGTACGCACTTCTTTCTGTCGTACTTACTTTGTACTAATACCACTACAATGAGAAAAAAGATCACTAAAGATAAGCAGAACGCTCAGGCTAAAGCGAATAACCAGTTAAAATGTATATGAGATAAAACTAGTTTTCAAGACCGTAATAAATATATAATATGATTGTGTATCACGGCGCGCTGGAGTCGCATCGTTCCAGTCTGTTGCTGGGTTACAAGTTGGGCGGTCAGGGTGCACCCTTGGACACTTGCAATCAAAATCAAAACGTCAGAGGCATGTATTATGTACCAGTACTGGGGCTTATCTATCATCTTGTCTATTTGCATTGTAAAGATGAAATGAAAGTTCCACTTGTCAATCTATTCGCCCCGCATGCCATACTCATAATGCAATAAGTCTCTTAGCTCATCATGTCGCTGGCGGGTACGTAATCCACATCTGGCTGTAGTTCGTGTAAAGATACTGCCCCGTTTGGGTGTTGTAAGTCAGATTCGTCTGCCTCACGCCCCCTGTTTGGAGATACCCGCTTTCAACGGTGCCGCCGGCAACGGGGCGTTGGAGGTGGTTGGCGCCGGCCATGACCGTGAAGTTGGCAAGGCTGAGTTCGAAGGGGTTACGGGTTGCTACGGTAGGGCACCCTGGCTCATGGAAATAAGGGATGAGTTAGTGATTGGATTAGAAGATAAGTGTGGTGATAGGACATCATCATCGTCTTAAGATTGAGAAATGGGGTTCGGTGGAAAAGCGGATGCTGACTCACCGAAATAGCTTGCATCGATCTTTTCACGAGAGATTTGCAGCTCAAAGTAGCCGCGGTAATAGCCTTCACTCCATTGCAATTCAGAATTATCTCTTACCAGATAACGACTCTGATTGGTGGCTTGGGAGATATTTCGACCAAAGCCCGTCGACGAGACAGCTGTTCCCGCAAACTCGACACCAACGGCACCGGCACCGGTTGCAGGGTCATAATCTGACTCGTCAAACCAGACGAGGTCGCTGACCCAGTTTGCGTGACTGTCTCCGGCAAGCATGATGTTGTTGCCGATGTTATTGTCGAAGAGATGTTGGTATGTCCTATTTCGGTTAGCCATGTACCCATCCCATTGATCGCCGTTGTAAGGATTCTCAAAAGTCCCGAACCAGGAGGTAGTGTTAATACGGGAGAAGACGAGCTGGTTGCCGATGATGCGCCACGTGGCCCCACGCTGAGCGGACTCAGAGAGTTGTCTGTAGAACCAGTTCTCCTGGTTCGAGCCCATGAGCGTGCGGCTCGCTTCGTTGGAAATATTGTAGATGTAGTTATTGTTCCAGCCCAAAGTTGTTATACTGCGATCGTAATGCCGCGTGTCAAGCATGAGCAGGTCGAACAGCTTACCCATCTTGAAGCTTCGCCAAATGCGCAGGTTGTCGTCCAATGACGCCTGACGGATCGGCATCCATTCGAAATACGCGCGCACGGCGTTCATTTTGCGTTGGTCGACACTGATCCCGCCAGCACGAACGAATGACTCTTCTGTGTTGTTCATTGCGCTGTATCCGCCTCTCCATCCGTTGTTCGCAATCTCGTGGTCGTCCTATATAATTGCAGAAAGCAAATCAGCCACCGCTTCCTAAACAATTGGGTTTCCACCAGAAAGGTGAGAGACCTACCCAAACGGGGATCCAGGGGAATTGCTGGTGTGACAGGAGAAGATCGAGATCCGTTCGGTATTGGGCAAGACGTGTTCGGTAGTCATATAATGTGAAGATGATGCGTGGTGGATTCGAGGCACGAGGGTCACGTCCTAGCACACCAGCTCTAGTCTCGTAGATGTAGTCACCCAAATGCAAAACATAGTCAACATTGTCCTTTCTTGCACTAATGCTATTGTTAGCTCAGGGAGTCACGTGGTTTCGGACCACACACGCATTGCCATAAGCATTGAAATAACCAGTCGGGTAGTTACTGCAACTATAGACTGCCAACCCGATAGGCGTTTCGTCGTGTTCGGCAGGAGCTGTCTTCGTGCGACCAATAGGACTGCTCGTGCCTGCTCCACACACATTGAACTGATAGTAATAGCTGGTAAATGGCTCGAGGCCCTTTGCTTCGACCTGCGATGTGTTAATAATTGGGCAACTGGGACGGTTAAGCTGGAGCATGCCTTGACAGTGTAGTCAATATCTGAGGTTGTGTAGGCACGGCCGGTGGTCACAACAGCTCCAGACATGTTTCGATTGGCGCTGACACGCCAGTCAACACAAATCGGGCGTGTGGAAGCTCTGATGTATCGTTCGGTTTCGTGACTGTACAGAGGGACAGTTCCTTCGACAGTGATATTAGAGGCATCATTTTCTACGAAAGGAGAGACTCGAGTCCATAGGATGACAGAATCGGGGTAGGGGTCTCCCTGACGAGGATGTCAGCGGAACGTGTGATGGTGCCGCCCAGTTCAGTCAGAGCCATACTGAAGCCACCCCGTGGGTAAAGTTCAATGAACTAGTGTTCCATCCTGTGTAATCACGCTTCTCCAGATGTCGAGCTTTGACCTTTGGCACGTCGATGCCCAAAACAGCGTGATTGAAGGAGGGACTATCATAGTTAATGTTGCCCTCAAAGCTTGCAGTACCGGCGGCTGCCAGTGCTGCGAGAATGAGGAAAGACACCATTTGGAAAGGAGAATTTGGGATCAGAATTGGTGCCTGTCGAGCGAGTCTACAAATGCATCAAGGAGCTTTGGCTGGAATACTTGTACCTCCTCTCAGTCGGAGCTGGTTGGGGCTCTCTCTCTCTAGCTCCATGTCGGTAGATGAGTATTTCGCACGGAACAAGCAGCTGGCTCCAGGACTGCTTTTCCACGCAGGTACTAGTAGCGCGAAGAGGAAATGACCAGGACGATCACCAGCAGTCTATTCCAACTTTCCTATCTCGCAGTTGATGCTCGTGGATGCGGTGCGGACGAAGATTGGACAATCTCTATGAGCAGCACTCGGCCGGGAGCAAGGGAAATGCTTGGCAGGTGGGGTCGAGCTTCCTGTTGCGGGTGTAGTACCCCTTGGCGTGGAAGTCGTATGTGGAGGTAGCTGAGGTATGAGTAACACGTGTGCTTGTACAAATGCTGAGTCTGTCTCACTGTTCTGAGATGTGTAATGGACGCCGAAAGCAGCGTCAAAGACCGCCCAAAAAGCGTCCTATGTACCGGAATCTAGAGCCGAGAGATAATCGCTGCTGGTGCACTGTCTTTTCTGATTTAGCTCCGCCCCATTTGGGGTTGGCGCCGCCTCGCCGCCTTTCCCATGTATCCCTTGTGTCACTGAATTGGTGACCCTCACTTATTAAGGATTGCTGCAGCCTTGGTAAGAAGAACACCAAGAATTTTTAAAGTGAGTTCTTATAATTGAATGTTTGACATCAAATGTTAAGAGGTCTTAAAAGCCTAAGATGTGTAGATGATCAGAATTCTTAGGGTTATCAAATGATGTAGTTTTCATTATGATAAGTTGAATAAGTAGGGTAATGCAGGCAGAGAAAGAGTCAGAAGCCAAGCACCTTTGGTGTTCTCTTTGCCAAGACTGCAGTAGAATCATCCGCTAAAATCTACTTTAAATCATTTAAGATTGCGGCAACGCTATTCTCTAATAAGAGAGGGTCACTAATTTAGTAACAAAGGGGATAAAAAGTCTACTTCATCTTCTTTATTGTCCGCTTTTTCCAGTCATTTGCTCCTGCCACTTTACTTGAAGTTTTTCTATATCCCTTGTGACCCCGATTAACCCCTGTCGTGAGTATCCTTCCTTGTAGAGCTTAGCGTTAAGAGATACCCGCGTTTAGCGGTGAGGTTATTTCTGCAGCCTTGGCATTAGGAACGTCAAAATTATGAAAGAGTGCTGCAGCCATAGCGTTAAGAACATCAATATTCGTTCAGACCTGGCTGCAGCCTTGGCGTCAAGAACACCAAAAGTGAATTATAAGAGTAAAACTTAAATTAGCTGTATTAGAATTATTATTAAAGCTAGAGATCTAAGAATAATATTATTCGATAGCCCTTAACAAGATCTATCTAAATATATAAACATAAAGTTAATAAAGCTATTATTTATTATTAATAAATATAAAAAGTAAAAAGTATTAGTTTTTAAAATTATTTTTGAGATTAATTATAAGAACTAAGCTACGTCATAGCTTGGTTAGTGGCCAAGTCCCCTGAGGGCTAAGCCCCCAAAAGGCCAAGTGGCAAGGAGTCCGTCCCTAAGAGCTCTGTGTCACACAAGTTGCCGCAGCCAAGCGCTCTTAGTTAAAGCTTGGCATCAGGATCAACTAGAACATGAATGGAACTCAACCAAAGTTCACATAAGTAAACATGTTGATATAAGGGCATTGTGCCACAGATGTATAACTCATCTGCTACATATGAACTCTCATCTATGTTCTGGCTAACATTGACCAGTCTCATAGCTGTTTAGAGCTTCTTCATGCTCCTTGGCGGTAGTCTATATAACAGACTAGGTGCTCCCTAGATAGCTAGAAGAAGCAAGCAATTCAACCACATCAGTAAGACACTTCTACTTTATTGATACTTGACTACTCTTAGTTGACTTCTATCTACTTCCGTTATCACCTTTTTCACATTAACTTTATTAATATAAAAGATATAATATAGTTTATAAATAACTTACGTATATAAGTAGCCTGCGTACCTTTTTTAATATTATAACCTTCTAATTATTAGATATAACTATAAATAGAATAAGATGTATAATAAATAATATTAGAATGTCTTTAACTTAGGTATAAGCTAAGAACATAAGTCAATTATAAAGACTATAAAACTATCTAGGAAATAAGCGTGCTTATATAGACTAGGAGATTCGTGCTCATGAGTGATCAGACATGATCACTTCTGAGCATTGCTTATCAGTCCCTCCTTATGAACACCTTGCTCAAGGTCATCTCCGCATGAGCATGTCCTTTCGCTAAGCCCCTTGGGCATGGTTAGTTCCAGGGTCTCCTCACACAGGGTCCGTGCAGCCCTCAAGGCCTGTTGGTGCCTAGTGTGTCCACGTGCTGTAACAGATCAGATCATTCGAGATTGTCAGGAGCGCTAAGGGTCGTGAGCGATGTGACAATATAGCGTACAAATAGCATGCGTCTCGCAGACGTAAAGCACTATCAGTAGTGGCGACGAAGGATGGACTCCCGACTTTTATAAGTCGAACGATGGAGAAACTCTGACTCCTAGAGTGCAGAGTTCTCCATTTGTGTGTGCGCACGCGCTAGGTGTGCGTAGCGTGCTTGGTACGCTTGGCAGCCTTGGCGTGGCGTAACACTCTTAACCTTAACTAGATAAGGATCTCCTCTGCTTTACTATGGCTACTGGGGTAAATATTGTACCCCCCCCTGGTCAAAATTTCTTACAAAACGCCCTCTTTACATACACATCCTTGTTAGCATCCCTGTCGCTATTTCTCACGAATTTTGCTCATCCTACGCATCCTACGAATTCTGCACATTCGAATTCTGCGCATTCTACGAATTCTACGCGTTCAAATACTGCGAATTTTACGATGCCTGCTCCTCCTCCTCCTTCTTCTCCTCCTCCTCCTCCTTCTCCTCCTCCTCCTCCTTCTACTCCTCCTTCGAATCCCTCGAATCCCTCGAATCCCTCGAATCCCTCTCAAACTACTCGAGATCAACGTTTGCAAATTCAAACGTTACATGACGCAGGGCATACATACAACGAAATTCTTCAGCAGCTACCAAATCTTACACGACGTCAAATTAAATATGTTATACATAATTGATTAACACCTAAAAAGTGCCCTGGCAGACATTTAATAATTTTAAATAAAGAACTTGAACAAATTATTACGTGGGTTTGTTCTTCTACAGCAAATCGACGTACACTATAGATACAAATCCCTCTTGCTATAAAGATTAATATTAGATGATACGCTATTCGAAATGCTTTACGAAGAGCAGGATTCTCACGTTAAGTTGCTCATTATAAACCCCTATTTCTAAGAAGAATCAACAAGCGCGTCTATAATAGGCTCACAAACACGTTAATTAGACGTACGAACAATAGGAAAAGATACTATAGAGTGACAAAACATGGGTTAATAGGGATCAACATACAAAGACGTACGTTACACATCAACCTAGTGAGGAGTGGGACCCTACATGTATTGTTGAACGCTATTAACGACGTAAAGGTTGGATGTTTTGGGGCTGTTTTCATGGTGATAAGAAGGGCCCTGGTGTATTTTGGGAGAAAGAATAAGGGAGTATTAAAGAAGCAACATATCAAGAGCATATCATCCCTATTATTGACAATTAGATACGTACAAATAGAGATCTAACGTTTATGCAAGATTCTGCTCCTGCTCATGCTGCTAAGGGCACTATTCGAGATCTTCGTCAACGTGGTATCCAATGCGTTCAATGGCCTGCGTATTCGCCAGATTTGAATCCAATTGAGATGGTATGGAATTGGATGAAGGATTGGATACAAGAGCACTATAGAGATACACTACACAAGCATGATGAGCTACGTACAGCTGTTAATGCTGCATGGGATGCTGTGCCTTCTGACTATCTTGTGGAGCTGCTTAGATCTATGCGAGAGAGATGTCAAGCAGTTATAGATGTAGAAGGAATGCAAACTCGATTTTAGAGACTAGTCCTATTGGGCGATTTTATTAACGTCTATCCTCAATTCTGTATAGTCGATTTGTACGAATACTAGCGTTTTCACAGTTCTCTAACTAAGATGCTCTGACTATTTAGCGATAGGACTAGCGTTGTTGTCGCGCTTCTATGAGCAGCATAGCTGCTTCTTGTAAGGGTTTTTCCTATGGCGGGGAGCGTTCTAGGGCTTGGTTTAGCTTTGTCTCCGTGTTGAGCTTAAGAAGACATTATTTGTGCTAGCTATGCTTTCTAGCACTCGGTGTTACAGTAGCGTGGCAGGGGCGTCCCTGCTGTAAGTCGAGCTTCTTAATGATCCGGAGACAGCTTTTGTAGATAAGTTGCCTTATGCCTATGACTATGAGTCTGCAACAAGAGTCCATCTAGATACTATTGAGTAGCAGTGGAAGGGGCAAGGAGTAAGTCTCTGCTTTAAGGACCAGGATAGGCGTGGCCTTATAGACCCTAGCTATCGCACGTAAGCACCTGTTCTGGATAGGCGAGAGTTTAGCAGTATTTAATTTTGTGCTTTATAACTTGTTAGGAAAATGCTAAATAACTAATGCGTAAGTCATTACTGTTACGAATCCTCCCGCGACCTACGC